GTGTGCCTGTCAGAGTGGAAGGGGGGGCGGGTAGATTTGGGTTAATGAGTAAGGCGAGTGCATCTTTTCTGGGTCTGGTTGCGAAAGGCAGCGCCGTACTCCGTAGTGTTGCAGTTTTGCTGGATACTGGCGATTACTCCATTGCCGTTTGGGGGATTTGTTGCTATTCGGGGCATGCTCTCTTTCGTGCTGCTCTTCTCCATTGACCAGGAACCCTCAAACGACAATGCTTTGTCAACGGTTCGTAAGATGGCGCGGGAGAGGGGTAATCGTCCCAACTTTACAGAGAACTGACTCTCACGACTCTCTCTCTCTCTCTGTCCGGCTTCTCCATCTCTCTGCGACTTGGCAGCCTGTCTCGGTTGATCGATGATCATCCATGGTGCGGGCGGGAATTCCGAAGGACAAAATGGAAGTTCCACTGCGGGAACCGTCCCATCTTTTGCCACGAGGTCGTGCACTTTGTGATTCGTCTACGGGCGTGAGAGCGCGATTGATCCGTACAACCTCGTGTTCGTCTTGCGCAACAGTTCGACTTTGTCATGTATCTGCAAACTGCTCTGTATATTGCTCACAGGGACACTTGTCATTCATGTTTCACTCTGCCTCGGTGCGTGCGAGTGTGGGGGGCTCGGTGTTTCCTCGTACGCAGTAATTATTTACCGATAGGTATCGATGACGCTCGCCATTTGAGTCAGATATCGCGGGTCCTTGGTAACTGGGATGCGTATCTTTCATTCTCTGTTACGGAGTAGGTGTAACCTGTCAAATCTGCCATTGCATCCTGCATCTTGCATCTTTTTGCAGGGAGGTATCCAAGGGAACGGGAATGGGGGTGGTTTTCCCGCTAACTTGATGCCATGAGGAATCAAAAGTCTAGCTAGATGCTGGGAAAATGGGGATCTTCTAACGACGGGACCAGGAACGGAGGTTCGTCTCGGATGTAGTGTAGTGTGAAGCAGTAGTGCCGTTTGCTAGTGCCGTCCAAAGGATGACAATTTACGATTTTCGCGATTTATTCATCGGGATAGCCCCTTCTCGGCCTGGTTCATCCTAGACAAATCGCTGCAAATCAATCTCCAAGCTAAACTTTCCTACTACTGCTACTACCTTACCACGCGTGACTAACACTAGCTTCGATGCTATGTAAATTGTCTCTCGGTATCAAAGAGGCTTGCGTACGCAATTGTCCCTCCTCCGTAGGTTAGGGGCTGGTTGACATGGTTGACGTTGGAGGTGAAAATGTCTTGGCAATTTCTCCTTCGCCCTGGTGCTGGGGGTCAATGTTTTGGTCCGACACTGCGGCGAAAGAAAAGGATACGCCCCCCTCTTGGCACCTGTTCTTCTCCCCCGGGAACCACACCCCAGCGCATTACAACCACGGCTTAAGTTTCGAGCCCGTAGGCGATGGGGCGGACGGCTTGAACTTTGTTCCCCATATCCCATTTTCTCTGCATCCCCTGCGCGCCCTGGTACGGGATAGTAGGGCTTCTTCGTCATGGAACTTGAGCGCAAAAAGTGAGTGCCCCCCCCCCCCCTTGAGCCAAAGAATCCTTACCGTCCGCGCCGCCTTGCCCTACAATGCGATCCATGCCACCTCACCCCCCTTAACCCTAGGAGTATCTTGTCTTCCTTCCTTCTCGCCCGGTGCCCTGGCCCTGATTCTGCCCTGCTGCCCAGCCTACTCTACGTAAATAATCTCCGATGGGGCAATGGGGCCCCTACTAGCACTTGGGACATCTCAACTGGGCTGTGAAGGGGAGAGGGTGTGCGGAAGGGCGGAGGTCTTTGGGTGGTTTTGATGCATTCACATGGTGGGCGTGCGTACGTACGGTATGGGACTACACCGGGTCCACATCTTCACTCCCCCGTTCTGAACGGGGAATGGGCGGAGGGGGCACGTTTATTGTCAGATGCGGACGGGTTTGTTGTTTGGATATGGATGTCATGGCCGTAGCAGACGTCGTCATCATGCAAAACTTTTGATGTGGATTGGAATAGGAGAGGGATAGAGAGCTGTTGTTGGAGATTGGTGGCGCCGGGCATTCCAGCCCTAACGGGTGATGTGGGAGAAACCAAGGCCGTAGGGTCCGGATCCGATTATAGTCCCTCTAGACCCGTCGTATGAGCGTTTAGTGTTGATTCTAGGCTCTCGTTTTTGCGGGGTGAAGGGGGAGAGGCCTTTGGTCTAGAAGGTTGGGATGGGTTGGTGGAACTCCGGCACCTGTTCATTCTGTTCGTTTGATGTTGGGACTTTGGAATGAACTGGCAGCCTGACAGGTTTGACTAGCGTGTGGAAGGGAGGTTATTCTACGACGCCCCTTGTTCGGCGTGGTCTGGGTTGAGATCATTGGCGACGCGATTCGGCTTACTCGATGGTCTGGCTGCGCAAGAGACGGGACGCGCGAGGAAGATGCGGAATTCCGAAGGTTTCGGGGTTTGCTGACTGTGAAGAGCCCCGCGTAGACAGCGAGGCTGGCGGGTTGACGGTGGACCAGAGACAGAAATGAGGTATCGTAAATGAGGCTTGGCGATTTCGAGTAGGCGAATGAAGGCTTCGTCGAATCGATCTGACGATGAAGTTTAGTCAAGTTGCTCAAGGTTGCATCCCCCGAGCCTGATGTAAGCGTCGCAGAATGCTGACGGTGATGACGGTCCCTGAATGTCAGAGTGACAGCGTCACGTTTCCCTGATTCTTGGGTGATCCGCCATCTCTGTTGGTGGTGGTGCTCAGTCATCCCCCTCTTCCCGAACGCTGGGCGACACGGTCCGGCGGGCTGTGTAGTTGGTGATGATCATCGAGAATCTCGACTTCACGTGGTTGATCGTGCTTTTCTGCGGCACAGGGCTGGCTACATGCGTCGGAGACTAGTGCTCGATGGCTGTCGGTAGGTGGGATGAGAGGGTAGGGTGAGTTTGGATTGGCGGGATGCTGTTAGGCGTTTCTCTTCTTTGGGTGTGATGGTTTGTTGGCTCAGCTGTCAAATGTTGAGATGAGCCGTATGTCATCCAATCCGGAGACGAGGATCTGGCTGGCCTAGCATCATGTCAGACTCTGGTGCCCGAAAGATGTTTCCGCATCTTCATCCTCCTCCGCGCCGATCCCTGGTGATCCCCATGTTGCTGACGAAGGGCCCTAGGAAGTTTCTTTGGGATGTCGTATAGCGTTGGAGGGCTTGCGGAAGTCCTCACGCTACGTCGAGCCTCGTCGTCAACTCGTCTTCGAAAGGACCGATCTCGGGAGCATTGTTGTCCATGGCGCACTATGCTGCCCCGACGTTGGGTCATCGGTCCGTAGATGCCTTCTCTTAGCGCAACTTGGTCTATTGTAGACAACGGCGGAGCTAGCTATGACTGCTGCGGAAGAATATACGAATTTCCGGCCTCCCCTGACTGATCACGGCCTTAACATTAGCTTCATCTCCAAAGTCCGCTGACCGAGTTCGAGGAGAAATGGATCTGGGCCCGGGTATCCGACGGAGACAGACACGTAGGCGGCGGTAGCGTCGTGGTCATCGAAGGCAAACTTCCCCCGCGCCTTCTCAACCGGGACGGAACGGGGGCGGAGTAATATGGTGTTGTTATGTCGTCGCGAGAAGACGGAAGAACTCCGTATCAAGGCGCACTCGGAGGCCGTTGGCCGAGACAGTCGCCGAAACCGACGCCGAAACCGAGCCTGAAGTCTTGAAGTGATTCACTGCCCGTCCGCCCCTCCTTCAACTCAGCCTTGCTTCGAACCGCATGAAGTCGGCGGGCCTCGATTGCGGTACCCGTCAAAGACACGCCTGGCGAATCGGTGCTCGTGGAAGGGGTTGGGCTTAGCCTCCTCGGGGCTACTCGTGGGAGGCGGAGAGCGCTGGATGGTCGGATCACGGGGTTAAGGTACTGTCGAGGACGCCAGAGGTTGATGACGGATTGCTTGCCGGAACCAGGTTGATGAGGATCGCGCGATACTTTAGGGCTGCAGGATAATTGAAGTACCGGAAGCTGGGGGCGATGTGATACTTTAGATGAGAAGCTTAGTTTCGTCATTGCTTTGAACGGTTTTCGTAGTCCAATGAGAGTCTCGTGGTCGAGGGGAGTTATCGGACTTTGACGGTATATCGATACTTCCGGAGAATAAGATTAAAGGTGGACGGGGGTCTTGTCGATCCACGTGAATACGTGGAAGTGCATTTGAAACTTGGCGGCTGTGGTTGGCTCTGTCTATACGTACGGCGTATCGATCCTTGGCGTACATAGCCGTGATCTCTAATGTAAGCTTCTTACGGGTATGATCGTGTAGACGGGAGCAGATTGTTTCAGACGGATGTTGATGTGCAACGTGATTGAGGGCTTGGCTATGGACTCTCTAAATGAGCGGTGTCGTGGTCTTTCTGTAGAGAAATGGTTCTTCGTCTCTGAATTCCGCGTATTTGAACGTCTTTATGTTTGGTTTCGTGCGCTGTACTCTGTATGTAGGTCGCCATGACGTAGCATGAATCTGTCTCCGCGTATAGGCTGGCTCGGCAACGCCTGAGCGGCACCGCGTTTCACTGGGAATAGATGCACCTATGCCTGTAACCATCCACCACCTCCGCAAAGACAACCATGCGAAATGGTTATCATACAATCTCTGATTGGCTCTCGAAGTTTCCCGTGGATTGTAGATGGATCATGGGGGGAGTTTGGAGCGATACCGAGATGTTCGGACGGGACGATCTGCGGACATCGACATGTTGGCATGAGTCTGAATCAGGGGCGAATGGGGGACAACGGCATAGCCCCTGGGAGAGGAGAGTCCTGGCGGCTGTGGTTGATCTGTGGTCGCCTTTGGATAAAACAGAAACGAATATAGGGGGCGCAGGATACTATGTACGATGAGCTCTCGGCGTCGTTGAATATAAATATGAGACCGTGAGAAGGGTTCATCGGAAGAAAATTGGCAACAGACTACAATCATCCCATCTTACATTCGTTTCTCAGCTCCTCAACTTGACACCGATCTTCAACAACTCAAAATGAAGCAGTCTATCACCTTCATCGCCGCGGCTTTTGGTGTGGCCTCAGCCAATCCTCACCTGGCTGCTGCTCACTTGGCTAACCCTCAGTTCCGTCGGGCCTCTCCTACTGAGTGGGCTCCCGCTGGACCCGATGACTGTGAGTACATCACGCTAGCGAGCTGTACCGAAGTCTTCAAAATGCTGATTATGTAGTCCGTGGCCCATGCCCCATGATGAATACTTTGGCCAACCACGGCTTCATCTCTCACGACGGCAAGAACCTGACAAAGGATGTTGTGGTCAAAGGTCTCCAGGATGGTCTCAACTTCGGCACCGATCTTGGAACCCTGATGTTCAACATGGCCCTCATTGCCAACCCGGAGCCCAATGCCACATTCTTCACCCTGTAAGAGGCCTACATGATGGTGACTCTTGGCGAAACTCATCACTAACCCAGCATATCTTAGGGACCAACTTAATGTTCATAATGTCCTGGAGCACGATGCTAGCTTGAGGTAAGTTTGAGATCTGCCCGTCCGAATAGCCTTGTCTCGACCCATTCAGGTTTTGGCATATTCAGCTTGAGCTATACTCTATAGGTAGTACGATAGGTAGACTTGAACTGTACTAACACCTTGTCACCAGTCGCACCGATGCCGCCTTTGGCAACAACCATGTATTCAACCAATCCGTCTTCGACGAGTCGAGAGCCTACTGGACAAAGGATGTCCTCGATGCCCAGCAGCTAGCCAACAGCAAGGTGGCGCGACAGGTCACGTCCAGGGCCTTCAACCCCAACTATACTTTCACTGCTACCGTGGAAAACTTCAGTCTTGGCGAGGTTGCCGCCCCCATCATTGTCTTCGGCGATATGACCGCCGGTACCGTCAGCAAGGCACTTGTTGAATACTTCTTCCGTAAGAGACACATGAAACAACTCTTGCAGGCGACTGTGGACTAATATTTCATGTGCAGAGAACGAGCGCCTTCCTGCTGAGTTGGGCTGGGTTAAGAAGACGAACGCCGTCACCCAAGAGGACATCCTTAAGGTGGTCGAGATGATTAGAAACGCGACTGTGCTTACAACTGGTGGCGAGGCCCAAGCCCCCCATAAGCGCATACTCAGGGACTTGCAAACTGGCTTCAACCTTCTGTCCTAGTCTCAGTAACGTATATTTGATCTGTACATGTAGCTATATGCAATGACGGGTATTTAATACCCCCCTTTATTTCTATCTTCTTATATGGCTTCTTGACACACTGCTTCCGACAATGAAAGATGTTGAGAAGTGATGAGGCCGGGCATTGCAGAATTCTGTAAATAGATTGGGACTGTTGTCACTATTCGGTTCGGGGTTGCCCTTTTGTCGTCATGGAAAGCAATAAAATCAATTGTCAAACACACATGGACATTAAACATAGCAACGTAACCATTCCATACCCTCAAACCCATGTTAGGAGAGGATCATTTACTTTTTTATGGTCTAATACTTGGAAGCTATGCGTCTGTGTTCCGGTGACTCAAGATTTGAGGTCTACTATCGTAATGATATTGTACCAAAAAGGGGTATGGAACCACGCTTATGAAGGCCTTTGACTTTGATAAAGTAAAAAAAGGCACCTATTAATTGCCAAGTCCTGGAGGCGCATTAAAGTCGCCGGGGAACGAGAAGTCAAATCGCTGTTACTTGCAGCGAACCCCAACAATTGACCCACAACCTTAACATGGGATGGCCGCGATTTACTTCCATTCTGAGAAGAATGCTCTAGCGCGCAAGTAGTCTTACGCTCCCATTGGCGGGTTTTGTCAAGGTAACAGTCTTTCGGTTTTTGATATGACGAGGTGCAGTAGCATTTAATCAAAATCATGGAGACCGGACAAACGGACTGGCTATGTAGAAATCGGGAGAGATGAACGGCGACACCACATTGCGCGGGGTACCTGGGGGATTCCATGGGTATTTATCTACAGACTCAAACATTCAATGCGTGCCGTTCCTGACCTGAACCATTACAGTAAGACGTAAGCTAGACGCACAATCCTTGAGATCATACTGTTCTTGGCGCAGCTATTAAAAGATGAAGTCGATTTTAGCATTTGCCGTGGGTCTTCTCCTCCGTAGTGCAGTCGCTATGTCACCCGAGGTTGACAGCGAGGGATCTTTCTACGCCCACAGAGTCGTGAAGAGGTGAGCACATCCGAGAACACATTGGGCGCTGCTGCATTCTGACGAATTCTTTAGACTCAAAACATCGCAAATTACATACTTCCCAGCAGAAAACTCGACAGGCACCGGAGTTCTCGTCTGTCCCGGAGGCGGATATGCCCGTGTTTCCATATCAAAGGAGGGATATATCCCCGCTGCGTACCTGAACAAGCTAGGCATCGATGCTTGGGTTCTCGATTACACCACCATCTCAAATGCAACCGCGCCGCTGTACCCAACACCCCAGAACGAGGCACTTGACGCCCTCGAGTACATCAGAGGACAGAACCGCACGATCAAGCTAGGCATCTGGGGGTTCTCGGCAGGCGGCCATCTCTCTGCCGTGACACTCACCAACCCGGAGGCCCGTCTTGATTTCGGCATCCTCGCATACCCAGTCATCACCCTCGAGGGAAATTACACGCACAAAGGCTCACGAGACAATCTCATTGGCGCCAACGCGAGCGCGGAGTTGCAACACGAGCTGTCGGCGCAGAACCGTGTCTCTGCGACCACGCCGCCAACCTTTCTGTTCCATACGTTCAGTGACACCACTGTCCCTGTTCAGAACACGCTCCTCTTTGCTGAGGCCATGGCAGTCTACAAGCGGCCGACGCAAGTGCTGATCATTCCGGAGGGAGGACATGGGCTGGGCTTGGCTCTCGATGATCCTAAGCGCAGCTGGACCACTGAGTTGTCGCGGTTTTTGAAATATTCAATTTAAATCGTAGAGGTTGGTTTGGCCTTAGACATCTTTACTTATTGCCGAGGACCATAATGTGGTTGATGTGATATTCTCGTCGAGACAACAAAAAAGATTCTGAGTAATTACCTTCCTTGCAAACAACGTCGATTGCTATCCGTCTTTGATGTGTGTGGAAGACACGAGGTACAAGAGATGCCTTCTTTTCCGAAAGTTGGCTAAAAAGTCTTGGACTGAGTCTTTCAGTGACGACATGGAATCACTCATCAGTTTTGAAATTGTACTTACTAACCGCCGTCTCCGAATTCGCTCCGAACCGTTCATGCAATGATTCGGGAGTTTATGAGTAAGCAGTATTGCACCACGCATTGAACAAGGAACGTTCCTTGAACTCTGACAGCCAAATGACACGGTTTCTAGAATTGCCCAACGCTTCTACAATACATGCAGGCGTACCCTGGAATTTTGGCGATAGGGGTCGGCAACTGAGACCAAAAAATCTCCGTCAATGACTCTCGGTGATGGTGATGGCATTTTCGTTCCGGAGAAGGTGGAAATCTTCGATTCTTACTCCTGTAAGCGTTGTTTTTCTTCCTCCCCACACTCGTTACCACGATCTTCGTCAACAAGTCGCGATATAATAGACAGCATTGCTATAAGACGTCTTTGATTATACTCATTCCATGATTGGCTTCTAGTTTCTGAGTTCAAAATGGCCCACTCGCGTAAGTCAACTCCAACTGCGCATACCTTATCCCGCCCACCGGCATCGTCGGAACATAGCTGATCTTTATTCCAGACTTTCCCGCCACGGCCAACGAAAAGGTACCGGCACTCTTTGGATGTCCATGTGTATGGAGCCATGTACCACTCTACGGCGATGCGCAAGAAAAGCGCCGCTATCACCACGCGCTGGCCAAGCCGAACGCCCCTGGCATTGCGCGACATCTACCATCTGAGATCATCCTCTGCATCGTAGACGCGCTGTTTGACCTGTACGCCAGAGAGGTTTCTCTGGGCTACGAGAAATACTGGGAGTCATCTTGTCTACCATATGAGACAGACAAGATGTGCCCTTTCTGCATGCTCCCTCGTTTCGACGTTTGGCGAGACGTTGCAAACTTGGCAGCTTCATGCCGCGCACTCTACGAACTTATCACGCCCGTGCTCTACAGGCGAGACGCAGAGCAGAATCATTCTTCAGCTCTGCTCATCTCGGCGAAAAGGGGCAACCTCCGGGCTTTGAAACTTGCGTTGGAAAATGGCGCAAACGCAGATGCGGACGATCACACAATGCCGCTGCAATGGACGAATGAATGCTTCCGGTATTGTGAGCATTGCGAGTACCAGGTTTGGTGGAGGGAGCCGCGCAGACTCGACATGAGTGCGCTGCACTGGGCGGCGTTGTGCGGAAGAGAAGATGTCCTTGAACTCTTGTTGAATCACAAAGCCGGCGTCAGCCCCAACAAGAGGGCAGTAGTGCAGCCAGGTCTGGATGCAGGGAATTATGGCTCGCTGCGGTATGTGGAGGATTATTGCGACGAATACAATGCCAGCTTCCCCTGCCTGGCACTGCAGACGACAATGGGCTACAACCCCGTAAGCTCCCACGGAGCCAATGCCTTATACTTCCTGTTGGGGACAGGCAGAATGCGAGCGCACAAAAAGACAGTGGACATGGCGAGGCTTCTTGTTAACGCAGGTTCTTCGTTGATGACACATGAAGCCGCGGAGCTTCATGCTCTCCATCAAGCGGCTGCATACGACAACGTTGAGCTGGTGCAGTTCCTCCTTTGCGAAACAAAAGTCGACCCGAATATCACGGATGCTGCCGGAAACACGCCATTACACCATCACGTCGACTCAAGGTTCAGGGTCGAGGGAGGCGCAAAGGACACAAAGACATTATCACTACTCCTGAAGTACGGTGCAGACCCCAACGTACGGAATGTTGATGGGTTATCGCCGTTAGACATTTGCATCGTTACAACATTGCTGGGTGCCGATAGAATGAAACTCTTGGTGCTTCTGGCTCAAAACGGAGGGACGTTGCGGGATCGAGACTTGGGTCTTCACAGATCGAGGCTGACTGATGAGCAACGAGAAGAACTGAACATCGCATTTGAACAAGCTAGACAATCCGAGAGAACTGAGTGGATCGGAGACATTTGACGATGTACAAACTTACAAAGCTAGACATATTATTTGGAGTTTTGCGTTCAATGACAATCTGTCCAACGTATTTGTAAACATGAGTTGTCGGTCCTCTTCATATCCCATCGAGTGCCACTTGACCCCATTTTCGCCAAGACCCAGAATACCGATTTTTTACCCTTTATTACCCCGCATTTAAAGGGGTACTTAACAGTACGTCATTTATCCCTAACGTGGTTCATCAGTCAGCGACGAATATCAGTCAGCGACGAATATCAGTCAGCGACGAACTTTTTCCCATGCACGTAATGGTATTTACTATTGCATAACCACAACACATTGAATTAACTATTCCTCATTACTACTCGAATCATTTGAGAATTCCGTATCCTTAGAATAGGTTCGCGTATTATGACCGGTCTCGCCATACATACCACAGCGTCTCCGAGCTAGCTGGGCTCTCTTTGATAGACCCCCCTCATCCTCTTGAGGTACTGGACGTTTCCCTTTTTGTTTCCCTTTAAGCAAAACCTGAGATTCCTCTATACTAAGCGCCCCTCTAAGCTGGACCCGCGTCCTTTTAGCCCTCCGGTGCTTATTAAGTGCAATATTCGTATCCTTAAGGGTACGAAGCCGATCAGTTAAAAGAGTAATTAAGTACGCCATTGCCTACGCACCCTTTGACAATTGCTCAACTATAGCAATAATTGGCGTTAGTGAGCTTCCTTAATGAGCAGTGATCCGACTTTTAATAAAATTGGACTGCGAGACGGTTTGTTGTGGGTTAGAGGGCGTTTGCGACTGCTAAGGTGGGGGTGTTGAAGGGTTGGCCACAGGAGGTGTAGGCGTCCGTAAACGTATATCAAGCTTTTCAATGACATGCTCTGGGTTCCATGGTGAAATTCCAGCGCCTTGAAAAGCAGCCCCAATGTTTTCTTTATTAAAACTTTGTTGTGGGCCTGGTAGAAGGCAATAAAGAACTCCGACTTGGTGATGTGGTTTATGGAGGCTTTGATGAATAGGTTAATTTCATCACCATATGCGCGTTTTAAAGGCGAATAAAGGGCAATATCTAATGGCTGTAGTAGATGTGACGAATGTGCAGGCATACTGACGGTTTTAATATTGTTCTGCTTGCAGTAATTGTCGAATTCGGCCGATAAATGGCTCTCGTGGCCGTCGATAATAAGCATCCGGTAGACGCCCTTCGTTTGGTTCTTAGTATGTTTGTCGAAGTATTTAATCTAGTTAAGACCCGTCTGATTATCCGTCCATCCATTATTGGTAGGTTTGATAACCCAGTCGCTAAGAAAACCTGATTCCGTGGTCCAACTAGCAAGGTGATATGCGCCTTTGACAATCACGAACGGAGGGATGCACCACCCGCCCGAATTGATACATTTAATAACTATAGCCCATTCACAGTTGCCAGGCTGGACAGACTTTGCTTTGCCGCGTCGATCAGCGCGTGTTATTACTATTGACGCGGTGATCATGCCCATCATAAAGCCAGTTTCGTCGAAATTATATAGATCCCCCTCTTGGATACCATACTTGGCCATCATATTACATAACAGCGCAAACCACTTTGATATAACCTCAGAATCTTCTTGAAGAGCCCTTTGATAATCGTATGGACGATTAAACTTGGTTTTCAGAGCAGGCTGCGAGTCCACAAACCGCCTGGCCCATCGCTTGCCAACAGGCTTGCCATTACGCGCTCGTAGAAGGAGATTGGCCATATCTTCCACACCAGCGAGACGCAAGGGAAACCCTCTTTGATCCTGCTTAATAATATATTGGAGAAGCGCTTTCTCTTCGATCGTATCAAGTTTATATCGTTAGGGTTAGGCACGTTCGCGTCGGGATCGATCGTTTATTTTATGGCGTACGGAACTTTCGGGGATACCGTAAGTCTTCGTAGCATATAACATACTTAGTTTTCGGCCGGTGGTGCGGGCTGATCGGATAGTCTCGATGGTTAGAAGTATATTGTCTTCTTGTGTATAAATTGGTATAATGGTTGTGTAGTTATTACGCGTTAAAGGTTGGAGTGGTTTAATGCAAACCGCATTTGGGAAAAAGTTCGTCGCTGACTGATATTCGTCGCTGACTGATGAACCACGTTATGCTCTTTTGCGTATTATCACCACTATTACTACCATTTGGATTGATGCTGCGATGTCTTCTAGTGATTCTGATACCTCTATTGCTTCTGATGCTTCTGATACTTCTGTACGCAGCTGTATAGTAGTTGAGATCCTTCCAGAAGACCTTACTGCTGCCTGTAATACAGACTGTACGCCAGAGCGCTGTGACGCAGCAACAGTCCGGCCCCACGAACCTCCAGCTACCGAGCATGGTCTTCCGGGCTCCTGTCAAGTTGGGATGTTGACGCAGGGTGGAAGCTCTCAGAGGCCAACTGCAGTTAGGGGTAGAATGATGAATTACTGAAATCTACTCCTCCCTCGACGTGTACTCCCTGCGCTGTATATATATCTGAGCTGCTCCTTTGTTGCTTGGACTCCTTACTACCTCTGACTAGCCCCTATCCGGGAGGGCTCTGACAGCTCCTTCCGGCCCTTTGACGTGCCGGCCCGGGCTCAAGAGGTACGGAAGCTGCCGGCAAGCCCGCTGGACCTCTTCGTCCAATACGTTCCGCAGAGCCTCGTGGAGCAGTGGGCCCAGTGGACAAATGCGGTGCCGTTGTCTGGCCCTAGGGCTAGAACGTCTAGAGTGAATTCATGGCGGCAGACTTCAGTAGAAGAGATCTACCTCTTCCTAGGGATCCTATTATATATAGGGATCCATAGGGAATCTACATTATCAACCTATTGGTCAACCCAACAGCAAACGGAGGATCCTATCCACCTATTTACGCGGTTTATTTCTAGAAACCGATTCCAACTACTGCTCCGGCGACTACGGATATTTAACGCGGCTGAATTCCAGCCTAGCCAGCCCAGCCAGGGCCGGGGCCGGGGCCAGCGCCAGGCCCAAGATCAAATGCCAGACGTATACCAGAAGGTTAACCAGTGGTCAGCCCACATCCAAGAGACTGGGGATTCCTTCTATATACCTGGTTCAGACCTTACAGTTAATGAGGCTATGGTCCGATTTACAGGTCGATCTCTTGAGACAACAACAATTCCAACAAAGCCTATCCCAACTGGCTATAAGATCTGGATCCTTGCCCAGTCTGGCTACTGTATACGGTGGCTGTGGCATGTACATGGAAAGGGCCCATACGCATTAGTCCCCCAGGCCCAGCCAGCCCAGCTGGCTGCTGGAAAGCTGGCTCTGTTGACACCAACACAGCAGGTAGTAACTACTCTTATTTCCCTACTTCCAGCTGCAACCTACCACGTATTTCTTGACAACCTCTTTGCTTCTATACGTCTCTTTCGTACCTTACGGAACCAACAGGTTGGAGCTTCTGGTACTTGCCGAAAGGATTGTGGGATAGATAAGACCTTAGTTAAAGAGAAAGAGACTGAGGGAGGAGATATCCCCTGGGGTGAAGTACACTGTATCCCTACTTTAGGTGGGGAGGTAACCTAGCAGCCTAGCCTAGCCCAGCCCAGCCCAGCCCAGCCTAGCCAGCTTACCTACCTAGCTAACTAGTAAATAGGTTAACCAGTTTACCTGGAAGGATAATGCCCTTGTACTATTTCTATCAACTGTTTTCCAGAACGGCGAGGAAGTTATCCGCAGCCGCCGCCGCCCAGCTGGAAATTCCACTGCTAAGAGGGCTGCCCGACAAGTCTTTGGCCCAGACGTCCGCAAGAACCTACCAATCCCTAGGGCAATTGATGAATATAACCACAAGATGAATGGGGTTGATATAAGTGACCAGATGAGGTCCTATTATCAATATAGCCACCCTATTCGTCGAGGGGGCTGGCAGTCAATTGCCTGGAATTTCCTGCTGGAAGTGCTAGTTGTGAATAGCTTCTTACTGCAGCTCTCGGGCAGCCCTAGGTGGCAGGAGGTAAAAACCCACTACCGCTGGCAGCAGCTGCTTGCAGCCCAGCTTATCCAGCAGTTCGGACCATTAGCACAAGGACGGCAGAGGTCACGGCCTAGACGGGCTGCAGATAAAAGGAATACCTCTATTCCATGGGAACAGCATAGGAAGGGGTCGAGGAAGGTTAATTCGCCTTGCTCTTATTATAGTAATCTGAGGGCATTGAGGACCCGCCAGACCCTAGGTGAGATATCTGGGAATAACCTCATTAAGAAAAGAAAGAAAACACGGAAGGGCTGCTTAGATTGCAATGTACCGATGGAGAGTGCTGGTACCTCTGGCACACCCAAATTATATAGGAAATTGAGGTACTATGCCCCTATTGGTTAACTCAATAGATTCACAACCCCTTATTGGCTCTACCCCGCCCTTGGCGAAAATGGGGTCAAGTGGCACTCGATGGGATATCACCGGAATCGTTTTAGACCAACTCTACTCAGGTCTGACATCAAACTGCCCGATTGGACAAATTGACTCCGTTCATGTACTCTAGCAACCACCTAGTTTGATTATTTTTGTCCATGAGGATGCGTGCAAGGAGCAGGTAGGTATCGCCCGGCAAGTTACAGCAGTGTTGGACCACCCATCTTATCAGAGTTCAGATGGCAGAACTCAAAGCCAGGCCACGGAAGACGGACGGAGTGGAACCACACACGCCTCCGTTTGCCCCCACAACCGGCATCTGTCTACCGGATGGAATTCGGCAGGGCAGCCGAACAGAATCCAGGACCCTTCCACCTGCCATCGACCTTTCAGGAGAAGGGCAGCTTGCCATATGACAGTGATGTATAACATGATACGAGTGGATCATAGCAAAGTCCGAGAATCATGGCTTGTCTTCCTAAGCCCTTCGGCTCGGAAGAATCGGCGGCGATCCTAGCACGGCCTGCAAGTTTGACAGCAACAAGTATTGGAGTGGGCAGACATCCTTTAGCTTCAATCCTTACTGTTGGTTCACGGGGTCGTATACGACAAATAGTGGTAGCAATTATCACTCGTCTGTTGGTGATCCTATTGCTTGTTCTTCTTGTTGTTGTTCTATCTTACATTGTAGGCAGGAGTCGGTCGAAGTAGGTAGTGACGGCCTGGGTGGTTGCCCCACCTTTATCCGGCCGTGATGACTAAGCCAGTTGTCCCACTTCGCCCAGGGCAGGTGCCAGCCAGCCCATGGTACCTGCCTATTACTCCTTATCAGCCTTTGCTGTTCCAACACTTACTTTGAGACTTGTCGGGAAAAAACAAGCTTCCCGTTCAAGAGAAGAGATGAGAATAGGAAATACTAGCCCAAACTTGACCAACTTTAGGTCACATTGGATCATCGGTAGTCGCCGACACGTGGAACCCCCACCCCCAAGTGCCGGTGCCGGGCTCACCCACAGTCCTGCAAACCTGGGAAGTTCGGACTCGAGCCCACAAATTCTGTTCTGACAGGCGGAACCTCCAATGGCATTCAATTCTTGGCTCCGTATTGTTTCCATCGCCAGGGTTATTCATCGGATCTACACATCGATGTCGGCCAGGCCGACCCACGCCATAAACATGATTCACTGCCCCCTTTCTCAGTGTGGAGTTGAACTCTTTCGCAAGCCGAAATGCGTGGTTTTAATCTGATAGACTCGTCGGCGTTGCTGTTTGGTTGGATGATAAGCGGGTGCAATACATCTGAGGACGCGTCTCCAGGAGACCAGAATGGGTCTCAACGTGAGCAGTGATGAGCCGGTGCCGTCCATGCAATTCGTTATTCGGCTTATTGGTACCTGTCTTTCCCGCCGTTCATAGTCAGCCTACTCATCTTTATCACACGACGGAGCAAGCGGACAATTTCCGACCAGGGCGGGAGACGAGTTCGTAGTCTCGGATTCTGTAGCCGCTCCGGCACGCCTCAGTCATAACCACCGAGCCCGGCGCCTGGATCCGGCCATGAACGGGGCTGTGGAAATGGCTCGTCGTAAGCTCTGCACCACTTTTTGCCTATTTCCCCATGACTTATGGCTTCTTTTGCCGGAGAAACACCGATAGAGCAGGTTGAGAGGTATGACGGTGGTTGTTATAAGATCTGGGTCTTGGCGACTATCATTTGATACAGAGCTGAACCCGGATTCTAATCAGATTGCAGTTCCTAGTCTATTGGCGATCATCTAAGTCATTCTTTTGTCTCTCACATACTCGTTCTGTGCAGTCGAGGACGTGCATCTTCTAATTCATTACCCACCCAAGTCACTCTCTTGTCTGTCTCTTGTACAGGACAGCACCTTCTGCAAACATGTCCCGCCCGTCAACCGCGTGGGCCTTGGCTATACTCGCCTTTGTGACTGGCACCTTGGCCGAAGATGCGTCAGCTAACTACACAGAACAGCTCTTGAGCTCCGGCACTGATGTGTCTCTTCCTTGCTCTACCTCAACTCTCGATGCCGAACATCTGCTTACCGACAAATGAACAGTTAAACTCGGAGCTTGGCAGGATGCTTATGATAAGGCATCAGCACTTGTGTCCACACTGACGACCGAAGAGAAGATCTCCATCGTTGCTGGTAGTGATGGCGGCAACTGGACGGCACTGCACAATCTCGACTCCGCTACCAACCCTCTCACCTACTTCTACGTTACGACGTGGCCCGCCGGTTTGGCGATGGCTATGACCTGGGACACAGTAGCCACGGAGGGCCAGGGACATGGCGTTGGTCAGGAGCTCAAGGGAAAGGGTATCAACATGGCATATGGGCCTACACTTGAGCCTCTTGGTCGCTCAGCGTGGGGCGGTCGTTCTGGCGAGACATATGGCGTGGACAGCTATCAGACTGGAATTATGGCTGGCGCAGTCGTAAAGGGAATGTCATCCGCTGGTGTAACGGCCAGTGCCAAGCACTTCATCCTCAACGAGCAAGAGACCAATCGCATGAGCACCGGCTCTGGAGGTGGCATGGGAGGAGGTGGATCTCCTCCCGGTGGATCGACCAACTCGACTTTGACGGCGCGCCAGGCGTCATCGACAAACACTACGACAAACGGCACACCTCCTCCGACGACTCTGGTTCTTACACCGTTACTATCGGCGACAAGGCTTTCCACGAGACCTACCTGTGGCCGTTTTACGACACTGTCTACAACGGCATGGGCGGTGCCATGTGTGCCATGAACAAGGTTAACGGAACATACTCGTGTGAGAGCCAAGACCTCCTCGCCAAATACCTCAAGGTCGAGCTCGGGTTTCCTGGCATTGTGTCTGCCGATGTTAGCGCGCAAAAGACTGGCATCAACGCCGCAAACGCAGGCATGGATCTGGCCTCGAGCAGTTACTGGTCAAATGAAACGCTGGGCGTGGGCCTCACCAACGGCAGCTTCACCTCTGATAGACTCGACGACATGGTTATTCGTAACATGATGGGCTACTTCCACCTGGGTCAGGATAACGGATACCCCAGCCTGGCTGGCGCAACGGACCGCATTGACAACCGCGGCAACCACAGCGCTATGGCGAGGCAATATGCTGCTGAGTCCATCGCTCTACTCAAGAACACCAACGGTGCGCTCCCGCTGGTCAACAAGACGAGCATCAGCATCTTCGGTTTCCATGCTGGCCCCCGTTATGTGGGTGCGAACACTGCTCTTGGCGTCTACGACGGTGAGCCTTCGACCATGCAAGGTCACATGGCTGTAGTCGGAGGGTCTGCCATGGGTTCGCTGGCATATCTGTCTACGCCACTTCAGCTCTTCAACGAGCGTGCCGCCAAGGATGGCTTCATGCTTAGATGGTGGCTCAATGATACCTCCGAGACGTCTTTCAGCGGCATGCAAGGATCCGGCACCGAGCTCACCGAGTCCACCACCGGTGTGGCCGAGGACTCGGATGCCTGTGTTGTCTTCCTCAATGCCTCGGGCGGCGAGGGCGCCGACCGCACGGAGTTAACCAATGCTGACCAGGACACGCTCGTGAACACCGTCGCTGATGTCTGTAACAACACCATTGTGGTGATCAACACTGTTGGTCCCCGCTTGGTCGACGCTTGGGTTGAGCACGAGAATGTCACTGGTGTGCTGTATGCTGGTGCGCTGGGCCAAGAGTCTGGAAACGCGATTGACGACGTTCTCTTCGGAGTTGTCAACCCCTCTGGTAGACTCGTTCACACCATTGCCAAAAATGAGAGCGACTACAACCCGGACACGATGATTAGTGAGACGGAGCTGAACCTGGATTATTCGGATGGCAACTACATCGACTACAAATACTTTGACCAGTATAACATCACGCCTCGGTACGAGTACGGATACGGCTTGTCTTACACCACTTTCGACTACTCTTCTGAGGTCAAGACTGAAGCCTCCCCTAAGCTTACCAGCGGTTACGCAACGGGGGACAAGGCAGTCGGTGGCCGCGAGGATCTCTGGGACATTGTGGCAACTGTCTCTACTACCATCATGAATACCGGTCCTCTGCAAGGCGCCGAGGTAGCCCAGATGTACATCTCTTTCCCCGAAGCAGCTGGAGAGCCAGTCAGGCAATTGCGTGGGTTCCAGAAGGTCGTGATCTGTTCTGGAGAGAAATCTGAGGTGGCTTTCTCGCTGAGATGGAGGGATTTGAGTGTCTGGGACGTTGCTGCGCAAGAGTGGAAGGTTGAAAGCGGAGAGCACACGCTTTACGTTGGCTCTAGCAGCAGAAACTTCAAGGCCCAGACTACGTTGAGAGTTGACTAGGCAGGTAGATGTTCTCTTCCACATATTTAGTTCCATGTACCTACATATACGTTATATATATATATATATTCATTCTCGAAGACGACGTCCAATGCCAATTTCGAATGAGTCTCAGATGCCTGTGAAACTATGCTCTAGTGTTTGAGACTTCGATATGCATGTGGTTTGGTAAAGCCGAATTTTGACAAGGAGCATATTCCTGGCATCTTCTTTTGTATGTTCTTTCCCATGAATTTCTTTGAGCATCGGAAACAATCCTGTCTCTACCATCAACTAAGACCTGGGATGTTGATGTGGTCACTCTTTTCCAGAGCTGGCCAAATCCTCTGCATGAGGCCCAGTTGATCTCAGTAATCCTTTATCGTGGACATATTTTCCCCGGATGTTAGGGGACACTCGTGCTTTTCCACGTTGGTCTAGAGCACGGAAGCTGCAGGAATTCAAACATAGCAGGCCATCCAAGTTATTAGACAAACGAGGCGCATACCTCTCTTTCAGATATATAGCGTCAAGTGAGTAGTGTGTTTGTACAACAGTTCATTGAAAGCTGATTGCCAGAGAATCTTGATCTACTCCCGTAGCTCTTGGAGGGAGTGAAATCGAATAATCTTCAGGCTCGAGATGATCTGTAAGTTCTAGTAATCATCCAAGTCACAGGTTCAGGAGCATTGTCAAGGATCTCAAATTCTGTCCAAAACTTGTTACTACTGTACTTGAGGGAATGAAATTCGCTCCTCCTTTTCAGGTCTCAGGTTCCGCAGCCAGATAATTAGGTAGTAATAGCATGATTCTACTACAATTGAAGTCCTCGCCTTAGGTACTTGGCCAAGGCAACACGCTCACATCATCTCCATACATCAGTTTGACAGAGCGCGCGGCGTCCAGTAGACTTAGATTCTAGCACATAAAGGTTTCTTAACAATGGGTACAAAGGAATGTCTAGAGTACGACTAGGCAAACAAGGAGGGGTGTGGCATTCTGGCATTGTGTTTCTTACGCTGTCAAATCGCCAGCTTAACGCCTCATCACCATCGTGTCACGATCACATCAACTGAGCAAATCCTAGGTAGACCACAAATAAGCAGTCAGCAGCCACGGTGCCTGTACCTCTACAAAAAAGCCCAGATACAGGTAACATGGGTCTTGTGATCTACGTCCCACAAAACTCGATACTTGAAATGCTGAAGTGCTTTGCGACGCTGCATCAGTTTGTGGCTGACTGATAAGCCGGGCGAGGGATAGAGTTCTCAAGTAAGACATCCCCTCCATCGACCACGCAATCTTGGTTCTACTCCTGTGAGGTACATGGTAGGCTATGCACCCCAAAGAAGACAACATCGTCAGTGTTTCATGCCACCTCAGCTCCCCAGTCACGAGAAAGTTCTATCTCATGCCGCGTAATGATTCCATTCTTATCATGAAACAACCGAATTCTCATGTCAGCATAGTCACGGCAAGCAAGAGCCATCACAATACCACTGCCGTCTTGGCTTGCAGAAGATGTGACGAGAGATCGAGGAGGGGTAGGTAGAGGTGTGCAAGCTAGTCTCCTCTCCTAGCCCCCGACCCATCGTGCTGACAAGCTGACAGAAGTAGAAACAAGAATCGACGAAACCGCATCGGAACCCTGTCACCCGCCACGGTTCACCCACAGCCCTAACCCACACCAATGCCGGCCTCTGATCCCCGGTGTCAAGCGTAGCTTAAGGTTTCCCCTCTGCTTACATGTAGTGTTGGATTTACCCTGGCTTGAACTGTGAGTTACTTGAATGGCCTTCCGAGGTGCCAAGTCCGAGGCATCCAATGAGTCACAGTGGCTTGTAAGCAGAGATGCTCGCTAAAGCGGGCATCTGGATCCCAGCAGTTTCGGATAGCAACAAGCACAAGTTGTGTAATTGTTTGGAAAACCCGGTCCTTTCATACCAGAACCTCGACCTGTCTTTGTGTTCTTTGGAATTATTGGCCACCAACCCCAGAGCAGTCGTCTTCGAACCCGCAAGACGTCAACACTTCTGGACATGCCAAGTCCAAGGCGGCAAAGTATCACGACCTCGACTTGCCATCCGTCATGTGGCGCTGAATCAATGTGGAAGATCTGATAATGATGACACTCTTACTTCAACACCATCCATAGTCCAAGGAAACTAGACTTGATAGAACCAATGATCTCAACGAGCTCGGATGAAGATATCAGATCTCCTAGCCCACTGGCAGGCAACCTATAGGATGTACCTTCAGCGAACCCGTCCGGCATCCAAGATCTCATAGCAAAACGAGTGAGCCTGTAAATCCGAAAATCCGGCAGGCAAATGATCAGCACACACTTCCGCCCTAGATTGACCGCTAAGGTTCACTCGTACCTCTCGTGCCTCTCGCTCCCTCGTCAGGCTCTCCCCCTGTTTCCCTCATATCCCCATGGTGATGCTGCGTGGCACTTACACCCCTCCATGCCATGCCATGCGCCATGCACTCTACTTCGACGCCGAGGTGCGAGGTTCTCAGCTGTAGACACACCTGTGGCGTGAAGGATTATGTTTGGCTCACCCCTCCCCCAAATTCACTCTCCGTCGATGCCATGTAGGAGCTGTCGCGCAACTTTTATCTCAGCTGGGTACGGGAAGTGGACGGAACGGCATAGAACTTAGAAGGGAAGAAGTGTGAGCCTCACACCAACTCTAGTTACCCCCTGTCACGGGCAAAACTCCTTCTCCTGTAGGTGATCGTCGTCTAGGGGTGTCCTGTGGAGGTTTTGCAAGTGAACTTTAGCGTTAGAGTATTAGAGGATGCCCACCTCCACTCGGAGAAGCCACCGGTGATCGACTTGCTAAAGTCTTGTAAAACTTGGCAGGCGTTGAGGTGTCAGTCTGGCCCTGGGTGATGCACTAGGATTCTTCGAGGCAATGTTCAATCTCTCACACAACCACAGTCAAGGTTTCTTCGGTGACAGAGCCAAAAAGGCAGCAAAAGCCACGCGAGGCTTTCCTCCAAACCAAGGCCACGTTCCCATGTCTAGACCACCTCACAGCCGTAAGGCTGCCACCGTCCAAGGTAGTTGGCCTGACTAGTCCATGTGTCAGCAGCAAGTGCCGCCCGCGACCCCGGTGGTTGAGTTTGGCTGATTATGTCCGATGAGCGCCAGAGGCTTAGAGCCTGGCTGGCACGGTTGCCAAACTCCCATCAAGCCTTTGCTGACACTCGCCCAGGGCAGATTCTGAATTGTTGAAAAGTTGTGTAGCCATCTCGAGTCGTGAGGGACTTAGAGCTTCGGGCGAGGCATCACGTCATCGCGTAATTCTGACATGATGACTTCAGCGCCATCGAATATGCCTATCTGGGACGCCTTGAGTAAGGCGCAAATAACTAAGCACTATGTGAGCCACAGAACAAGCCCTGTCACTGAAGCTACAAGCATCTCACGCAGCCTGGACTGTTTGTTTATGTTGCCCTGTGGCTGGCGGAAGCTCAGGCCTGTGGGCTAACGACAGATGGCTTCTTCCGACCATGCTGTGGCATACTTACGGTGCCTACATGGACCTAAAAGAATCCCACCTCTATCGTCGCCAGCAGCGTTGATAGTATGAGCCCACACCCCTTGCCCCTTGCCGATGCCAGCGTGCTTATGCATGTCTGTCGCAGCCGCCCGAGGCAGAGAGCACTAGGCGACGTTGGTTTGAGCTGCTTTGGGGCCCCCCCGTTTTGTATTGCCCGAATCAGCAAACTGCCCTGGTCCTGTATGTGCTCATTCGCGGCACTTGCCGTTGCTATGCCTTTGCAGGATCCAGGTCTCCTTGCCCCGACAATTTACGGAGAGATGACTGAAACCTCATAAGCAGGTTGTACCTAGGTTGTGAAGGACTGATAATGTGGGGGGCTGGAGGTTGTGTAAGCTACGCCCAGCTTGAGAGTCAGAATTGGCCTCGGAGGAGCCTCATCACACCCTTTAACACTCATAAACTGTTAATTCGCTTGTAGAAATCGAGCTAAACTACGGCTTCTCGAATCATGGAAGAGTAAGTTGAAGAGGGATTTAGCAGACGTATTAACGCGCTAGTTGCGACATGCACCAAGCGTTCGGGAGAGACTTCTAAAACAGGAACTCTTCACAGCAGTGCTCACCAAGGCGTGTCGATTGATCGCCATCCGATTGACATCGGGTAGCACGCGGATCCAGCAGTCCGTGTCAGCCCTAATCTTCTCTCGGACGGAGACGCATGCCGCGCGCCGCAGGGTGTTTCTTTGGCCTTATGGACCACGACGAACGTCTCAGCAGCCCACAATCCCAGTCTTCCAGGAGTGTCTCGGGAAGATGCCACCACCAACAACATTTCCTGCAGGTTGGGGCGGCCTGTGCCATCCTCGCTTGCTGCTTCATGGAACTCCAGCTGTCTCCTTCACGCCACTCAAATGCCTTGTCAGGCCTATTGCTGACATGCGTCACGCTTTCTGCTTACGCTGCCGGGCAAAGTTTCCGTGTGTCCCCTCTCCTCGGCCCTCAAAACGAATCAGGGCGTACAGAGATTCGCAGTATGCACTGCATTGAGATGGCCAAGAGGAAATCAGCGGAGGATATATGATCAATTTGTGCTGTTGGCAACATAGAGGGTTCCATCGCCGTGGAGCGGCATCTTCGGCCTTTAGTCGTCCGCGTGATCCTATCGCCGGCTTCCTTCGTCGACCCGACAGCAAGGGCCTAAACAACGTGTAACACCCAATCGACCCCGGCTGTGAATCCTTCGAGAACCGAGGTTAGCGGGGTAACCCGTATTATCGTAGGTTTTCTCTTTCGGAAGTCCCTAGTCCTTCGGCAAACACCCGCTATGATCATCCGCGCCAGATCGAAGTCCTGGATCTCTCGAGGAATCCCTGGCCTAGCCGGCCAGTGACAAGTTGTCAGGTTTAATAGTCACACGCCCATGATCGCCAGCAAGGATTCTGACGGAACAGTCCTCCACGGCAGCTTGTGGTTCCCCAGCGACCCGACAGCCCACCAGGGCCACTGCAGTCGTCTCACTTGCATAGGGGTAAACCAATGCCACACCCTTCTAAGACGTAAATGAGCCAATGAGGAGACATTCTTTGGACAATGATGTCTTGTATCCAGGAGAATGCAACATCGAAGCGTTGTCCGCACGAGAAAGGATAACAGCCGGCGCCGACTCCAGATAGAGCAAGCTAATGCAGCAGGCCTGATTGGGACACAAGTTGCTTAAAAATCCTTGTCCTGGTCATGTTGAACTTCTCGACTTGGTGGTATGTACAGGCGGGTATAAGAGGAGAGGTTGGTCCGGGTGGTGACATCGAGAATCATGTGCTCGGAGTGGGCTGACGGTGGTGATATGGCTGCGGCACCGGCGATTGTGGATCTGGCTGGTCGCCGGCTTGTACTGCGGTCCCGTCTTTCGGGCTTCGGTGGTGAACATTTCTCAACTACCCGGCATGCCTTTCGGAACAGATGGAAATAGGTTTGGTTGCTGGAGACGCTCCCGATTTCTTTTTGCAATCTCCATCTGTCGCTTCTTTTCAAGTCGCGCTCCGAAAAAGTTCCTGAGACGTGTTAGTTGAAGCCAACTTTGCACGTACAGCATGAAAACAGCCCATACTTTCGAAGTGCGAATATGCGAGGCTCGTCTTCCGCGGCCGGAGTTGGCGTGTCGGTGCCGTCCTTGGAGCTTATTAGCTGAAACTCCAGAAAACTAGCCATCATATGGGCCAAGAAGGCAAGGCACGGAACATCAAACAACTTGCCTTGGCGCTGTCTTCCTTCTTTTCGTCTTCTGTCTTTTTGTCGTCCTTGTCTTTCTCTTTGTCCTTCTCCTTCTCCTTCTCCTTCTCCTTGTCTTTCTCTTTTTCTTTCTCTTCTTTTTCCTTCTTCTTCTTTTGTTTATCCTCGTACTCTTTCTTCACACGCTCAACCTCATCCTCGAGGGCCTTTTTCTTCTTCGCTTCGACGGCCTCTTTGTCGATGATAGGGGAGCAGAAGTTCTTGTCCTTCAAATGGCTGGGACAGACGTAGAAGAAATCCTGCAGCTCGAGTTAGTTGCGGAAGGCCGAAAAGAACTTGTTGCGCTTACCTTATTCTCGGGAGCGACAAGGACGCTGCTTGTTGCACGGTAGCAGACATCGCAGCCCTTGGCCGCCTTTTCCGCGACCTTGCGGTGGGTGTAGATGTTGGAGAATGACATGTTGTCGCTCGGGATTGTGTGATCCTCTCGGAGGGATCGCGGTCAGGGCGGTTTTCGGTAGGCTCGGGTAGTCGAAACCGACCCCAAGGGTGAAGCTGGCGTTGACGAGACTTGAGGTTGAAGGAGCAAAGTCCGTGAAGTTGTCCGAACTCCGATGAGGAAGCCAACGACGGAAATGCTGTGGGGCATCCAGCGGTGAATTACCTAAGGTAATGTACGAAGTACCTTAGAATGACAGACTGGTGGAAACCGCGGGGTCAAGATTCGCGCCAAATCAGTACCATTGCATTTGGGCGCATCCTCCACTGTGACGTCGCAACTTTCAGGGGCCGCCAGGCGCTTTCAGATCCCCCAAGGATGGTCCAAGCTCCTTTAGCTTGCGATAAGGCGAACGATAAGACAAGGCTGACCTCGCACCTGTGTTTTCGTGTTCCTCTACTCCGACCTGAGCTTCCATGATTAAAATGTGAACGAGGTCAGCTATGACCAGATTACGACCGATGATGAGCGAGTGAAGCAAGACATTGCCGAGATCTTCAACTGCAAGAAGATCGTCGAGATGAGGGCGGCCAATGGGCGGCACCACCCAGCCTAGCGTCTTGGAGCAAATTGCCGTCGAGTTGATGCCACCCAGGTACCCTAGAGCAGATTGTTCGCAGTGCTTCGGAACCGCCTCAAGTACCCTAGAATAGTGCTCCATGCTCATATTATAGATGTTGGAGAAACATTGGGAAGACCAACCTTATGTCAAATTGTTAGAGTAGGCTATAGGACTCGAGGCCGAGACAACTACTAAGGACCGTGAATGTTGATTATTGATTTCAGATGTCACCGCTTTGTCTTCTTGGAACCTTGAAAGACTCGAATAAATCAGTGGCCCTTCGCAAAAAAAAGGGGCGCCGCCCTGAGTGTTCGCCGTACAAATCTGCCGTGACCGCCGCCGCATTATGTAAGTCCGTGCCGCTGTGCACCAGGAAGAGCCGCTTCAGCGACCAGCTTCAACACGTCACATCCCATAATTTTTATCGACGTCGCGTCGGGAGGGAAAAAACAAATCCAGAAATTTACCTTTACTATAGGGACGCCTTCCGCCATCCAAATTTTTCAGATCAGCCGCGATCTGGTCAATTCTATCGAATCCGTTATCAAGAATACGCCGAATAAGGAACAGGAAATAAATAATTCACAAAAAATGGTCGCCGGTCTCGACAGCCAGCGGCTGGAGGCCGTCTTCCAGTCGCGGCCCGACATCTTGCAGGGCATTCAAAAGGCAGCCAGTACGACCATCTATTTCAATTGCGCAATTTCTCTCTCTTCAATTCTCAAATGCTAATCCTTGACTACTTAGACACACCCGATCGAGTCGCATTGTTCAACAACATCGCGAGCTTCGTTCACGAGCAAATCAACGGACCCGAACCGGCCTCAAAACGCAGACGGACAGACGAAGGCCCTACGAATGGTTTCAAGTCGTCCAACACGAATGGTGCGGCTGCAAAGCCTGCACCGAAAACCACAGGAACCGGAAATGCTGCCGACGAAGAGGTTCTGCTCGAGATTAAGGAGATTTCCGTCTCCGTGCCCCAGCGCAAGAAGTACGAGCTCTGCTTCACGGCGAACTTCTTGTACGCGCGGCTACCGAATACCACTACACCCGTCGAGGGCATCATCTACGCATGGGATGATATTGGTGCGTCTTCAACGCCTTAGGAGCTTCCAAGCCAAGCTAACGTGCGCTCCAGAATACCTCTTCTACCTCCCCGTGCCCGAGAAGACCCAGGTGCAGCACAACTACGTCCTATTCCCCCGTGGAACATGTCTCCCGACGAAAACCTCACCCGAGAAGGAAGCTCTAGTATTCACAGTCCCCGCTACAGCGCCCAAGGCAGGCACTATCGGCGGCCCGAAAGCGAACGCGGCATCAGCAGTCTCCGACACATACCGTGGCCTTTTTGATTGGGCGTTGACGACACACCTCAGCTCCGCCGGCAACCCTGCCGAAATCGTCGCAGCCGACCCCAATATCTTCCACAGTCTCGTCCGTCAGCCGCACAGACCGAGCGAGAAGGCGGTGCACGTCAAGGCTTTCCGCGGCTCCAAGGACGGATACCTCTTCTTCCTTCCCAACGGCATTCTCTACGGTTTCAAGAAGCCCCTAGTCTTTTTGCCCATCGATCGCATTGTGGCCATGAGCTATACGAGCGTTCTGCAGCGCACATTCAACATTGTGGTGGAGGTGTTTACCGAGGGCGATGCCACCGAGGAGATTGAGTTCGGCATGCTGGACCAAGAAGACTACGGTGGCATTGACGAGTCTTATGTTAAGCGCCACGGACTGCAAGATCGCAGCATGGCAGAACAGAGGAAGGCGAAGATGGAGCTGACTGAGAACCTCAAGAAAAAGGGCGTGGACGCCGACGCAGGTGCAAATGGAGAGGCGGATGCCAACGGCATGACGGAGCTCGAAAAGGCCCATCTCGAGGCTGAGCAGGCACTCCAGGAGGACGAAGACGAGGACGAAGAGGATTACGACCCTGGTAGTGAGGGAGAGAGCGAGGGCTCTGGCTCCAGCGATGATGATGACGATGACGATGACGACGACGATGAAGATGACGATGCTGGGGAAGAAGGCGAAGATGGTGACGAGGAGATGGGTGAAGGCGAGGGTGAAGGCGAGGAAGAAACATGAGATGCTAGGAAGCATGTGCGTTCAAGGTGAGGCTTGAGCAGAGACATTGGCTGTTGCAGGCTCTCTCTGTTGCCGCCCATGTTCATGATAGAGGTGTACGATAGAGACGTCGGTCGTGGAATCGACTCCATAGCATAGGCGTCTTCATGCTGGATATCCGAGGGTTCAAGGTGAACCCAGGTGCAATCACAACAATTGTAGAATCTGCATCAGTCTCACAGCCATTGCACTTTCATGGGATCGCCATCTGAGTTCTGTGGCGGCATACTTCAGAGAATCTCTGTTTCTCACCCACTGCTTTCATGAAGAAAGGAACGCCAAGGGCCCGTACGACGAAGTCCTCCCCAAAGGAACGCTTCAGAGTACTTTTCCTCATCAGCCACCTGAATTACTGGGTTACGTTCTGATGATGTGTCACCAAGATTAGACACGGCAAAGAGAAGCCGTATTCTCCAATCTCCTTCAAAAACAAGCTCTGCAAGACCGGACTCAGCAAACACGGAATCCTAAACCGTCCCATGTCAGCGATACTGACAGCTTTCTTGATAGACATCCAGAACGGTCCATTCAAGTCGAATACTACCCTGTTACCTCTCACCCGATATTTTCAAGAGGTGCACACGGCAGGATCCGAAGAGTGTAGACGCAGGCACTGAACCTTGATTTGTCGTGTTCTACGAATGCGCATGGTTTAGGGATTTTATGGGATCCTCATATTCAGGCACGGATTACCTCTGCTAAAAAAGTTCGGATCAAAATAGGCATTCTCTAAACTATGGAAATAGTATCATTGAGTTCAGAGAAATATAAAAGCAAGCACTCGGTGCTTGGCCGACCATTCATGCGAGCCTTTCCTTCTCATTCTCTGCACATATTTATCATTCTTGGTACACCCCCATCATGAAGGTCACGATTCTTCACTTGGTATTCTTCCTGACCACCGCGGCAGCCATCGCAATTCCCACCAAGACAGCCGTGGCCACAACCTCCGCCCAGACCCCCACCGCATTCAACACTACCAACATTCAACCGCCGAAAGGGGGCGATCAAGACCATGACCAAGACATCGAGAAAGGCGACCTCAAACCCTGGGAACACCGGTTCTGTTCCATGAGACACCATTACAGAACGAAATCGGCACATCATAAGATGAAGCATCCCGCACCTCCAGAGGAATATACCAAGGGCAAAAAGGCGCCAAATTGGCAGCGTTGCAAGAAACATTTTGAAAAGCATATGCCGCCCATGAAGATGGAGTCACTTAGAAGTCTAGCAGACACGAACGGCACACGCGCATCTTCAGCGCAAGGGTACGAGGGACACAAGGGTCATAAGAGTCACGAAGATCATGGCTCGTGCTTTAAGAAGTGCGTCGGTTTCAAGATGCCTTTCCTCTCGAAGCTGATACCTGAGGGCGTGATGGAACCTATCTGTGAGGGTATTTGTGGATGCAAGGGTTCTGAGCAATGTAAGGGTAAGGACACCGGAGGGAAGGAGACGCCCCCGGAGGAGAGTCCCCCCGAGGAAAGTCCCCCGGAGGAGAGCCCCCCAGAGAAGAACCACCCGGAGAACAACCTACCTGTTCCGTATCAGGGCATGAACGAGATGCATGGATGGAAGGAATGGATCGCGAAAGAAAAGGAGATTGAGCCGGCTAAGGGTGGAAGAGATATTTCTACCAGATCCGTGGGAGAGGTCTCGACGGCATTTGTATGAAGCCCGTAAAAACGCTGCGGTGATTATGCGGTGCTGGAACTTCTATGGCCACATTTAGAGGCGTTTCTGTATCTAATATGTGGTACTGTATATAAGTAGAGGAGACATGAAGTTGAGGAGCAGACCGAAATGAATCCTTTATCTACCTTAGCTTACACCAATCCGACGTCTGGGTTCGAGCCCAGCGCAGCTGTTGCATCGCGAACATGTCAGTCTTGGACTCACAGTATTTGAGGCAGAACTTCTAGACAATTGTTCTTACTGAATCCGTACTTCTCCGTCCATATTTGGCAGTCCTCAGGGTCGTCACTTTTGTCCAATGGTACAGACTTTAGTGATCGTAAGGCGTTTCGATCATCGTGACAGTGGATCGTTTCTCCTAGTGCAACCCCAATATTGGTGATCAATCAGCCACGTGCGCAGCAGCTCAATATCCGTGGCTCAAGCATATGAAGTCCAGCTCGACTCACAGACATGTGAGATTGGAAAGCCAAGGAAGCCAGGACGAAGAAAGACAAAGGAGCCCAAGGGAGATTACGAGGCGTTGTGATTGGTCCCAATTCAAGCGTGGCTGACCATCCTCCCAATCTCCTCGTCAGCGCTAGAGAGCTTCCCGTTGGCAGGTCCAAGCAATTATCGGACGAGTACTTGAGTACAGACGAAAGACGAAGCAGGTGAATAATTAAGCATTCCGCCGGCGAATCTCCAAAACTCTCTTCTCTCTGAAACAAATTGAGGACTTTGGGGTCGTCACAAAGATTGTTCAGCCTGATCTCACAGCAATAACGCGCAACAATGGGCGAACCTGCGGCGGAGGACACTCCGGACACCACGCCTACATACGATTGCGTGGTGATTGGCGCCGGATACTCCGGTCTCGCGGCGGCACGGCTCCTGAAAGACTCTGGAAAGAAGGTCCTCGTCCTCGAGGCGCGAGATCGCGTCGGTGGACGCGCAAAGACAATGCCGCTCGACAATGGCGACTACTGGGATGTCGGGGCATCTTTCCTCGGCCACAAACAAGATCTCATGTACGGCCTGGCAAAGGAGTTCGACGTACCATTGTTCAAACCACCCAACCAAGGCAAGATCGTCTTGGCCTACCGCGGCAAGGCACGAAGCTATGGTGGCCTGATCCCGCCGATGAAGCCCTGGGAGGTTTTGGACATCGGTCTCTTCGTCCGCCGATTCGAGAAGTTGTGTGAGACAGTCAACATGGAAGAGCCATGGCAGACACCCAACGCGGAGGAGCTCGATCGCGTGACGGTGCATGAATGGTTGAAGAAGCAGGCATGGACGCAGGCTGCCATTGACATGGGCAACATGGCATTCGAGGCGACTATCGGGCAGAATACGTCTTGCATCTCGATGCTTCACGCCATGTTCTTCTTCAAGGGCGTGGTCAGTCTCACATCCGGCCTGAGCTGTGAAAATGGAGCGCAGCAACATTTCATCCAAGGGGGAGGGCAGGCCATTGCCGAGAAGCTGAGAGAACACCTCGGAGAAGGGGGGATACGCTGTGAGGAACCGGTTTGCGGCATCACGTACACCGAGAGTCTTGCGACCATCCGGACGCCGAAAGGAACATACCGCTCACGACGAATCATCTCCGCCATCCCGCCCCCGCATATCCTCAAAATCGACTTCGAGCCAAGGTTACCGGTAGAAAAGACGACACTACTCCAGCACATGCCGATGGGAGCCTACATGAAAGTCTACGCAACCTACAAGACCCCGTTCTGGAGGGAACGAAGCCTGACGGGAGAGAGCACGAACCCGACTGGCTTCCTCAGCGTGACCTATGACGCGACGCCGCAGTCAGGGTGCCCGGCCAAGCTCACGGGGTTCATCGCCGGCACCAAAGCGCGGGAGTTCATCAGCTTTAGCAAGGACCAAAAACGGGCTGTCGCCCTCGCCGGCTTCGCGTCCGCGTTCGGGCAGGAGGCGCTCGACCCGGAAGAATTCTTCTTTCACACCATGATGGAGGAGGAATGGGCTTCCGGATGCCCGATGGCGACCCCGGCGCCGGGGATGTGGACTCTGTTGGGCGAGTGGGTTCGGAAGCCGATTGGGGCTATTCATTGGGCTGGTACGGAGACCTCAACGAAGCATTACGGGTACATGGAGGGCGCGGTATTTGCGGGACACAGGGCTGCGAGGGAGGTTTTGGAGGAGCTCAAGTGGAAGATTTGAGGGCGGCGATGCGAAAAGGGACTTTGTTTCTGGTGGATGACCTGACTGGTGTTTGCCCTTTTGAAGTTTTGTCTGCCGGAGGAGGTTTGGTATCACTGGCGTTTGGATTTGACACTTGATTCCGAGTGCACGACTGCACTTGACCAGTCTAGCAAGACTAACATACCCCTAATTGAACCAAGGTGAATTTGAAGCCACGCTCTATCAAAAGTCTAAGGCCGGGTGTGTATGTGAATGCAATAACTCAAAGGGGTTCTCCTGGTGATCAGAGAGACAACGTCACACATCCATCGACACTGTCCTCCTCAAAGATCGAACCGAAAACGATGCCCTCGTTGATTCCGGACTCGTGGAAACCGGACTTAGTCAGATCGCCGGTGCCGTTGATCGACTTCTTCAAAACGCCAAAGTGGAATTGTCCTTGTCCTGAGATATCGTTCTCAATGGGCTGACCTTGAGCGACGAGAGGGGCGTTTCCTTGGGAGTAGTACACCTGGGTCAAGCTGTGGAACCAACGTCAGTAAATCTCGTGCAAACCCTGAAGTAGAAATATGCACTCACTTCTTGCCAAAGTCCAAAGTCAAGGCAAAGTTGCGGAACACGCCCTCGGTAAACTTGGCTTTGAAAAGTATCACAAAGCGAGGTAGCAAGTGGAAGACATGTATAGTAGAAAGTGGCTTGATTCCTCTAAATAGAAGATCCGTATAAGGGTCATATCTATATACCGTATAAGACAGGTAATCGGCTTATAGAAAGTAATATCGTACGGTAATAACTAGTAGCATTACGTATAGCGCTACAATATTGTTACGAGCTGGACAAGGCAACCAACTGTGGCACAAAGCAAAAGCTTCGATAATGATGACTCCGCATCATTTTTGTTACGACCCAACATGCATGACCAAGAACAAGGTCTGCCCCGCAGGCTCTGCCCCGCAGGTTCGCGGTGGCTACAGCGCACCATGTATGCAGAGGACAAGGAACACTAGGCACCCTCTCACGGAACGGAAGAACTATGGACAAGTCACGTGATGATAAGAGATAAGAGATAAGGATAAGGATATGTTGGATATGAGTTATCCAATCTATCCTTGGATAACCAGGATATGAGCTATCCAACATATCCAGACAAAGTGGACTGTACAGCACTGTTCAGTTAGGATCGGACTTGTATATAAGGATGGACTCGAGCTGGGCTCTAGGACAGACTTTCCATAGCTCTTCAGCAATTAACTTCGTATCAGGATTAACATCCGCTTTCAGCTACTACCTTGACAAGACTACGATTGATCACCGAAGCCTTACCTACCCTTACGATTGACAGACATAGCTTCCCTGAAGCTATCCCCGACTACGATTACTGTTACCAGTTCCGCAGCCTCAACTTCTGCAAACTACCCCTACGACTAGCTGGCCGTAACAAATAGGTCTCGTTTTATCTTAAAGAAAGCGTTAATTACGTCGAGAAGTCTAAGCTCGAGGTTAAACTTTACTATAAAAGCAATAATAATATAAAATATATAGTTAGTTATAGTTACCGTAAAAATTACGGTATATATATTTTAAGGGGACCGAGCCCAGCCTGGAGATAACGGACATTGCAAATGGTAAACTTAAGGTATAAAATGCCCTCATGATAGTCCTCTCGGATTGTATTTCCACAAATCGCTTGATTTTCGGGACTCTCTCGACTGCCGATGGACGTTGGCAGGCAGAGCAGGACGACATGGTTCCCCGCAAAGAAGTCAAATGTCACTGCAAGTTGCAACACTACTGCACGAGATTGAGCTTGAGCAGCTTGCAGAGAGGGGCGCGATTGGTCATGGTCGTCATGCTAGCCGATGTATTTGCCGGTGTTTCCGCCGCATACGCGTATTTTGACAGCGTATACGATCGAACTGATTAAGTGATCGCGTACAGGGCGCCGAGCTGGAGGAAGTATATGTTGTAAGCGGCACATGTCGCTGAGTCGACGATCTACCGAATTGTGACTTCGTATCTCGTACAAGGTCAAGTAACTAGCAGTGATCAATTTGAAGCCAACCCAGTCTATGAGTTACCTCTCAAGCTCAGGTGAGCTACAGGAGAGCTCTAATCTACAATGTTGCGATTCAACACCGCCTCGAATTCAAGAGAACCATCAGACTTATGTGTTTGTCCAATATCTACATATCATGCTCTAGAGGCTGCAAACAATGTAAGTATAACTATAGGCATGTAGGAATAAAAGTCCAATTAACTACTAGACAGCATTGATATACGTAGTATACATCCTGTGATAAAAGGTATTAGTAAATTCTATATCAATCCCGACCCATTTCTCTTATATTCTCTTTTAAATAGATTTCATTTTTAGTAGAATCGAGAAAGACCAGTCACTAATGCACTGACACCATCTAGCAGTTAATAGGATAGTTCAAGAAATCTCTCTCAGTCCATGGCTTTGTGCTCAGTTGGGTAATGCTGCCTTCCCTTTATAACAATTCACTTGTTCAGAGCTAGTATGTTGAATATGTGAATCACGAATACAAGGGGCTCGGATGGTTTGTGTGAACGTAGCCGATCACGCCCAAACAATGCGCTCCTGGTGGACTTGTTTGGAAAACAATTTTCCTTTGACTCCATTGTGACTGTTTGTACCAGGACACTCGAGACTCAACCACAGGCTTAGTATTCACAAACATTACACCCACACTATCGAGAAGCTTTAGGCCAATTTAGTTATATCTATATTCTCTTCTCCTGACGCCTTCTCAATCCAGAAAACACCAAGCAGCACAACGTCAACACGACATACCAATCAGAAACCGACAATACAACAGCTTCTCTGAAAAGACACCTCAAGGAATCAAAAATGTGCATCATCTACTGCTGCACAGAAAGATGTCTTCGGTGCAGCCGCCCGATAGACTACTACGAGCGACGATTCCCCTGCGCAGAACGCTACTGGTACATTGACGAGATCACTGGTGCCGAGATTCCCACGTGCCCCAACGATCTTAGATGGATTACAGGTATGGAAGGGTGGCGGCCTCATTGCGGTTGGTGCCTGCTTACGACTCTGGAGTTTGACAATCGACCGGCACGACGATAGTTGATGAGGATTGGCGGAGCAAGGCGTTAGGCCGGGAGTATTTAGGCACCAGGCTACTTCAACTGAGTTTAATGCATTCAACTTGCTTGAAGAGCCCTACTATTCTCTTACTTGTGAACATTGATGTTTAAGCGAGACTGCCTGATGGGTTTTCTTGGCCTGGTCCATGTCTTTGTAAGTGAATGGTGTGGCAAAGGGGCAACATTGACTACCTTACATCAGTTAAATGATGATGAGTCTATTGTAAACCTTAGGTCTTAAACCTAAGTCCCCAGTACGAAACTCAATCTAATCTTGGTTTCCGACCTTGATGGCGTCGTTAGAAAACTTCAATCTCAGAAGATGTTGTGATGGTTGTTCGGTGACTCCCACGGCATCAGTTCTAGACATTTCTAGACAAAATAATCCGCAAGAAATTATTCTCAATTCCCGAGGTTCTAGTTCTACGCTCTGGCCGACCTTGAACGTGCCAATGACTGAGGTTGCTGCTCGGGACGGGCTGCTGACGTGAGGGCTGTGCCTTGCATCTTACATGCGTGGCTTATGTTTCCCGACCTCAGCCAGCTCAGAAATCCATCTCCACATCGTCGCGATTGGCCAGATCGAAAATCCCACTCGGGCCCCTCAAGGAGGGTGCCAAACCTGGAAGCCCAACGTCTTTTCATCCTGTCTCTGGCGGAGAGGAACGAGTGACGTTCGACTTGACTCGACTAAAGATGGGATCAAGCCGAAGTTCGAGGTATACTTACAGCGGAATATGGGAGATTTGTCAATCTTTACCCCGATTCGTCTGGTCGCGTTCAAGAAGTACTTGACCAAGGGAACATGACTGGAGTTTTCCCATAGAAAGCGGCATGGAAGCCAGTTTTACGGCGGACAAGCATTGTTAACTCTCTGATGTTTCCAGAATGGTAAGAGAGACGGAAGTGCCCATTTGCTGGAGCCACGGAGGTGGTCCCCGTCACGGGTAGTGGAGGATCCACCCGAAGAGCCGGCCCCGTAGCGGTATTCCAGATATTAGACCCTAGCGACATACTAGGCAACAGCCTAGAACCCTCTTACGGTAAAACGTATCATCAACGACCTGATTGGAGAGCGAAAGATCAAACCTCCAAGTCCCCAAGAGAGTTTAGTCTGGCCAGGATGAACCGGTCTCCCGGCGAAGCCCCTCGTTCACAGCTTTTGGTCTTAACAAGATAGCCCTAGAGAAGGATTGGCGCTAATTTCTGACAGGCGCGCCCGCAGGGGATGGCGGATAATCGTGTCGTTCCCTAGATCGAGATTGGTATTAGTTTTTGGATCTTTTCCCAGATGTGCGTAGCGCGACACGTTGAGAGCTTGCTTGTCTGGGTTCCCTGGGACGATATGTAAAGACAGCATCCCCCCAGCGAGCTGGGTACGACTGAGACGACTCTCCTGCTAGTCTACTTCACTGTTTCGTAAGGTGGACGAAATTCTTCGACCCAGCTGGGTTCACTAGCATCACTCAACAATACCAGCTAGCTAAGATGGCAAGTCAAGTTAGCGAAGGGCTCGGGAACATGGCGGGTAACGGTACAGCCAAAGCAGGAAGCTTCCTCGCTTTCCTAGTCGAAGACATGCAAAAGTCGACTTCCTCGTACGCTACAGTGGTGGTTCTCCTCGTCTTTGCGATCCTCGTACACAAGTTCTCGTCACCCGAGCTGGACGGCCGCGAGCCGCCGGCGATGAAGCCTCGGATGCCCGTCATCGGGCACTTGATTGGCATGATTCAGTACCAGAGTCGGTACTTCAAGGTCTTGGAGTAGGTCTTGCTAGACTCAGAAAAACACGGACGAGTAGCGTGGTGCTGACACTGACGCAGGCGCCGCAATATGGGCATCGCGACGCTGCCTATTCTCAATGGCAAAGTGTACGGCATCTGGGACCCAATCCTCATCCAGGCAGTCTATCGAAACCGGAACCTGTCGTTCGAGCCATTCGCGGTTGAGTTTGCGCAGAGAGAATTGGGCTTCAACAACGAGACGCTCAAGATCATTGAAGGTGGCAGCTTGTTGCCTGAGTTCTTTGAGGGTATCCACGTCGGCATGGCTGCGGATAACCTGCATCGGATGAATACCACCGCGCTTTCCTATGTGTCTGATGCGCTCGACGACCTCTGTAATGGGAGTGAAGTTTACGAGACGGCCAACTTCTGGCTTTGGATGCGAGACTTGATGACTATGGCGACTACGGAAGCATTGTTTGGCCCCGGGAATCCGCTGAGGAAGGACGCAAGCCTGATGAAGGATACCTGGTAAGTGACACTTCGTACAACCTGCAGCGACCATGGTCTTATACAAGTACAGGATCTTCGAATCGGACCTGCCAGTGTTGATGCTGGGCATCGCGCCATCGATTACAGCGCGCAGATGCTATCAAGCGAGAGCACGGCTTCAAGCGGCGCTGGGCGAGTACTACGGAAGCGACGGGGACTCGCACAAGGACACGTCGCAGATCGTTAAGAACCGTGCCAGCGTTTTGCGAGCTCACGGTATCCCGGGCAAGGAAGTCGGAATATTTGAGGTTGCGCTGCTGCACGTAGCCACGTCCAACACCATCCCGACATTATTCTGGTTCATGGTGCACGTATTCAAGAGTCCCGAGCTGGTACGCCGTTTGAGGGACGAACTCTTGCCGGTGGCGCAACATGGAGGCAGCGGGGAGGTTACCCTTGATATTGGCACCCTCGAAGACCGGTGCCCATTACTTGTCCGCTGCTATCGCGAGGCGGTTCGCATATCTAGCAAGGGAATGGGCAATAGACGCGTGCTGGAGGACACGACGATATCGGACGGCAACGGAAGATCGTACCTCCTCAAGAAGGGTTGCAACGTGCAACTGTCTTCTCAAGTCAGTCACAGCCTGGAGAAGGTGTGGGGGCAGGATCACGAATCGTTTGATCCAGATAGATTCATCGTCAAGACTGGAAAGGAGAACTCTGAGACGGAGAAGTTGAAACGGGCGGCCTATATCCCCTTTGGCGGCGGGAGACACCTGTGTCCTGGACGTAACTTTGCGTTTGCAGAAAATCTTGGTTTTGTGGCATCGCTGCTGCTTGGATTTGAGGTCGTGCCTCTGGACGGGAGCATGGAGCCGACGGTCGAGGTGCCTGATGCAGCGGAGTGTTCGATGACGGGAGCCGCAGTGAAGCCCGCGAATGATGGCGAGGGCTACGGAGTCCGAGTTCGGAGGAGAGAAGGATGGAAAGGCGTGAAATGGCGGTACATTAGCTGAAAGGGCTAGAGTAGATTTCTGGGTACAGTCAGCACTGAACGGATCGAAGTTTCCCACACGTCGTTGAGTGCATGGCCATGACCTCGTGAAGTGTCATTGCTTGATGATGTAAGGTAGGCGATGGTGTAGGCCCTTCAGTTGATCGCCAAGACCTCATGTCCGGAAACCAGGTTTGACTGCCGCCAGCGTGGCACACGAGAATTACTGATTGGAGTGATGAAGCTAGCTCCCTCGGAAATTGGGGTAAGCTGAAGATGATGATGCGAAACCAAGCTTGAGGCGAGACCGGGGTGGAGATGTCATGGCTCATGGAGCTTAGCTGGAGCAATCTGCCAAGAATTTTGGAGCTGGCGAGCTGGAGCTGGAGCTCCGGGGAGCTCAGCCATACAGCGCACGTGACAGTCATCACCCATTGACGTCATGGCAGCGTGGACGGGAGTTCCTGCTAAGAACTGGCGGAAGGTACAATTCTTGGCCCGGCAGAGAGCTCTTTCTGCTTCTGCCGGTGCTGTTTATTGTCCCTTTTGCCTTTTAAAACAATAGAAATGCTATTTTTTCCATAGTTGAGTGCACCATATAACCCACAATCCAGAAACAGACGTCGAAATGAGCTACGCGTTCCGTCGCGTATGCCTGCAACTCCCTGCCAGCTTCGGACCTAAGCATGGTCCTCTGCGTCAAGCTTTCCGCCCAGCCGGACCCGGCATTGTCACAAGACAGATCCCGATGAGCAGGCGCGCGTTTGGGCTCTCCACGAGACGGCAAGGCGATCTCGACGAGGCCAAGGCGAAGAAGACCAACCAAGATAACTTGAGCAGGGAGGAGGAAAAGGAGAAGCTGGAGCGCGACGAGCAGATCGCCTTGAGAAAACAAGAGGAAAGGCCATGGCACCGCGCTGGAGATGAGGTTGAGCAGCGGGAGTCGTCCAAAGATCCCACAAATGGCGATAAGACCCGCGGTATGCCAGCTCCAACGTTCCCTGCACCCGAGCACACATGCGGTGCACGAATGCTTACTGTTTCTCAGGACGACTACTCACAACACCAACGAGGCTCCTGAAGCTTATTTTGCCGTTGCCGTTCCATGCAGAACAGGCACGAAACATCCAGACTACCAGAGAAGACAAGGACGACGATGACAGGGATCAAATCGCCCCGCTTGCCCTCCTCGTCCACCCTCAGCAGCCGCTATCATACCTCGAGAGACTCCTTCAGGCTGAAATTCCACCCATCGACGATGGCCGCCGAGAACGCATCCCCAAGATATACTTCCGAGCAGAGGCAGATCACCAGGATGGCAAGGAGGACAAGAGTGCATCACAGAAGAAAGAGGGCAATGTCGCCTCTTACTCGGGTCTAGGTCACAAGGGCCCAAAGAAGGATCGCGATGACACGAACTGGGTCAGATGGAGTAGCAGTACCGAGGTCGGCGACTTCATTCGAGACGCTGCCCGTGGTCGAGAGTTCTCGATTGGCATCGAGGGCTACAAACAGGAGTTGCGTGTAGCTGTGCCGAGCTTCAATGACCGCACATACTACATGCGCGTTCGACTACGGAGAATGTCTCGCCGCGTCGAAGAGTTGGCGAAGCTCAAGCAAGAATGCGACACCCTCGCGCACCGTGGAGCGCATCGCATGGCACAGGGAGGATTCGGCCTCCTCGCCGGCTGGTGGGGAGTCGTGTACTATGTCACCTTCCACACCGATGCCGGCTGGGACCTCGTTGAGCCGGTGACATACCTGGCTGGCTTGTCGACCATCATGGGCGGTTACTTGTGGTTCTTATACATCAGCAAGGATCTCAGCTATAAGGCGGCCTTGAACATCACCGTCTCCAAGCGACAACAGGCGCTGTACCAGGAGCGCGGCTTTGATCCCTCTGCGTGGGAGGCGCTCGTTCACGAAGCCAACTCATTGCGTCGCGAGGTCCGCTTCGTGGCAACTGAGTACGATGTCGACTGGGACGAAACAAAGGATCTTGGCGGCGAGGAAGTAATGGAAGTTCTAGACAAAGAGAAGAAGGGGAGACGCAGAAACGACGAAGACGAAGACGATGCAGAAGAAGAGCGAGCAGAGCATAAACGCAAGGACGACAAGAAGAAGGAAAAGTCTGATGATGGGAGCGAGAACAAGACGGCATCATAGCAAGTTCCTAGAACCTTTCCAAGTGCGATACCCCTGTATGAATATAATAGCCACATTCTAGCATAATTAAAGCAAGTATATTCCAGAGGGTGAAGAGCGCACGAGGCCCCTGTAATTGTCTTGTCGTGGCCCTGTGGCTCGGTTCTGGCAGTGGTTGGCCATCTCACTGAAGAGGCATGCATCCGATGATCATGTGTGCCTCGCAACCAAGGAAGCATATCAGTTGTCAGGAGACTTGTCGCGTGGTGAGGTGGCATTTCTCCAGAGTCAGATCGCGGGGACCGATCACCAGTTGTCCGAGGGAAGATTTTCTCATGCTATTGAGCTCCATCGGGTGACCGGACACTAGCTTCGGTGTGTTCCGGTAAGGCTTGGCGAGACGCTCCGCTTTCAACCCTACTGGACGGCCCACCACATGGTAAATTCCGCGCCCCAGCAGCAAGGCGGACGTGAAAGGCCAAGGGAGCGAGGGGAGCCTTGAAAGGGAGGGGAGCTCTGACCCCTAAGGCGCCCAGACACCAGACAGCCCAACACCACCATCCCCGCCATAGACGCCAACGGGAGAGCTTCACCCCACTTGGTTAACGCATCATCACACCACCACCCAACCAACAGGTCTCTGTTTGTCAGAATCTCGCAACCTTCCATATGGCCCGTCACTGAATGGCTACTTTGATCTTCGAGAAGGGACACTAGAATCCATCCCCAGATCTGACGATACCTCTGCATCAACCCGGGGACAACGTGGTCCTCGACCGACGATCAAGTACAAAAGAACGACCGCTCGATATCACTCTGAGAAGCAGATCGACCCCGCCATTCTCCTCTTCCAGGCGTATCCCAAACGGCCACGAACCCAACCCCCCATTGGACAACAAAGACGCCTTCCTCTCTTGTCTACCGGTATCTGTCCTACCTCGCCGGGTCCCTAGGTACCCTGCCTTGCCTTGCGTGCTCGCCCTCCATCTCGTCCCCCTCCTACACCAGAAGCTAAAGCTCGGGCTACCTACCAAGGTATCCGCAGAACCGGTGCGGCAGCTCCACCCCGCGGCGATGGCCCCCCAAATCATCCACCTGCCAGACGGACAGAAGTTCACAGTCACACCAGTCTTTGCAGGCCTCTTTTTCAAATCTCATGATCTCAACACGCATAACAATCCTTTCCCCATCGGCTGGACCATTGTGCTCAACACCGAGGATGAGCCACTCGAGGTGGACAATGTCAACGGCCAGCAGGTCGAGGGCGAGGAAGACCGCGCCCGCCGGCGACACATACACAGCTTCAAACAGCCAACACTACAGTGTGATAACCTCTTCATCTCGTCGATATCACAGCCTTCGAGCACCGAGTTCAAACCCGCAGCGAGCCCGACCCGCCAGATCGCCATGATGCTCTGGGTCACGCTCTACTGGTACTTCCATCAACCACAACCGTCACCCTACCTCACGACCGATGCATCGAGACTGACGCCGGAAGAAGCGCGGCCCAAGGGCGAGTGGCGCATCAACATCAAGCGAGACGGGGTGCTGCGTGGAAGGAACCTCATACCAAAGCTTGAGCGCATGGGACTGATTGCATCGCTGGACTCGGCGGTGGGAACGAACCTCAAGGATAACGGCGAGGAATGGTCGCAGATGTTCGTCTCACGGCGCATGTTTTGGCAGATACCAGGGCGGCTCTTCTTGTTCACCCTGCAGCGCACCAGCGCCGCATCGACGACGGGCCCCGAGTCGCCAAACGGGAGCAGACCGACTTCACCTGCTCGAACCGAGTCAATCCACTCGAGGCATCACACGCCCATACACTCTCCGCATCAGTCCACGGGTGGCCGTTTCGATGTTGACCTCCCTGGAGGACCTCCACCGATGACCATGGTCACGACCTTGAACTTCCCCATTGGACCGTTCTATTCCAGCTCACATCTCCCGACGTACTACCCGCCGGCGCCTCTGATGTACACAGTCACAAACGGCGTGCGCCATCCCATCCGCCGGAAACCAGGCCGGATGGGAGAAGTCTTTTACTCGCGCTACGTCCCGAGCGTCGGACAATACCTGTCGTTCCGCGTGGCGTCACTTACACCAGAGCCGGTCCCCTACCTGGGACCCCTGGGCCCCAAACCCGTCGAGAATGGCCACCTCGCGAGCCTATCCGATACAGACCTGCTGCAGTCATGGCTGGCGAATCCGCGGGTGCAGAAGTTCTGGGGAGACTACTCGCCGGAGTTTTTGAGCAACGCACTTAGCTCCAAGCACTCGTTCCCCGTGATTGGCATGTGGGATGGAGTGCCGTTTGGATATTTCGAGATTTACTGGGTTAAGGAGGATATTCTGGGCCAGAAGCTGGGGAGCGATGCTGGAGACTACGACCGTGGCATCCATGTGTTTGTCGGCGAGGAATGGGCGCGGGGACGGGTGCCGGCGTGGTTGACCAGCTTGGTGCACTGGTGCCTTACTGACGACTATCGCACGATGCATGTCTGCTTGGAGCCGCGGATCGACAACGCAAGGTGAGCCCCTATCATCTACTTCCAGTGACATACCCGAGCTAACCTGAAGTCACAGATTCCTGCAACATCTTCAGTACGCGGGCTTCGCCAAGGAACGAGAGGTCGCGTTCCCACACAAGCAATCCTATCTGATGAAGCTGAATAGGGATGCCTGGGAAGGCCCAGCCCTTTGATGACTTGCGTGGATCTTGTTCAACCACATATACGGGGAAATGTTACAACACCAGAGGCTGGAGTACAGAAACCGGTGTTGGCCGCGTTTAAGCGCTTACAAGTGGCAGAGTGCGAATTTGCGAAACCGATGATGTGCTCATAATGAGCGAGAAAGGAGATACCCGATCTAAACCTCGGAATAGAGGATGAAATAGTCGAACAAAATATCGTTATAACACTTCATCTCGTCTCACATTTGCGGTCGCGACCAACATTCTTCAAGGGCTGTTTCTCTCAGGTGAGCAGCCACTTAACGTGACGACGTCACAGCGCAGTGGGTGAGTCGCGTGGCTGAGACGGGGGGTTCCCAGCACACTGAGCACACTAGCTTGTGTGGGTCCCGTCCCCTTCGGCTACATTATCCCGAGAACGTGGTTGGCTGTACGGCACGCGGGCGGCGTACCCCGGTCGAGTGTTGCGCTGAGGCACTGAGACAGCGGTTATCTTGTGACCGATGTCCGACAGTCGAAACCGTCGGATGCCAACCGCCCCAAACCTAAACCTCAGAACGACCGTCGTGATAAGACGATTTGAACCCGCCCCTTCTCTCGATGCCGTCTTCTCTCTGGATTCGATAACAGCGCTGTGAGGGAACTATGACTGGCCGATCGCCTTCGTCCTCCGGCCTTTTCCCCATGCCTGGATCACCGTCGTCGTCTTGGGCAATGTACCGCGCCCGCTTATCTGCCCTCTTTCGAAATGCTGATACCCAGGTAATCGTGGCCTTTTGGCTGCTCGGTGCGCCTCTCAGCTTCTTTCTGCTAGGTCTTTCTATGTGCTGACGTGTAGTTTAGGTCTCATCAACAACGTCCTCTACGTCATCATCCTCTCCGCCGCCCAAGACCTCGTCGGCTCCAACGTCCCGAAAGGCGTAGTCCTCCTCGCCGACGTCCTCCCCTCCTTCTTCACGAAACTGATCGCCCCCTACTTCATCCACCGCGTACCCTACTCCCTGCGCGTTCTGATCCTGATCGCCCTCTCGTGCTCAGGCATGCTCCTCGTCGCCCTCACGCCGCCCACGAAATCCGTCGCTGTAAAGATGGTTGGCGTCGTCATCGCCAGCCTCAGCTCCGGCGGCGGCGAGCTCAGCTTCCTCGGGCTGACGCACTACTACGGCCCCATGAGCCTCGCGGGCTGGGGCAGCGGGACGGGCGCGGCGGGGCTCGTCGGAGCGGGTCTTTACGTGGTGCTCACGGACTGGTGGGGTTTCAGCGTGCGCAACAGCCTGTTGTTCTCTGCGTGCTTGCCGTCCATCATGTTTGTGAGCTTCTTCGTCATACTGCCAAAGGGGCCGCTCAAGGCGGGACGGAAGGAGTATACGGTTGTTCCGGAGCAGGATTTGGAGGACGAGGACGTCGAGGAGCTGTCGCAGAACGCGGCGTCGTCGGCTCTGCTTGCACCGGGGCCCGCGACTACGTCGACGGCGTATTCGGTGCAGCACGCTGATGCGCATAGCTTTGAGCATAACTTGAGGAGGGCGAAGGCGCTTTTCTTCCCGTATATGCTGCCGCTGCTGCTGGTGTACATTGCAGAGTATACCATCAACCAGGGTGTTGCGCCAACGCTACTCTTCCCGCTGGCGTCATCGCCGTTCAAGCAGTTCCGCGAGTTCTATCCCATGTATGGATTCCTGTACCAGCTGGGTGTCTTTATTTCGCGGTCCTCGACGCCGTTTTACCGGATTCACCGCCTCTATCTACCTTCGCTGTTGCAGATTGCCAACCTCGTGCTGCTGACGTGCCACGCGCTATTCGACTTTATCCCGTCGGTGTACGTGGTTTTCTTCATTGTATTCTGGGAGGGTCTCTTGGGAGGCGCGGTGTACGTCAATACCTTTGCGGAGATTATGGAAAAGATACCGAGCGAAGACAGGGAATTCAGCTTGAGCGCGACGAGTGTGAGTGATAGCGGGGGTATCTGCATTGCCGGGTTCGTCGGTATCGTCATGGAAGTGCAGCTTTGCAACTGGCAGGTTGCGCATGGGCGGGATTGGTGCCGCAAGATCAAGGTTGGATGAAAGGTGACTATCAGGACGGGGTGCTATGCTGTGCAGCACCTTGGCAGCGCTTGTGATGAGCGTGGGGGGCCCGCGACTGGAGAGGGTTCTGGTACCATGTTTCGAGAGGGGTGCCGTTCACGATCCGGCAACGGGCGCTTGGGTTACACGGTGTCGGGGCCGGGGGTTGGCCGGACGGGGCGTTGATTGACGACGCTCAGCGCGGCGGGGCACGACTTTTGTTTCCCCATCGGAGTCAACCGCTTCGAGAATACAGTTTTAATAAAACAGTGTATCAATATATGCCTTTTCAGGCTTGCCTTGAAGAAAGGTTGACTGTACTGACGACTACTTTCCATCAAGGTTTGCAACCGGCATTGATAGCTTCAACCGGGATGGCCTCGATGGGAAGCAGTCAACACTACAGTCAACCTTTTTTCATGGCAAGCCTGAAAAGGCATATATCGATACACTGTTTTATTGAAACTGTATTCTCGTACTTGTGACTCAATTGGACTCATTTCGTCGATAACAAGGTACTTGGGTCAGCCACAGGAGAAACGTTCGGGTGGTCCCTTGTCTCTCTAGACTCGGCAATGCATATCGATTGGAGATATCAAAGACGGGATCGAATCAACCAGGGCGGGCCCAGGGGCGGTATTGGGTGTGGCAGGGTGGTGAATGAGGCTGTTCCGACGTCAGACATTGTGCCACTTGCACTGACGGAGTCAAAGGGGTCCACAAATACGTTATGGCGCGTCGCTTGATTTTCTGGCATGATTTTTCCGTCTGGTTCAGAGAACAGCTGATGCAACATGCCATGATGGGTCCTTTTTTCTTTTCTACCTTTTGATAACTACCACAATCATCAATGAGATCAATTAGACAACAAACCTGACGGCTTAAGCCAATCTGAGATTCAGGTTTCAGTGATTTGCTCATTGCACCATGATTCGTGCCGGTTGGTGTTGGCCGTTGTTGAAGAGATTTTCTTGGGCCAATTGAGCGTTGATACGTTCTCGGGAGGGTCCCGGGGAGGCTAACATTAGGGACAGCGCAGAACGGGATGTTCCAACGGCGTTGCACTGACCGCCGGGCGACCATTTATTTGCATTGTTTCCACCTTGGCGCGAAAGAAGATGAAGGGAAAATTAGAGAGAGAAAGGCTATCTGAGTAGCCTAGACGGACGTGTTCCGGACGGCGGTCAGCGGCGAGTGAGCGAGTGGCCAGCGACCAGGTTTTGCACTCCAACCAACCCGAGAAATTTTCATTCGTAGTCATTGTTCTTCGGCGTCTTGTCGTAGTAGCTTCTCATTCGCCTCAGGGTCTTAGTCTCGGTGGTAATAGTAGCCAACGTTGATTCATGCAGGAAACGATTACTTGCTATCCGCCACTTTTCGCGGTCCATTTCCTGAAATTTTCTCTCACTCTGAAGGGAAGGTACGGCGTGCGGTCATCGGTGTAAGGCAGTCACCGCTGGGCCCGTTCCGGTTCATATTCGCCCAGAAATCTGAATTCTCTTACACTGAGATTTGAGATCTGGCAGTCTCTCTTGACCAAGATTGCTCGACTCGCCTTATCTGCACGACACGAAACAATTCTCCTTTCACTCACCCCTGCTTTTTAAAGGTTGAGTGGCATCATCAGCCCAGATTCCTCGAATAGTCACCGCCTTTGGTCTGGTACTACCTTATTCTACGGGCACCTTATCCGAATACACAGCTACGAATATCCCACCCTCGAGTATCATTCACCCAGACCTCCCACCCCATCTCGACCTCGACCTGCCAAGTGGTTCTAGATTACGGATCCAATATCCGTACCCGCGTCGTTTCTTTCCCTCTGCACCTTCCCGCGCCCCTGCCGCAGCTTCCATTTCCCATCCCACCTCGACCTGAGGCTCGGCCTGCAACGCTCGCCCGTTGCCTCCTTCGGCTCTAACAACCAAAGGCCTGAGGAAACGGAAAGTGATACCACCACCGCCCAGTCCTCTCCTTCCCCTTGAAAAGTTGCCGCACCTCAATCGGACGACTTCTTTCCTTACCTACCTTTTTTTATATCTTCACCTTCTCTGAATCTTTCCGACTCTTTTTCCCCTTCACCACCGAACGGAGCTTTACCATTCTACCCTTCACAGACCATACGCCTTGGCAGCTTCGGTACACCTCCATCATGGACAACATAGTCGAATGCAAAGGCATGGCTCACCCGTATCTACCTCTCGGCAAGTTACACATCTTACCAGAGCCCGAATCCCTCCTCGCAGACCTGGCGAATCTAGATCTCTCAGAGGAAATCAAGCCACCCACATTCCACCTCTTCAAGGACCTCCCCGCCGAAATCCGCCTCAAGATATGGCGTCTCGCAGCACCCAAGCCCGCCGTCGCCGAGCGCATGCCCAACAACTTCACCTTATCCTATGGTCTCCAGCGCCCTGTCCCTGCGCTTCTGCAGGTCTGCCAGGAATCTCGCACTGAGATGTTCTACGACCCTGAGAACCCACGTGGTTTGAGAGATGAGCAGTTTGAGATGCTGTATCTCTCGCCAGGACACCGGGCACAGGGCAAGGGCGTGTATATGAATTATCGCGATGATACGCTGTTCATGTACAGAGGTCAGTCTCATTCAGTTTACCCTTTCACTCAACTAAGTACTTTCTTTACCTTGCTTTTTGCACCATCCAAACAAAGAGGAAAATCTCAAAAGACTAACACATTCACAGGCCCGTCTCAATCAATCATGCCCTCTGCCCACTGCTTCGCCAACCTCCGCCACCTGGCCATGGAATGGGGCCTTCGCCCCTGCTGGGTGCAGAGCCACTGCAACGAGGGCGTCCGTCTCCTCCGCCAGTTCCCCAACCTCAAGACGTTCACCCTCCTCGTCAGCTTCAAGATCTACAACGAGCTGCCTTTGGGCGAGTCTGGCAGCAAGCACCGCGAGCAGACGCAGAAGCGCCGGGCGCTCAATGAGATCAAGACTTGGGTTTTGGACGCCATTGACCAGGCTTTGGAGCGAGATGACAGTGCTTTCGCTGCTGCCGTTGCCAGGGCTGATGCCAACAACAACACCAATGTCGACACCGCCTCTGGCTCTTCATCTCAGTCTGCGTCTACATCTACGGCTGCGTCTTTGGCTTCGTCTGCATTTACCAACCAGTGGTCTCCGCCTGAGGTCAGAGTCGTCCCGAAGACAAAGTACTGGACCATGCCGGCGTGGGCCTAGAACTCCCCGCACGGCGTTACTCGCCAGTACATTGTTGGGATCATGGTCAAGGGTTCTCTGACGTATGGTCAGAGAAAGCGGGATGGGTACTACTACGGGCACCTTTATCAGGTCTATACTGGGAATCGCCATGCGCACCTTCGCTAAGGTCCGCCAGTTGGCCGGACTTGGGGGCCGGCGAGTATTAGGGGCGGATGCCGCGGATAGAGGAGAGAGGGGATGAGGGGATTCACGGCACATTGAGACTCACATAAGGGAACATGATGGTTCTTTCAGCAGCATGGCATTGGGGAGGGCCTTTGGCTTTTGTTTCTGGGTTTGATTTCAAAAAAGGGCACGATCGCGACGGGGCGTTAGCTTTTGATTTTCTTTGATACCAACCGATAGATAAATCGATGACACCACACCTCTCAGTTCCTACCTCTATGGTGGATTAATGATAATGATACCATATCCTCCATATATTTATAATTCCGGTTGTCAGCTCATTCCAATTGCATTGAAGCGTCCAACACAGAGTGAGCTGTGAGGGTGTTGGTGAGAGCCTCAAGACGGGATGCGACGTTGTTGTACAAGGTCCCTCAGGGGGAGTGGCCTATCGGAGGAGGCCTAGCTGCAGCGCTGTAAGTACGGCCTCGGCCGAAATCAGGGGAGTTACCTTTGACTTTGACTCGGCCACTGATGGGTGACCCCCACGCCAGCGATACCAAAAAGTGGGAATCGGAGCCAGGGCCTCTTGCAATTCGCGACGTGCTTGTTTCTACTCCTCACCGCATCCGTATCGTGGACGATTGTCTATCTCTTCATCACGGGATCATGCCTCGCCATCTCCGAGGGACGTGGTCTCCGCGCCGTCTCGCGCGAGTGCGAGGTGTGATAGGGACTGCTGTTCGGGAATACGATGGGTGCTTCGGAAGACGGGGGTGAGCTCGGTCGGACGTTGCGCTGTATGGTGGGCCGGGGCTGGTATGTTGGTTCCGATTTACGGGATGTATGTTGGTTTGGTTTGTGGGTACTGTAGTCTTGTTTAATGGAATTAGAATTCGGTGGATTCAAGTGTTGTATCTGTACTTTCTTGTTGCATTTGCTTGGCTGGCTGTTCTTGTTGATGAGAGATGGTGTTGGAGAAGTGCTTGGGGATACCGGTCGGTAGGTTATTGCGCCGTGGAATTAGGTAGCGTGTTAGTGCTGTTGATGTCTGTTGATTTTCGACCCGGATAGCTGGCATGGGGGTTCGCTCACATGTCTACGGCATCAATTGTCTCGTCATTTCAAACTCTTTCCGGTTCATACTCTGGAACAATGTTGCGTTCTACTTTTCGCAAGCTTGAAGCAATTACGATGGAAGGTGATGTATCTAATCGTAGAGCGCCCAGAAGTGAGGACTGGAACCTAGGTAGTGATCGGTGTCGACAGAAAGAACTCCGATAACAAGCCGGGATATTCTCTTCATTTTCCCCGGCCAGTGAATCGAATTGTTCTGGAAAGCTTCCACGCATGTTCTTTGCGAAATCCTCCAATCAATGAGTGACTGCTGAATCTTTGGGGGGAAGGAAAGGGAGAAATGATGCACCTATGACGCACCTGCCGCGGGCGCACGCCTTTCCCCGGATTCTCTCAAGCGTCTTGGTGTCGTCACCATCCAATTACAGGACAGCCTCCAAACTTCAACTTCACTTCGTGGTCTAGGCCTTTTGACTCGCAACATTGAACCTCATTCACGACACACGAGCTTTGTAAAGGATTCCATCGTCGATCAGAGAGGTTTTACAAGAAGAAAAGCCCGTATATCCGCCCTCATAAGTAACGCCAAAATGATCCCCGCAAGATCCCTCCCCCTCCGCCGCCTCGCCACCTCGCGACCCGTCTCCGGACTCGGAGCCACGACGGCACCCTTCGCAGCGGCGCGCCGGGTCCAGGTCCGGTGGAGCACGCATAACCCCAAGGAGGGCGACCTCGGTGGGCCCGGCGGGCAGGAACCTGTGCCGTCTACCAGCGGCGCCTCGCAGAGCTGGTGAGTTTATCTATCTCCGTCTTACCCCGAGTGACAAGATTCTCAAAGGGATCCTTGTTATTGTGCCTTGGTCATGCCCGTGGGCCCGTTGTTAACGTACGTTGGGTGGATTAGGCCGACGTTGGTTGCTATTGCTGCTGTGGGACTTGGTGTTGGGGGGTATCTTGTTCATATGACGGGCAAGTCCAAGGGGCAGGGGGCGGTTATGGAGAAGGGGGAGTTTGATAAGTTGGCCGAGAGGGTTGCGTCGAGGAAGTAGAGGTTGCTGGGTTAAAGCTTGGGGAAAGGCTGGGGTTTTCGGGCCGAATCTGTAAGGAAGCTGTGTAAGTTTGAGGTTGTGAATAAGGTTTGAGCTACTGGCACATCAGGTGGTTCTTTGCAGCAAAGGCAAGCATTCATTTGAGTCTTGACTCTTGAAATTGGTCAATTTGATGCAAGTCAGCTTTGCTGGCGGTGATGCTCGACCATAGGCATACTGTCTTGTGGAGGATAACGGTCACGATCTACCACTATCTTTGCTCGCGTCGAGTTCGGGTTTAGGAGAAAACTACGGATTTTGCGGTTTCTGATAAATCAGATGGGTACCGTGCGACCTTCAGCTACTGGAACACGGACATCAAGAAGATTGTCTTCCCTTCGTAACTAGTTACTCCCATGACCATCTTGTTCTCTACAGGAATACACAAAAAGGTCGGAGTGAGATATTTTGAGAATCACACTCACGCTGACTCAACGTCGTCTCCATTGGTCTGGCTTGGGCATCTCCATCCTTGACCTTGATCCGTAGTTGATTGCGTAGCAACTCTGAACTCCTCGAGACAGCCTTGAAACAGGAAAAATACGGTTTCAACAACTTGATTGGTTTTTCATCCGCTATCAGATCGCAATTCGGAATTAGTTGAATTGATTCGAGTCTTCACGCAAATTAACCAATTTTCAAACCTTTCTACCTCTAAACTAGAGCCTTGTAACTTCACAAGAGTTACTTTATAAAGTCCATGGTATTTTTTCGCTTCGGCTACTCGGATCTGTTGCAGTTAGGAATGTGACGAACGGGATTGAGGAGCCAATGTTCCATTGCGAGTACTGGGAATGCCCACTTTAGACTAGAGAGGGCTAATATAACGATAGATCCCTCCTGTCTACAAGTTTTACTCACCAAAGATAATGCAGACTGCCAATCTCGGGACGGCGTGCCACTTGGATTTAACTGCCAGGCATTTTGTAGACGCGATCAACAAGGGGCTCTTGCTAGTTGCCTGTGTGTCGCAAGAGATATGAGGTCACACATGAGACATAGAAACCATACCTCACCAAGTGGTGGACGGGAAAAGCACTGCACATTCCAAATTGCCTAACCTCGAATTCCCTTCTTTCATCAGATAAAAAAGTCTATAACGGAATAGAGCTGGAAATCAGAAATGGTGTGTACAGTACTCAATAAGATAGAAAAGCAATGAGTGAACGAGTGTCATCTCGGAGTTAAGAACAACAGGGGCATGGCCCCAAGTTTATGTATTCATCCCGAACTAGGAATCCGACATCGCTTGGAAAAGGAGGATTCTGCGAGTTATCGTGCCAACCAGATCTACCGAGCTTACTACCAGCGGTATAACCCAGGCATGTTCGTCTCAAGTTCACTGCTAAAAGTTTCCTTTGTTGTTTGGACAAGGGTTCGTTCTTTCTCGTTGTCAGTGGAGCATCCGATGCTTATTGTTCTCTTACTTAAGCGGCAAGTCATCCAGACCCAGTCGAGAAACCCACCTCAAAAAGTTGTTTTCGGCCCTTTGTTCTTTCGCCAACTCAGAATGCAAGCATGACACACATGGGGCACAGGTTCCCTTAATTCCCTTGATTGCTTAGAAAGCGGTAGCATAGACCCGTTTGTTGTTTGTTTTTTGAGATCCATGCCCACCTTCTGTATGTGTATTTCCGTAAACCCGTTACTTCATCAGATTGAGCATCTAGAATGTTGGTGAGGTCCACATATGCCAGATCTTTTCTACTTGGCGAGTGCGCTTGGCACTTGAGCTTGAAATTTAGCCGTCATAGTGCACCGCGTAACCTTTGAGATCTACCGAGCCGGCGTCTAGAATAGCACTTAGTTGCATTGAAAGGCCACCTTTGCGCAAGGTTGCAATCGTTTCCGGGCATGACGTGTGCCAAAGCTTTCCATGGTTCTCGTCCTCAACTTTGGACGACAGCTGCCAAATTCGTCGCGGGAGCATGATTCAACGTCCGCCACCCTGTCGGGCACTCTCTTCTGTCCTCAGCCCTCATTGGCCTTAGCGGGCTATGCTGGCAAGCCATGAGTAGGAGCCCCTGTAGGGTCCCGCCGATCTACGCAGATATTTCTGCAGCGACGGGTTCCAGATCCCAGGAACGTTGGGCTTTCTGATGGTTGATAAGCATCTCGCGCCGCCAACTACCGGTGGATCGGTCCGATCAGATATGCCCTCATTGCTCTCAGCGGTTGTTGACGACCAATGGCGTCCAGAACCGCTGGGCCCCAATTATAACTCGGCTTCTGCGGCTGCGCTGTACTCCGTCCTCCCGAGTCTTGAGTAAGTTGGCCCGTATGGATTGCACTGACGAAATAGGAGGGAGGATACAGCTCTTCGGTTAGCCCTCGGAGCGTTACTGCAAAATCCGGTTTGACGGTGATGGTAGCTGTTTGGATCCGCGCGGGTGACGTGATTGAGGGATTTGAAGAGCTTGGATTTGACTGCGATGTTGTTGAATTTTCTTTTCAGTGTTCGTTGATATAAACACAAGCCTTCGCCTTCGAAGCTATCGTTTGATCACCATCCCAGTGGACTTGTATACATTCTCTTGCCGCACGTGCACTCATTCCAGACCTTGGCAGTATACAGACAACCATGCGGAGCTTCCTCACCACATCTACCCTCCTCTCTGGAGCCGCGGCCTTGGCCGTCCGCTGCAACAACGCGTCCAGCAATGGCTACGACTACATCGTTGTCGGAGGCGGTACTAGCGGTCTGGCCGTTGCCAACCGTCTGTCAGAAAACCCTGCCGTATCAGTCCTGATCATCGAGGCCGGCGGCTCAGTCTTTGACAATGTCAACGTCACCAACCCTAACGGATACGGTCTTGCCTTTGGCACCGACATCGACTTCGCCTACCAGACGACCAAGCAGGCCTTCGGTGGTGGATCGGTCCAGACCATGCGTGCTGCCAAGGCTTTGGGAGGAACCAGCACTATCAACGGTTCGTGGTGATCATCGATTAAGAAGGCTGGACTCAGATGCTAACAACATCAAGGACTGGCCTACACCCGCGTCGAAGCCTCTCAGATCGACGCTTGGGAGCAACTCGGAAACGAGGGCTGGAACTGGGACGCTCTCTTCCCCTATTACCTCAAGAGCGAACACTTCCAGACCCCAGAGCCCGCGCGCCAGGTCGCCGGCCGTCTCGAGTATGAGGCCGACGTCCACGGCGAAGACGGGCCCCTCCTGACCGGCTGGACCTTCGGCCAGACCAACGGAACCATGCCCGCCGTCCTAAACTCGACCTTCCAGAACCTCGGTCTCCCCTGGAATGAGGACGTCAACGGCGGAAACATGGTTGGCTTCTCCGTCTTCCCCCGCACCGTCGACCAGGCCAACGCCGTCCGCGAGGATGCCGCCCGCGCCTACTACTACCCCTACCAGAACCGCACCAACCTCAAGGTTCTTCTGAACACGAGCGCACAGAAGCTCACCTGGAAGAACGCTACCCTCCCTACCGCCGACGGCGTCGAGATCGTTTCCGCCGATGGCTCCAGCAGCGTCGTCAAGGCCAACAAGGAGGTCATCCTCTCCGCCGGTGCCCTCGTTTCCCCTCTGATCCTCGAACTCTCTGGTATCGGCAGCGCCAACGTTCTCAAGCAGCACGGCATCAACACCGTCGTCGACCTCCCCACCGTCGGCGAGAACCTCCAGGACCAGATGAACAACGGCCTCTCCTTCGACATGAAGAACATGAGCATCGACGGCACCCTCACCACCGTCGCCTACCCCTCCGTCGCCCACGTCTTCGACAACGCCGAGGAGGTCGCCGCCCAGATTAAGGAGGCCCTCCCCGCCTACGCCGCAAAGGTCGCCTCCGTCAACGGCAACGCCACCCGCGCCTCGGACCTCTTGGAGTTCTTCCAGCTGCAGTGGTCTCTCATCTTCGAGTCCCAGATCCCCATCGCCGAGGTCCTCGTCAACGCCGGCTCCGGATCCTGGAGCAGCGAGTACTGGGGCCTCCTCCCCTTCGCCCGCGGCAGCGTTCACATTGGCGGCAACTCCACCTCCCGCGCCGTCATCAACCCCAACTACTTCATGCTGGACTGGGATCTGCTCGAACAGGTCGAGATCGCAAAGTACATCCGCAAGCTCTACAGCACCGCGCCCTTCTCTACCTACACTGGAACCGAGATCCGTCCCGGTACGGACGTCGTCGCTGCTGATGCGGATGATATCGAGGGTTGGGAGAGCTACATCAAGGGCAACTACCGTTCCAACTTCCACCCCGTCGGCACCGCTGCCATGATGCCCCGCGAGAAGGGTGGTGTCGTCGACGCCAGCCTCAAGGTCTACGGCACCGCCAACGTCCGCGTTGTCGACGCCTCCGTCTTGCCCTTCCAGGTGTGCGGTCACCTTGTCAGCACCTTGTACGCTGTTGCCGAGAGAGCAGCGGATCTCATTGCCGAGAGCTCGTAGAGAGGTACTTGCTTCATGTTCTTAGAACGACTTGGTAACATGTCGCTCTTCTTCCACATTTCTCAGTAAATATTACAAGCACAATTAGATGTTCATACCCATAGAGTAGAGTGTACAATAGTCACGCGACTTAGTCAATCAGGTTTACATTTCAAGTTTAGATCAAGTTCAGTGTCCGCATGGGAATCGACCCGAAAGCCGCCGACATCGCATGGCTATCAAAATTGCTTATGCAGGGCACCTAAGAAACAGTATTATAGACAATCTTCTCTCCACTGATGGGGCGCATGTGGTCTTTCGACGGGTCGTTGACTTGCTTCGATCCAAAGAGTGGGATGCCTTCCGCCCCGATGTTCTCAAGTCCTCCTGGCATCAGACGCACCGGGTTTGCCTGCAACTTGACTTTTCCCAAAGAGGCTTCGGATCCGAGATAGTCGTAAAACCGTGTTGCAAACTCACGGGCTTCAGGATTGGCTGGGAATGTGACGCCTGTACAAAATGGTCAGTAGAGGAACCTTCCCATTTCAAAGGACAACTTGACTGTGACCGCTCACCTTGATATTGGATCTCTACACCAAGACCCTCCCAGACCGCACCGGTGACCGGCTTGATCCTGAGCTTCAATGGATCGAACCCTGCGAGAGCGGGTGCCCGGAACACTGCCAACTTCCCCTCGGCGACCAACGTATCATGCACACGTTCGACGGACGGAGACTGCGAGACCGTGTCTACGCCGTAGTGGACCCCGCCAGTTGCACCACAGACCTGAAGTACCTTTGTTTGTCAGTCAGAGTCTCTGTAGTCAACTAACTCGTCGTATGAGTAAGGTGCTTGGCGCAGCATGTCATGCTTTGCCCTGCTGGCGGCACCGATGAGACGGATCCTCGTCCCCGAAGTTCTCTCAGCCAGGCGCACGAGCTGTGCGGCAAATAGGCCTAGTGATGTTGTTGCACCGTAGACGAACACGTTCACGGGCTCCCCGTCGGCGAGTTTGAGGTGGTTGAAATTCTGGGATTCGGTAAATGGCCCCGGGAGTTCAAGTCGGCGAAAGACACCCTGAGCGGCTGTAAGTCCACACAGACTGATAGTGACTGCCTCTTGGGATGGCATTTCGCTGGGAATATTCCATGTGAGGTCATGATCGATGACGAGATATTCAGCCAAGGCTCCTGGGCGGCAGTTAACCGAACACGCTACATATATCCATACTTAGCACCTCGCTCATCTGACTGAGAATTATGCATTGCTTTACTAACCGCCTTGAACGAATCCGGCTACATGAGCTCCGACCTTGAGGCGAGGGTCATCGATGTTTTGGATGTCTTTGCCAATACTGGCGACCTCTCCAGCGAAGTCGCTACCGATCACACGATACTCCTGCGCCGCAATTGGATTGTATGTGTAGAGGGCGTCCACATGATTAAGCGCAACTGCTCTCACACGGACGAGGGTTTCTCTTGGACCTGGCTGCGGAGTCGGAATATCTTGTACAAAAACGGAGTGATCCTTTGGTATCAAGGTCAAGGCTTTCATTGTAGTATCGGCAATGGAACTTGAGTCTAAGTTTTGGGATCAAATGGGCATGAAAATCGAGTGAGGTTCATTCAGAGTTTCTCCCAGGGAGAGAGTACTAGAACCTATATATGACTACCTATACTACAGGTACATTTGGGTTGAACAAAAAAGCCCCAATCCACGCAATCGAGTACCTTTGCTTTCAAATTCCATTTAGTGACGTTGCGAAAACGAGAAAGTCCGTGGACTATTATCATATGTAAACCCCGGTCTTCAAGCTGACATGGACTTAAGCGGACTGCTCTGTAAACCTAAGTCCGACCTTGTTTCCCACATATGAAGTCTTGCCTGAGTCATTCATTTGAAGGCCGGTAGTTTGTAGATTGATGATTTTGGGAACCTTGAGAGATAGCCCAGGACATTATTGTTCAATCGCGTGCAGGTAAGCAGCAACTTCGGGACCGAACATGCGATCTTAAACAAGGTAGCCCGCTGCCTCAACCAACCATGTCTGGCAGTCCTCGAGGGTGACCTTTTTGCCAGACGCATCCTTGTCATCTCTGTTAGTAAAGCATTCTGAAGGCATGGCAGGAATAATCGAAATGTTCGCAAAAAGGCACCTCGGGTGACCTGCCTGAAGGGCAATCATACAATGACGAGGCGGTCTATGCAGAGGAATCACAGTCGTTTAGAGAAGTCAAGTAAAAGCCTCACCTTATCGTCGGCCGCGTTCAAAGTCTTTCCCGGAGCCTTCGCCTGGTATGCACTGGCCTCGAAACCGCAGACAGGCCTCTTAACGATCTTTTCCACTCCCCAGTTGAGCATCGCGCCTTCGTCAAAGTGCTTGGCATCAACCCATTGAAGTGGAACCCTTTTGGTACGAATGTCGGAAGTATTTGCGAAGTCATGACTGCGTTTGACCTCGAATTTGAAGCCATTACGAACGTCGCCGGTCGCGTGAATCTTGACACCGATGTCATCCTCAGTGTGAGAGCGGACAAAATACGCCCAGTGGTCTTTGAAAGGTGAGCCATTATAGATCATCAAGTCTAACCAAAAAGGCTCCAGGAGGTCCTTTCGAGGGTACGGTTGGCGGCGTTGGGACCGGAGGTGGGGTGGGGGCCCTCTGGACAAGCGGCGGCGGTGGGGGTGGCGGAACACCGCCGGTAGAGAAAGACATCTTGGAATAACTATCGGAGGTTTACTTTGTCGTCTCTATTGGTATCGCTCTGTAAAGCAACGAAGGCCAGGTGAGAGTTCTTGATCCTCTTGAGGACCGGTATTTACAATCTGGCAGCAGCCGCAAGCGCTACAGCCCCGCAAATAATGTCTCAAGGCCCCTTTGTTGCGGGGAGATTGCTTGGTATCACGGAATGGAGCAATTTGTGAACTCGAAGCTTGAAATATTGAATCTATGAATCTACTATTTTCTCTGAGGATATCCAAAACAACGCTCGCTATATAAAATATGACATAATTAAGATATTGATATTTTCCCATGAAACATGAAACTGTAATAGTTGAGGCCATCAACTTATTGGGCCGCCGTCTCCTTTCCCTTGGACTCCTTCTTAGGCTTTGACGAGCCGGAGTTCCACTTCTTGACACGGACGAGGTAGTAAGAAATAACAGCAATGAATATGTTGAAGAAGATGAAAGCCCAGACGATGCCAAAGTTGCGCCAGCGCTCATCGTAGAAGATTTTGCTGCCGGCCAAGTACTGGTCGGCATTGCTGTAAGAGCAGTACCTGCAAGCCTCAGTGGCATCGGGGTTCTGGAGCTGGCCGGGAGCGAGCTTGAGGTAGTCTGCCAGGTACTGGCCGCACGTCTGGTTGGCAGGCGGGTTGAAGATGGAGGTCTCGGTGGCGGAGCAAGTGACGAGTCGGCCGGACAGCTCGGTACCGACGATACCGGCAACCCAGTATGTGAAGGGGGACACGCGGTACATGAAGACCCAGAAGCCGGGGAGAGCAGTAGGGGACTGCAAGACACCGCAGAAGGTCAAGCTCATGAGGACCAGGAGAGTGACGACACCTGAGGCGGTCTGGGCATCGGGGAAGGCGGCGATGGTCATGTGCGCGAAGGAGGACGCGTAAATCAGAAGCTGGATGGCGTACAGCATGACCAAGACCTGGCGAACGGAGCCCTGAATGCCGATGATGGGGTAGTAGAAGCAAGCCCAGATGAGGATACCCGTGACGATTTGGTAGGGGATTTCGACAATGATGTTGGCGAACATGAAAGCCTTCCAGGAGTAAGCCTTGCTGGGGCGTTCACGAACCTCGTAGAGGGCACGCTGTGTGACGAAGTGAGGCTGGATCTGCTGGACAATGGTGGAGAAGATGGTGATGACCATGAAGACAGCGAAGACAACGTTTTGCATGCCGGCCATTGTGCCATCGGCCTTCCAGAAGGAGAAACCGATGAAGAGACCTGCGCAAATACCGAGGAAGAACTTGGCGAAGACATAGTTGGGCATGCGCCAGTACTGCTGGAAGACACGACCGGTGACCTCCATCAGCTGAGTGCTGAAGGGCATGGCGAACTCAGAGTGGGCACCAGCATCTTCGCTTCCTGCGACCTCCTCGTGCTGCTTCTCGAGGTGGATTCTCTCGATCTCAGCTTCGACAACACGGCGTTCGCTGCTAGACTTCCAGACGCTGTGCCAGTCTTCACCCCTGGAGTTGGTACCGTTGTTGACAATCTCGAGCATGTACTCAGCGGGGTTCTCCTCATCGCCACATCTGCGAGCACAGTTGCCCTCGAAGTAGTTGAGAAGGGTGCGGGAGTTGTCGCCGATATCGCCAAAGTAGACGGTCTTACCGCCGCGAGCGAGGAAGAGAAGGCGGTCGAACTGCTGGAAGAGGATAGCGCTGGGCTGATGGACGGTGCAGAGAACAGCTTGGCCGGAATCAGCCAGCTTGCGGAGGAAAGCGCAAATGGCCCAGGAGCTCTGGGAGTCGAGACCACTGGTAGGCTCATCAAGGAAGAGAAGAAGCTTGGGCTTGGCTGCCAATTCGACGCCGATGGTAAGAAGCTTGCGCTGTTCGACGTTCAAGCCCTCGCCGGGTACACCAACGACAGCATCGGCAAAGTCCCGCATGTTGAGCATATCGATAACCTCCTCGACGAAAGCGAACTTCTCTTCCTTGGACACAGTCTTGGGCTGGCGGAGCATGGCGCTGAAGCGCAAGCTCTCGCGGACGGTAGCGGTAGCCAAATGAAGATCTGAATAAGGTCAGTTGAGTGAATAGATACTGCCAGGAAAGAGAAGTTGCTTACCCTGCTGCTGAACGTAGCCAGTCTTGCGTTGGAAACTGGCGTCAAGAGGCTTGCCGTTGACGAACATGTCGCCAGTGATGACACCCATGGTAGTTCGCTGAGCCAAGACATCGAGAAGAGTCGTCTTTCCGGCGCCGGAGACACCCATAAGGGCAGTGAGGGTTCCAGGCTTCACCCAGCCATCGACGTGGTCAAGCAGACGGCGAGGCTCACCCTTGATCTCAATATCGTAGACAATGTCTTTCCAAGTGAAGATATCCTTCTGGGGCGGGATAGAGTTAACGTTAGGCTCAGCCTCCTGATCCTTGACGGCCATCTCCTCGTTGGTGACGCTGCGGTTGAAGCCATCCTGAAGATGAGCAGGGACACGGCCGCGCTGGAAGACAAGGACCTCAGCGGCGCTGGTAGTGGAGGAGTTGAGCTCGGTAGCGACGAAGTAGAGGATCATGAAGAACAAGAGGAAAGCCAGGAGGATGCCGAAGTTGCGCCAGACGTGAGAGTAGTAGTACTGGTAGTTGGTCTCGATGAAAGCATCACCACTGACAGTGCGCTGACCAGCGACAGAACCGACAGCTGAGCAGATCCAAGAGTCGCCGATCAGGGGCGTGTACGCCGGAATGATCTCAGAGCAGACGAACTCGCGACCGTGGAACTCGTTGGCGATAAGGATCTCGAAGGCGTAGAAAATGGGGTTAATGAAGCGGATCCAACCGAACCAGTCAACCATCTGGGGAACTCTGATGACGAAGCCAGTGTAGATGACAAGCGCCAAGACGAGCACACCAGCCAACATCATAGCCTGAGAGATGGTCTTGGTGATAGCTGCCATGGTTCTGAAGACGGCGCTCATGACGAAGGTGGAGATGTAGGTGATCAGGAAGTACAGGAAGAATTGACCGGGTTCCCGACGTAGACCAGCGAGGAAGTACAGGATGAGGTTGAAACAGGTTGCCGTGACGAACTTGATCGGGATATCTGCGACAATACCGGCAATGGCTTCGGCTGATGGATGGTAGAAGGCGTAAGAGGCATGTTTTTCGACGATTGGCCGCTGATCGTATAAACTGTTGATTTCAGAGATGGCAGTGAGAGCGTTCATGAGAATAGCCTGAAACAGGACTGAACCCTTGGAGTAGAAACCGGAAGTAGCGTCAGGAGTGCCGTAGAAGACCGAACCAATGATGAGAGCCAAGATGATGTTGAGAATAGCCGCTGTAGCTGTTGCGGAGATGTCGTTCCACATCCGCTGGTAAGCGCGCTTCGTAGTAAGTCGCACTTGCATCGCCAAGCTGATGAGGTAGGGAGACTTGGGGCGAACGTGCTTCGCCTGCCTGTCGTTCTTCTGCTGGCGAAGCTCAGTAAGAGCATGGCCGTTGGGGTCAATCGGGTTCTCGTCAGTGTGCTGCTCAATCTCCTGGCGGAGAGCTTGGTACTCGGGAGATGCGCGCCAGTATGCCTCGAAGTCCTCGGGAGTTCTGGGGACCTGGCTCTCCATTCCCGGACGAGCCTTGCGCTCGATGGGGTTTGTGACCGAGGTCAAGAAGTCTCCCGTGGTCTGGCGCTGGGGGCAATCCCAACCCATGCGCTCAAAGTAAGACTTGGCAGCGGCAGCAGGGCCAAAGAAGATCTGGCGACCCTCGTAAAGGACGACAGCCTTGTCGAAGAGGTCATAGATGCCCTGACTGGCCTGGTAGATGGCAACAGCGTTGGCACTGCCGGTGAAGTCGGAGGCAAGGCGCAGCGACTGAACGAACTTCAGAGCGGTCGCGGAATCCAAGCCGCGAGTGCTGTTATCCCAAGCACACATAGGAGAGCCAGCAAGCATCATCTCAGCGATGGAGACACGCTTTCTTTCACCACCGGACACACCTGTGAAGAGTTAGTCGATTTTATCTCTCAAAGTTATGAAAGGTTTGAATCACTTACCACGGACGAAGTCATTTCCGACCTTTGTGTTGTAGGTGTGGCTTAGACCGCAGACGGCCATGACCACCTGGGCTCCCCTCTTGTGAGCTTCATCGCGACTCAGGCCCATGGGTCTGTTGGATGGTGTGCGGACGGCGCCGGCGAACTCGAGTGTTTGACCGACGGTAAGATGGGGAAAATGCTTGTCAACCTGGTTTGAATGTTGTTAGTTATAATCAAACAAAGTGTTGGTGCATGAAAACGAACCTCTTGGTTGTAAACGGTTTCTCCCTTGAACTCCTTCATCATCTTCTTTTGCGGAATGCCGTTGTAGTGGATGACAGACTCATCTCCAATACTCAGACCCTGGAGTTCACCAGTCATCGTCTTCAGGAGAGTACTGCATCCAGAACCAGGGCGACCAAGAACGATCAAAAGCTCACCGCTCTTGAGCAGGCCATCGAAGCTGTTGAGGATTCTCTTGGGCTCCTTCTTTCCGAAACTAATGTGCTCGCCGATTCTGAGAGGTGCTTGGAGCAAGTCGCCAACGGTCTGTTGCAGCTGCAAAGCAGCGCCGGTACCAGACACATTGAGGTCCTTGTAGGCGACACCAGCCTGCTTGAGAGTGATGCCCTCGTTCTGCATGGCTCGCATGAAGGCCTGAAGCCATTTTGAAAGATCGAATGACTTGCTTGAAGGGTCCAAGGCGGGATCATCTTGGCCGTAAGAGATGTGTGTCGAAAGGGGACGGCCGTTGCTCGCCAAACTTTGATGCCGTGAAAGGTTTGTTGCGATTCTCTGAAGTTCCCTCCTGTCCTCCTCGTCGATCATCATCGTGTCGCGGTGGGTATCTCTCGTAGGGCTGGACACGTCTCCATATTCTTCGTCGGATGAATAGCCATTCTTTCCCGTGTTGATGGGAGCAAAGCCACCGGTGGGCTGCTCGGATGAGGTTCGTTGTTCTCCGTGTATCGTGACTGAAGAGGTAGTTGTACCGTAGCTACCCCTTGTTGCTGTTCTGTCCTCCATGGTTGTAGATGTGTTGACCAGGGGCGAAGCTCAGATGAGCTGAAATTAAGGTTGTTGATATTAGTCGCAGACACAATGTGTTGTTGATGATGAGATGCTGTTAAAGTATTTTACAGTGTTTAAGATGCTCACAGACACTTTAGAATATTCGATAGAGATTGAAAACGGAATTGGGAAATATGGGTTTCGGATGACTTTATTATATCAAGACCCATGGTGGAAGCAGATTTACGGTATACGCATGCGGACATGGCCAACTCCCGGGGCCACCGAGCTAGAGCCGTGATCCTGCCAAGCCAACTGGGCTCTGAGTTTGTTGTGACTCTAGAGACGGCCGAGACCAATTGTGCGGAGTTCGCAGTGCTCCCGCCTACCGGCCGGCCTGTGGCTATGAGGTCACCCCTTACTAGACAAGAAGGCATTCTCCCGGGTGAGTACTCTAACCCCGAAGTCTGGTGCATAAGATATGTAAGCTAGGGGAGAGAAAGATTGTTCCTAGCGCACTGCATGCGTGCTGGCTTTCCGAGTTCCCACCAGCATGGATGGCGGACTGGGCGGGCTGTTGTCTGTCACCACAGTCCGTCCCCGACTCGGGGACTTGGAGTGACCCGAGAGGCTCGACAACTCTTCAAACTCGGGCGCAAGAGCCACGCTGCGGCCCTAGAGACGAGTCAGTATTGGGCTTTGCTAAGCTTGCTAAGCCGTTTACGGTCAAAAAATGGGCTAAGTGCAGTCGAGGCACCCTGCTGTTTTCCGATTGCATCATGGTGGCTAATTCTGTAGCGTAGGCCCACCCGTACATCTCTGCGTTGCTCGTAAATCTGGCGTCACATTGGGATGGGGCATCCGGTAGACATACGGGAGATTTACGCTGCGCAGGGCTGCGGCTGCTCATAGCGCACCGAATGAAGCTTACGCAGTAACGCGGTACGGATACTCACCACACCAATGGAGCTCCCGTCCCCGAGGCACCGACAAATGTCAGCCAGTGGGGATATTGTGTCGGAGTTTGTAGACTGTGGAGACAGCAAATTTCCCCCTTACTTCCAGAAGATGCTTATCATTTCTCTCTCTATGATGCGGGGTCTAGGTTTTCACAACCCAAGGTAATAGTTGTACAACTTGACTTGAGCAGCGAGGTAGATTTCTCAGTCGAGCTAAACAAAACTGCGAGTCCGTCTCCCCCAATGGACGTCACTTTGCAGCTGCCGAAGTTTGGCGCATTAGGCTCAGATGTTAGACCCATCGATGTGAGATTCACGTTCAGATGGAACTACGGATATCGACTAGCGAAAGGAGGCATTATTTAGTATCATTGAGTGTTTCCACATGTGGTGAACGAAACATTCATAATTCTCAACTGTTGTGATTCACCCCCTTTTTGATCCTTTCCCACATTCTCGGGTCTCGGGGTCCTGCAATCGGCGGAAATATCAGACCGCTGAGTCAGGCCTTGCATTGCAGGTCGACTCGCAGCCAGCGCGCTGTGCGACGCAGATCGTCCCTCCCGAGCGACCGAGACATTCCTAGAAAGCTCCCCGCCGCATAAGCTTCGACTAGAGCGGAAGTCCAGAACCCCTTTCTGCAGCGGCGACGTGGTTTCTTCTTCATACTTCGGTAAGCATTAAGATGGCATCTCTTGGCAAGAAAAGTCCGCTGCCAAGTAGAGTTTCCGCTGCGTCACTCGAAACTCTGTTGCCCATCTCGCAAAGCGAGAAGCTTCTGCTGTGGAGGAACGGGGAGAGTTACTCATCGTCCCGTTACCCCGCTGCCCCGGTAGTTCCCTCAATTCGCTTTTCTCGGTTTCCTATTTACTCCTTTTTGACACCCACTTTGCCGATCTTTCTAAGACCCCAAACTGTCACCAACAAGGTTGCACCGTACAGCGCGAAGCAGTACCAGAACGACGCCCGGTAACCCTCCAACAACGCCATCGGGCCCTCCTTGTTTGCGAAGTTCGACCGGGCGGTCACGGCACTCGCTATGGCGCCCGATGAAGCCAGCCCTACGCTTTTGCCGATTTGGGCAATGGCGTTATATACACCTTCGGCCACGGCCTGCTTCTTCGCCGGAAACAGCGATGTGATCAGCAGATTAGAGATTGTGAACAACGTGTCAGCGCCAATAGCCTTCATAAACATTGCCCAGAAGATGCAGATCCAATAGGACCACGCGGGGTCGGAGATCGCCATCAATAGCGGCGACAAACACGCCAGGGCGACGGCGATGAGGATCGATAGGTCTGCCCGGACGCGGTGTACCACGAAACCGGCGACGATGTTGGCCAGGACTCCGCCAACGGGGGCCGGCAGGAAGCGCACCGACGTGTCGATTGCGGAGAGTCGCTGGACATACTGGAAGTAAAAGGAGCTGAGCTGCTCGGTCGCGTTGAAGGCGCCACATACCATGAAGACGCTGGTGCAGATGCAGGTGAAGCTGCGGTTCTTCCAGAGCGAGTTTGGAATAATGGCTGGTTTGCCCAGGCGCTCCTGTCTCTCGACCCAAGCAACGAATGCGCCTATCAGCACACCAGAGATGGCGAGCAGAGCGATGTTTTCTGGTTTCTTAATGTCCCGGGTGCTGTCGGTGATCGCACTGTCATTGTCACGTTAGCTATGTCTCGCTCGCTCTCAAGTAATAGTGGGCGCATCTCGGACTCACGCAAGCACATAAGAGACCATTGAGAGGAAGGCACTGGCCAGGAATGCTCCAACTCAGTCTACCTCGGTCCTGAACCGGTGCCAAGTGACCGGATCTCTCTTGCCGATGCTGGGCAGCCACTTCAGCGCAATCAGGAAGATGACTGTGTTGATGATTGCAGCAATGTGGAATCCCCATCTCCAACCAATCGTGTCTGTGAACACACCACCAACACTGAGGCCAACAGAGAACCCAATAGGTTGACCTCCGCCCATGGACGCAAAGGCAATGTTCCTTCTCTTGCCTGTGGGGAACGCGTGCGTGATGATACTTACGGCAGAGGGGAGACACATTGAGATGGCAATTCCGGCAAAAGCACGAAACATGATGAGCTGGATTCCCGTGTTTGCCAACCCACAGGCAAGAGTGAAAACTGATTGCAAAAAACATCCCATGAGGTAGAGGGTTCGAGCACCGTAGAGGTCGGCCATGGCACCTGACAGCAGGAGTGTGCATCCACAGGTCAGGGCGTAGACAGAAGCAGGCCTTGTTGTCATTAGACTAGATGTACAGCCACATGGGACTTTGAGCACTGATTCCTACCACAATAGAAGATTGCCATCAAGCTTAACATCTCGAGCCATAGCTGGAATGCAAACAGTGACTATGCCGGCCAGAAGGGAGCTAATGCCTGTAATACAGGTCACTGATGAGATGACAACCAGGGTTTTACCCTTCGAAAGGTCGCCATGTTGACCAGGGTCAGGAACAACAGTAGTCTGGTTCGACGACTGCGATATTATTGACGTAGAAGCCGAGAGTTGCGCCAGCGGTATTGCCGTTGCGTTGACCAGCTTCATTGTGGTTGTGGTAGACATCGTGAGTTTTTAGTTTGGTGGTTGATGGCTGAGGAGTTGAAACACCAAGCAAGCGGACCGCATCCTTCACTTATTCACTCGTGGACTGGACATAACAGCGGGGATACTGTCAACTCGGAGGGAGTACAGGGCGCAGAAGACGCGATTTCATTATTCATTGCGCAAATTTTTGACCAATCTGCCCGATCTCGGCCGAAGTGGACGGACCACCGAGTTGGCCCATTTGGGGGGGTTGACATTGACGCCGTTGGAGGTTTGCTGAGTCGCAATGACTAATGGCCGCAGTCGAAATAACCATCAAGTTGTATTGGCATTTCTGTTGGTGTTTACGGATTAATAGAGCGTAGAGATACCCGAGTCTTGCTCGGAATGCAGCCATTTCAAAGACAGTCAACTCGGTTTAGGAGTCTATTAGGTGTAACTAGAATAGCATCGCCTGCAACAACGAACGCCACTGTGTTGTTAAACTACTGAAGAGAAGAACAACCCAGCCCTGATGGCCATTCACCATGAATCTAGCTCCAGAAGGACTACTAAACACCAGTTTTGAGTCTTGCCAGCTTTCCCTAGTACACTTTCCCACGATCGGAGATTCTCACGAACATGTCAACATTCGAAGACTTAAACTCAAAATTTCGGATGAGCTGATGAAACCCCAAAGTTAGCATCAGCAGCTCCATTGTGTTGTTGATTCTTAATAAATTGCTCACCTGGACAAAGATCTTGTTCATTTCCAAGAACGCAACAGACTTGCCTGTGCACCGCCATCGGCCAGCGCCAAACACAAGCTCAGTCTGTGACTTCCACGACTTTCCCGTCTCCGCGTCAGCTTCTAGCCAGCGCTCAGGCCGGAACACCTCAGCATCTTGACCGAAGAGTCTCTTATCGTGGGTCGTTGTTGTTGTTGTTCTATTTAACGCCATGGCGGCAAGGGCGCAGCCGCCCTTGCGGCAGACCTCCCGGAGGGTATGTGGCGTGAAGGGTCGCAGGCTCTAGCTATATACTATATAGTACACGCCGTATCCTGACGTCCTCCAAATCTTGCTCGTGAGCTACTATGTGTTCTATCCATCCCTAGTTCCCACTGGTGCCCTAGTTCCGTTATAACCATCTGGTTTCTTAATATTATCGTGGGTCACCGACACTACATCGTGACCGATTCTCGTGCCTGCAGGTAACGCCATTCCATTATAGATGTCGCCCTCAGGCCCGACCTGTTTCATCACCAAGCCTGGAAACGGTGGCCTCACACGGAGGGACTCGTATATGACCGCCTGTTTTGACCATGATTAGTAAAAAGCGTTAAATTGGATTGAGCAGAGCCGCCGTCTATCCTCTTTGCTAACTTACTTGAAGATAAGTCAACCTACCCACTTTTCGCCATCCCCCCCTTTTCGCCACCCCAATCAACATGGTCTCAAAACATCACCACCAACTTCCAGTCAATTAATTAACTACCTTCCACTGCCACTACAATACAGTCACTGCCCTCACTAAGTAATTCGATCCTTGCGAGTCGACTAGGACTAGCGAGACGGTCGCCTACGTCCTCCTGAGCTCTCTTTATATCCCTAATGTTCGCGAACTTGGTATTAGGATCTATTTGGACGGTTCTCTTCCTCCTTGGAGCCATGCGATCAATTCGGGCCTAGAGCTAACGGTTTCTATACTCTGATGTGGCCAATAGGTATTCCTTCTCGCCAAAGCTCTTTTTTATCTTTCTAAATAGTAGTCGTCGAGTGTTGAGGTCTGGACTGAGCTCTGTGAATAACCTCAAGTGCTGGCTAAGCTCACTGGCCTGCCTAGGAGTTGACCAGTCAACAACAGACGTCGCTGATACCCAGTCAACGGGTTCCATGGACTTGCCAGTCACTGCCTGCCCCTCTGCAGTGTTTTTCAATGGAGTGGCAGGGCTGGGGAGCATCAGTGGGCTCAGCAGAGGGTGGCTCATATTAACTGGCCATAGTCCAGTTGCCTTCCACCCACTTCGTATATTAGACAACGTCAGACTAGCCAAACGAGCTTTCTGGTAACAGTCCAATAAGTGCCGCTTTCCAGCGATAGTAGAATTGTCTACTATTTCGTGCTTTCTGAGCTCCTTCCTATAAGTAGACTTCACAGGTCCAAACACTGCCGGATCCAGGGGCTGGAGGATATGGGAGGTATGTGGAGGCAAGAATAATAAGTAGACGTTGTTGATATAGCACTCCCACATGAATTCTGTCGTCGTATGACTCCCATGCCCATCCATAATCAATAATCGAGGCTCCTTCACCCCACCAGCCCTCCTAGGGCCAGGGGGCTCAGTCTGTGGCAAAAACACCTCCCTCAACCACTCGAGGGCAGTGTCGTCTGTCGTCCACCCATTGTCTGTTGCTGTGAACTTCCAACCGTCGAATGGGTTAAGTTAAAGGGGGAACCACTGCTGTTGGACCGACTTTCCCTTGAATATGACCAGTGGTTTGATAGATCTGGCATCAGCAGAGATACACTCGATAATCGACACCCAAGCACGCGAACCAGGCTCCTTTTTCCGCACTGCAGTGGCCTCTGCCTTGCCCAAGACCAACCCATTAGCTCCCTTGCCCTCAAGGATGCCAGTCTCATCCATGTTGTACCTGTTGGACTGTTTGATCTTCTTGATCTCTGGGATGTCGAGCAAACGGAACCAGGGCCTGATGTCAAGTTGGGATGTTGACGCAGGGTGGAAGCTCTCAGAGGCCAACTGCAGTTAGGGGTAGAATGATGAATTACTGAAATCTACTCCTCCCTCGACGTGTACTCCCTGCGCTGTATATATATCTGAGCTGCTCCTTTGTCGCTTGGACTCCTTACTACCTCTGACTAGCCCCTATCCGGGAGGGCTCTGACACCTGATTACCTCAGTAGTTGCTCCATTAACACGTCTAGAATCAATAGTTCGGCTCTTCTGGACCTTAACTGAGGGATTCCTTCGCAGGAAGGCTTGGGTCCATCGCTTGCTAACAGGCTTACGGTCACCCTAAGCTCTCAGAACTCGCTCAGCGAATTCCCTGACTTGTTCATGTGTAGGAGAGACCCCTAGAGTGTGTTGAATACGAATCCACTCTGCCAGTCGGTCTTCCTGCCATGGATTTAGTTTCTGAAGCTCGGAAAATACGGTAAGTCTGCTCTGATGCCCCTTGAGTCGACTTCGTAGTGTTGATCGTGGTACAGCCCAGTCAATCGAGGTCCTATTAATAGGGGTACCGTTCAAGATGGCATCAAGTGCTTACTGCACTTAAAATTCGGTATACGAGACCATTACATATCGACAAATAAGTGTGCCAAAAAGGAGTGTGTTTAGACGAAAATTGCAATTGTTGTGGTTGTTTGAACAATGGGGGTAGGATAATAATGAGGAGGCTGGGAGGCATTTTTGGGGTGGCGAAAAGTGGGTAGGTTGACTTATGGCAGTTGCTGGGCTTCTTGATATGTGATGGGATCTGATATTCTTCCTTCGAGCATGGCGTCCTCAATCTCTTTCACAAGAGACTTATACACAGAGATATTTGAAAGGACATAGTGCATTGTCCATTTGATGGCCTTTGCTGCTGTGTCAGAGCCAGCGACCATTGGAAACATTATCTCGGACTGCGCTGAGCGCTGATCAAGACCGCGACGTATGAATGATCCCTATCGAGTTCCCGTTAGCGGAAGGCTGAAGAACTTTGTGACCTTATCGTGATAGCTAATAAGCTACGAGTAAGTCAGGCTCATCTTTCCCATCAGGACCAAATCGGGCGGCAATGTGCTCTTTGGCAAGTCTGTTGACCTTAGTTTTGTGTCCGGACAGAGGCGACAAAATGGAATATACATAGCGGCTGCAGAAAGACTTACCCCACGATCTTTCCAAAGCCATTCTTGTCCGTCGGTTTCGGGCCAAGCAGCCGTAGAGAAAGGTCTGAGGTGAAAATTCGTTGAAGAGGCGGAATATCAGTGAAGAATTGTAAGACATCTATGGCAAGATTCGACATAGCAACCAGTCCAAAGACGTCCGAGTCTTTCCGAAGAAGCCCAAGGGGTTGTCCAAAGGACATCCTCGAGCGAGCGTCCATGGCATAGTAGTGCGCGAGTCGGCCGAAGTCTACAGGCGTTTGCTCCGAGAGTCTTGGAGTATCTGCATCTCCTGGCCCCTGCGGGTGATGCTTGGTGGCGTAGCTCTTTCTAATCAAGCTTACCAAGTCTGCTATTCCAGAGTCGATGCTAGCGTCCAACCCAGCAATGTCCTTACCAAGGTACCCGGGTTGCAACTTTGTCTTCAGGGCATGATGAACAGACTTATCGAGCACGCTGCCCATCATGTCGTGGTATGGGTCTAGCCGTGTGGCTTTGTACCAACTGCTTCGTCCATACATCGACTTGGCCGCCGACATACGTCTGTTGGTATCACAGGCGTGATACATTTCCTCATGAGGGTGTATCTTCGGCAACAATCACGTCGATGTCCGTGATAATTGCTGTTGTTGTTCTTGTTACTTCCTATTTTACATTGTGGGCAGGGGTCGGTCGAAGTAGGTGGTGACGGCCTGGGTGGTTGCCCCACCTTAACCGGCCGTGGTGACTAAGCCAGTTGTCCCACTTCGCCCAGGGCAGGCGCCAGCCAGCCCACGATACCTGCCCATTGCTCCTTATCAGCCTTGCCGTTCCGACAACGTCTTATGAGTTCTGCGTCGGACGTGATCAGGTCGTTGGGGCCTATGCGGACAAGCTCGCCATATTTTGTCGACAGTTTAAAGTACTCATGGTACCCATGAGAGAGAGCCACGAGTACGGATCCGAAACATTGTCCAGTAAGATAGGGAAGCAATAAAAGGGCCAGGGATTTGCGATAAACGGGCCCATGATCTCAATGTCGTAGTGAGTAAGTACACCACAACTATGAGACCCAGAAATTGGGCAAGAGGCGTCCAGGGCAACGCAACTGCGGACTGGTACAGTAGAGAAGGCGTTTTTTTCCGTGTCAGAGGACAGCTTGGAATTCGAAGTCAACAGGCTTTATGCCAGGGATTGCAGAGTTTAGGCATCTCTTTTGAAGTCTCTTTAGAGGACACAGAAAAATCAATATTTTAAGTCCGTTTTGGTACCCCTTGTAAGTCTGTACCCATAAGAATATTGAAGGAGTGGGTATCATGATCGTCCGGGGGCTAGACCAGCTTACGCCGAGCTAGCGTGCTGCGTCGCTGACCGTCAGCTCGCACAGAGAACCTATGATAAGAGGAGCTGAAGACTATAAGTGTGATGAGATCACGGCTTCTTGTGGGAGAACGGCAACCCTCGGCCCTTTTACAGGTTTTTGCCGATGTGCTCAAGTCAACGAAAAGGTATTACGATCCCGTCGTTGCCAACTTGATCGTTCTCTCTGCTCTAGCCTTTGTCAACTCAAACGCCATTGAGATTCATCACCAGTACCAGACAATCGTCTTGTCAAAAGAGACAGTCAGCTGGCCCTACTACTTTCGAGACAAAGAGGGCCTTCCAGAAGTGTACACCTACTTCTGCTTCTACAAGGAGATGTGCCCAGATATTGCATGCTTCCTGTCAGCTGCGCCCGAAATGGGCAAGTTTATCAACTTGACCAATGACATACTGTCGTAAGTACTCGGATCTAGCTTCAAGTTACTACGTGTAAGTCTTAGGCCTTTAACATGTGGCCTGTAGGTCTTACAAAGAGGAAAAGGCAGGTGAAGTCAGGAACTACATTCACAAACAAGCTTTAAGCTTAAACCAAAGTCCCTTGTCTATACTAGAATCCGTCATTCTGGAAACTGTGGTTGCGTACAACCGGTCCCGGGCAATTCTGAACAACAGCCATCCGTATGAGGGCATATGGCACGCCTACGCCATGGGTTGTGTTGGAACAGCAAAGGCTGATAAGGAGTAATAGGCAGGTACCATGGGCTGGCTGGCACCTGCCCTGGGCGAAGTGGGACAACTGGCTTAGTCATCACGGCCGGATAAAGGTGGGGCAACCACCCAGGCCGTCACCACCTACTTCGACCGACTCTTGCCTACAATGTAAGATAGAACAAGAAGAAGAAGAAGCAATAGGATCACCAACAGACGAGTGATAATTGCTACCACTATTTGTCGTATACGACCCCGTGGAACCAACAGGTTGTGTCGCTATGCACTTGAACAACCGCCGCTACTACCTTTCTGAGATAGTTCTGTAGACTTCTCCATCACCCAATAGACAGTCTTGGTACTGAAGAAACGACGTCAAGAAGAGAACCACAAATCCTGTCGGGATGTGCCCCACGAATGACATTCAAAAAGAACTTTGTACACTTGAGTCTCGGCTAGAACGAGGTACTAAACCCCGGCCGCCGTTGTCCAGTAGGGTTTAACACCAGCTTAACTTACGGAAGTTCGGCTCTTATAGGATCCCGATCGAAGCCGCCCCGCGCCCCTGCAGCCCGCTATCCATGTCGAGACCGGAACCGAAAGCGGTGCCTGCGTCGGGTCGCAATCGGGTTCCTCGCCTACTAACCGAACGACAGATAACGTCGCAACAAGACGTTATGTTGGTTCATCCGCTATTGTTATCGAGGGCGCCTGTCTTGGCACACTTGCGCGATACGTGAATTGACTTTTGAAAGCTTGGTAGTCGACGGTCCCAAGGGAGACGATGACGTCTGAAGAGATCTTCTCGGGTTCTCTGCTGAGCACCTTGATGCATGGAGTGATGAGATGAAGTTGCGATGCGACCAACGTTCTAGAATTGACGGGCGAGGCTTGGCGTGCCATGTGATTAATGTATGCAACGTCCACACACACTATGATATGCGTCCACTTTCGGAACCTCATATCTGGACCATGGCAAATCAACTCCTCCCACCACTGTAGACTTGCCGAGGGCTGGTCCGACCCGTTCCCGGTTCCAAACTAGTTGACCTCAGGGCATTGGCTCGTTGTTCCTCGTTATACTGGTTCCTTAAGGGAGAAAAGTCTGACGCGGAAATCGAATATCCCAAAAGCCACGAAATCCTACGAGCCTCTGGATTAAAGCGTGTGTGGCGGTAGGCTTGGGTGTGAAGACTGGCCGCAGTTGCGGAATCATGTCGATAGACCAGAGTCTCTCTCAGTCGACTTCTATGAAGAGATGGTTTGAATTGAGTAGTTTTTGGTGGCGAAATTTAACACCGTGGACCCCTCGGACCTGGTCTATCCCTTGGGGGATACTCTTCCAAGAGGATACATGCGCCAGTCCCAATGCCGCAAATATTTGTACACTATTACACGTCTTTATACACTCTCTCAACTCCATGCAGCTTACAGCATCTCGGCAAAGCGAAGAACGCAAGCGGCCCAGGCCCTCAAGCCAACCCGACGCCTCTCAGAGCCCTCATCTTGACGCCCTCCCAGCTGTTCAGCTTCGGCCTCACGTCCAAGTAAAAGCTGGGCTTGCCGCGGGCGTCGGGGCGTCCGGCGTAAAAGTCAATGACGTATTCGACCTGCACGCCGCAGCGGTCGACGACCCAGTCGTGGCGGTCAAAGGGCGGGGTGTAGCCCAGCAGGGTATTCACGCGCGCCTTGGGGGACATGTTTGTGCTGAGGCCGAGGAAGGAGTGGAGTTTGGGGCCGTCGCAGCTGTTGGCTTGTGTTAGCTTTCTTGTGCATTTGTATGGTAGATGGATGGATGACTGGATCGAATCCAGAACAACGGGAAGTTAGGGGGACCTACGCTGTGCCTTCGAGGTAAGGCGCCTCCCATTCTTTAATCTCCTTCCACGCCCTCTCGTTGACGGCATTGTGGATCGGCACCACTGTCGCCATATCCTGTGCGCGGGTATCGTGGCCCTTGCGCTTCATCGCGTCAAAGAACATCTTTTGGGAAGGGTAGATCCAGTTTCCCGTCGCCTCGTCCGAGCCCGTCTCCTGTTCGTGGTTGGATGGGCGACTGTTCCCAGGGTACGCTGAGGTTGCTGTCCGGGGGATCGTCGAGACTTCGCGGTCGGTGTCGAGGCCTGATTTGACGGCTGATGCGGAGGGTGGGATGTTCGGCATGTTTTTTTGTGTGGGTGCTGGGGAGGAGGTGAAGGGGATGTAGGACTTTAGGGACTGTGTCCATGATTGCGAGAGCTGTGGTGATGATGGCGCGGCCGCGAGTGTTTGGTGGGGGTTTGGAGGTAGGTCGGCGGGGTATGGTGGGTGAGGATTTGACGAGGCGTTCGCGGCGGAGGCGGCGGAGGCGGCGCGGGCTTGTTCGAGCCAGGCTTCGCGGGATTTGTGGTCTACGGGACAGACTTCGGCGGCGGCGTCGGCGGGGCCGGAGGTAGGTTGTGTCGCGGAGGCGTTTGTGGCCGTTGAGGGCGGCGGGGCCGAGGAAGAGGAGAAGGGCGTCAGAGATAGCAGGGACTGCGTCCAGGATGAAGACTCTGTGTGCTGCGACTGTGGTGATCCCGCCTGGGTTGGAGGTATCGGGTGCGGCGGGTGAGGAGGATGCGCTGAGTCCGGGTTCGCGGCGCGGGCGTGCTGGAGCCAGGCTTCGCGGGCCTTGTGGTCGACGGGGCACGTCTCGGGTGCCGCGCCGTTGCTGGAGTCTGACATTGTGTGGTGAGGGTGGTCTTCGTAGTCGATTGCGACGGAGGAGGATATGGTAGCTGAGGGTTGGAAGCGGGTTAGGAAAACGAGGTCTACGAGATCGGCGTTCATTTTGGAGATTCGATGTGTGGTTGAGTAGAGATTGTAAGGTTCATACCCGTCAGAGATATCCAGGAATCAAAATCCTCCAGGTCAAGGGATCCGACTCTTTTGAACCCCTCGATGGGTTTGGCGGCGTGACGGGTAACCAAATGCGGGAGGGGGCCTAGATCCAGAACCCGGGGATAGGGTTGCACTGGTGTTTCTTTCTTTGTTTGTCTAGATGTTGGGGCGTCGTAGTCGGGAGGGGTCTTGCGACGGGAATCGCATTGGATCTTTGCGTTGGCGCAGTGTAGGGAGAGGGCGCGTGGGTTTCGTTGGTTCTTGGCTGGTTTCGTGATGGGGGTTGATTCACGTTTCCGCGACGAACGGGATGCAACAACTTTTTTGGTGGAGCTTTCTCTTGTGTTCTTCCATGCGCATCTGTTAATTTTTATTTTGGGATGATGTGATTGACGCCTTTTGATTGGGCAGTTTGTTTGATGGATATGCCTGGCGGATGCTTCCGATGACGCCGGGATGGCCAAGGTCCACGGGAAAGCTCTGGCAGATTGATGTGTCAGCGGAATCCCGAACTGCTGGATCCTATGATCCGAATGTCCCACCAACAGCTGTGGCTCAAGCTATCGATGTGTGGCTGGTGCTTCCACCTGGATCAGTCGAGGATTAATAATATTGGCGATGCTATTTCACCTCACTTGGAGGGGCTTTAGTGCTTACTGCCACGTGATATTAGATACCTCACTGCTTGTTGACTTGGGATCGCATTGGTACCTATTTGGACAACTGTCTGACTTTGGACAGAGTAACAGAACTTCCACAGGTCGCATCACACCTCAAAGCTTCCTATAGTTAAACGCCTTGCGTAAAGCCCAGACTCTAGCAAACATGTCTCGACAGTTCAGACTCTCCCATCTATTCCCACTATTCGTTGCCATCGCTCATACTATAGGCGGGATCGTTCCCTTCGTCGCCAAAGACGCTGGACTCCGCTCCTTCGGTCTGCCGGAGAGATTCGCAGAGTCAACTATAGCGCAGTCATGCTTCATCCTCGATGGCGCCCGACTATCTGTGCTAGGGACGGTTCAGCTAATCATGTATCTTCGCGGAGACTATGCGGCAGTGGACATCATCATGGCTCTTCTGGTGTATGTTGGGCTCGTTGATGGGTACGTATGCTGGCGGGAGGGCGAGCTGGGATCAGCTGTGTTTAGAGCTACGTCGGGGATGGTCATTGGGGCATGGGATGGGGTATGTTGGGGTTGACGTCCAAGCTGTGAACACTTGGAAATTACTTATAGACATGGACACGATTTATATGCATTTACCGCGTACGTGTTGGCGAGAATGATCTTCCCTCAAGGATCGACCAGGTTCTAGTGAAGTTTAGTCGTGCATTCGATCCTGTGAGTGATCATCGTCATTTTTTCGACACGCCTGGTGTTTCTTTCATCTGAGCGTCTTGCGTAGACTATAAGAATCTCAGAGCCGAATTAGCCGCGAAGTGGTACTTGATCTCACCAAGATTCATAATATCAATGTACATCTCAACCCGCTCAGGTGCCGTTCTGCACAGACCAGCAACCGACGTCAAGCCTCGGACCCAGGACAATGCAAAATTGGTGGCTGAGGCTCCAAGCTCGGGTGACGTTGGCAAGTCGGCTACTTCGGGAATTGACGGAAGCGGGTAGCTCAAGCCTCAAGGAAACAATCGGATGATTTTTGGGGGTAGAAAAACGTCCAAGCTACCTATGCTTTTGCTGCTCAACTTGGATGCCTAGGTATAATAGCTGCATATTAAAGAAACGAAGCCGACAGCTTTCCCCACGGGCCAAGGGAAATCAAACGTGGCACGATTTCCCCAAACCGCTCCCGGAGCTACGGACGCAGGTGCGCGTTTCTCCAAGCTGCGGGAGAGCCTATCACATGCGGGCTAAGTACGCAGTAAGCCGCGTCTGCTAAGCATTGGTTTGTGAATTCCGAGAGATGGTTACATTTGCTTTAGTTGCATGTGCTTTGCTATTATGTAGAGCAGCTTCACATGGGATTCCTTTCAACGAAGCTCGGCTCGTAGAGCACATGGTCACGAAAAGTCCCCGGAAGAGGTGGTCTCTCCAAGATGTTGAAGTAAACTTGCTTTTATGCACAGGGTCTGTTGGTGTGTGTGACGAGTCTAGACTATCGGTACAGGATTCTGACGTCGACGATTAAGGAAAAGTTGAAGACTAGGTATGGAAAAGGCCAAAGCAAGAGACAGGTCTTTGTCGCCTGTATATGGTTGGGGGGTTGAATGAACCCCAGTAAACTCCCATAGTATCCCAGCAAAGCTCCCGACTTGATGGGCGGGAATCGCTTCCATCGCGATGGATATCACGAAGCCGCCGTGGTAATTCTCCCTGTTAACTTTTCCCTTGCCGTTGGTCACGGGCGTCCGTGACGAATCAATATTGCCGACTGTTCCGTGGCCTGCCGAAGGCCCCAATCCCGGGGGCTTTTTGGTCGACGGACCGGACAGATGGTGATTGTCCACCGTCGCTGTGGTCTCGTCGTTTCGTACACACGTTTGTCGTCGCCTAGTTTTGTGAATCTCACCAACTCTCCCCCGTTCTGTCTCTTCCTCGTCTCCGCCTTCGTCGCTCATTTTTCGTAGTCCAGCCCGCGGATGTCATGATGATGTCTCCCTCAACCCCACCCGACATCGTTCGTAAAGGGAGTGAGATAAAGAGGGCGCGTTCCGTTTTCCGTGCGATGTCACGCTCAGCCGAAGAGGGCAGCGCCGCCGGACTCGACAGCCTCAATCTCAGCCATGTCGAGAGGCTGGCGGCGGAAACGGGCCGGGAGCTCGGAGCGGTCGAAGGCGACGCCAGAGGGAGGAACAACGGAGCCAAGCTGGTGACCGGTAGATCCGCCTACGCCACCGCCGATGGTGCGCTGGAGGGGACCGTGCTGCTGGGCGTGGTCGCGGTAAGAGCTGAAGCTGGTGTGCTTGGGGGAGGCGGAGCCGTTGCCGAAGTGGGCGGGAAGCTTGCCAGTGGGCGAGGCCGGGTGAGGGGCGGGGCTGTGGTCGATGGAAGCTGGTAAAGAGTTTTAGCATTGCGGGAGAGACAGAGACGCGTGAGCAGAGTTTTGACAGAGTTGACGTACAAGGAATGGAGCGGCGGCCGAGGAACTTGATGCTCGGGGTGCGTTCGGCATGGGCGGCAGCCTGACGGAGGACTCTGGTAGCGAACATTTTGAGGGTATATAAAAGAGTCGAGTGGAAAAGGGCTTGAAAAATGCGTTGGAGTGGTGATTCCGAAAGTGTCCGAAGCTCGTTTGTCGGTATGGGTGGTGGTGGTGGACCGAGGTATGTGTAGGAGGGAAAAAGAAGTTTGGTGGTTGAGCTCTCCTCCTCGCCTGTGATGATAAAGCTGGTGGGTGCGGTACGCGCTAACGACGGGTATCAAGGTGGTATAAACTTTTGGGTGCCTGTGGCTTTTTGTGTGTTTTGAGGTAAATGCAATTGGGTGTCTGGCGCGTGGCAGAACTTTATCAGCAGGGGAGGAGAGCGATCTGGTCGGTTTGTTGAAGGAGGGAAGAAATGAAGAGAGGAGGGAAGAGAAAGGCTGGCGGAGGTGTGGAAGGCAGGCACGTCTTATTTCAGCAACCCAAGGTGAATGGTATGGGGAATTTTCTTCACAGGCCGAGAGACACCGCGCCGCCTCCGCCGCCGGCCGTGCCCGCCTGCTTCTGAGGTACTTCACCATGCTGGCGGCGTTTGGCGCTCTCTCCCTCTCTCTTTTTCGTTTTTTCTTTTTTCTTTTTCTTCTCCTCCAAGGTTCCATTCTGTGTTACAACGCTCGGTTGGGGGTTAGCTGTGGGTTCACTGGGTTGGGTGTCGCTGCACGGCCTGCTCACTTCAGCCAGATGGGCGGCTTCGGGAGGAAAGGAGACAGGGAACGGACAGGGAGGCAGGGGATGGCAGGCCGAGCTAGCGGTGCACGCTGCATGGTGCCATGGTGGTAATGGGTGGTGGAGGTGGAGGAGAGGAGCACAAGAGTACAGGATGAGGGCTGCACAGAGGAGGGGAACAGACGATGGAGGGGACAGGGCACCATGAATGATGGATCTTGTTCATGTCTTAGCGCGCCAGCCCCGAAACCCGAGCCTCGGGCAGAGATTCCCGTCAAACAAGTCGTCGAGTTTCCAGAGACTATGAATGTGGTGTCTAGAGTTGAAAGCCCCGAGGAGACTCTCGGTTCGGCTAATGAAGAGTTGACATCGTCTCTCATGACTTGTCACTAGAGTTAAACCGATGGATGCAACATCATCATCCAACATCTTCATATTCATCCACATCGTCTTGCTCTGAACACAAGTTGAATAGGCAAATGGAGCCCCTCTTGGGCTCTTGGGTTCTTGGGCTGTCGGGTTCTCACAACTCGACTCAGTGACATTCGTTTCTAACAGTCGTCCAATGTGCTCCTCCCCCGTTTCAGGCAATCTCCACAACCCCAAGCGTCCTGGCTACATCCCCAAGTTCCAACGTCGGACCGACCACGCCATTCCTAGACCACGTAGTCATTGGACAATGGACGCCGGCCACATTTGGGAACCCCGAACGCGTGGGAATTTCAATGTCCCCGATCTTTCTCACCCTTGTCGTCAGTCCTTGACTTGTTTTCCATTGTCCTAAGATCCTAAATGGTTGACCATGGCCAGTCCAGAGACTCAAGACAGAGACTCAAGACTCCGGAGCCTAGAGTCAACCGTGATTAGATGAACAAATGCCCCTCTTCTTCTTCTTTCCTCCTCCGCTGTTCCGTCGTGTCGGAGTCTAGTAATTACTCTGTAAACTAGTAGGTTTAGTTCGTTCTCCGCTCTGACCGGTGACGGGACCTCAGTGACAGGCCACCGCCGCCGCCCTCAGCCCGCCAGCCAGTCGCCATAATGCGGGACACATTGATTTTACACGCGAATTGCACCTTATCTCTGAGCTCCCGCGTCATGGCACCGGACATCGAACCATCCTTCCCCTCATCCTCCACCCATGCAAAAAGTCTCCATGTCCCCATCGTACAGAGACAATGATAGGGACCACACACACTAGATCCATCAAGAGTCGGATATCCGTATTCAAAAAAAAAAAAAAACACACCGTCTCAGCTTTTTGGGTTGTGTTTGCAATATCGTCTCTTGTGTGGAAAACATCTCTTGGCAGCGGCAACTTTCGCAACCAACTACCTTGCCTTGGATGTTGATGTGACCGGTGTGAATCCCACCCGTCCAACAGACATTGTCACAACGGTAGCATCGCAAACCCAGTCTCTTTCGATCACTGAGATACAATCCGCATTTCGGCATACCACGGTTTACCACCTAGGGCAATAAGCTCTCGAGGGCCGAGACAATTTCGTCCGACCTTTTGTGCGAGCGAAACCGAGCTCCAGTGGTCACCCTTGAACTTCCCCAGACTCTGGCACAGGCCAAAAAATCTGGAGATTAGACTTTTTTTTTTGCTACTCTGCAATGTCTCTCTTTCTCTCCCTAGGCCTCCAGTGTCTTGTCTGCTTCGGACTGTCACTGTGCAGCATGCTACTTGGTACCACCCCCAGGGCTCTCTACCGTGAGTGACAACAACTGCCGCGGCGTTCGGGATTTTTAGCCTAGTGGTAAGGTCTGCCTGGGAGATCAGTGATCACCATCGCGCGGGGAAGAGGAAGGGGGAAGGGATGGTGATGTGATGGCCACCTATTGGCAGACTGGCAGTATTATCAATCAACTGAAAATGCCGGGGAACGGTTCGCGAGACCAATGCCACACCCGGGGGACCCGGCGATACGCGATGCTTGGGGGAACTGGACGAGCAAAACCAAGAAAGACAAATGTTCCTGAGCAAGGAGTAATCCCTTAGCCTGTCCCTCCTTCTCCTCCAAGCTTCCCGATCCCGGTCCATCCACACTCACGAAACCTCTTCAAGCCCAAAAGAGACAGGATTCACAGGGACGGAGATGGGCGCGCTGCATCGAACAAGATTCTGCGGGCGACCGGGACACATCTTTGAGCCAGCCAGTGGGCGCGAAACCGCGACCGAGACACACATTCACATCTGCACACCCCCCCGGGCAGTTTTTGCCCAACACGGCAAACCCTTCCACCGGATCTAAGCCATGCCCACCTCCAACTTAACTCCAGCAAGCCGGACAAACCACAGCACAGCCAGCAGTGACAGCTCAAACCCCCACGGCACGGACGATGGGATGCGCAAAGATGGGGGAGGAGAGGGTGGTGTTACAGCAGATGGCCGGGCCAGAGTGGACTGGCATCCCGGGGCCCTGCATTGCATTGCATCAGCGCCGCTTGCGCGTGCGGCGTTGCGCTGCGCTGTGCCTGTGTCTGCCTTCCCGCCGGGGTCCTGGCCGGTTTGGAAGGGCTTGGGTGGCTACCGGGCCGGCTAACGAGGTAAGACGGCGCGAATAGCGAGCCGCTGGGCACGTTTTTTCGTGGATTTCTTTCTTTGGGCTGAAGTGACTAGTGTTCCTTCGACTCCAGCTACCTTCTCAGTCGGGTGTCTACTGTGTGTCTGGCATCTGTAGTCTCTTCTGTGGAGGAGGAGACTTTCGGCTCCGATTCCTACCACATTTCGGTCCCGTCGTTGGAAGAATCGTGATCAAGATCGTTTCTGAAATCCGACTTGTGCGCAGGGCTAGCTTTCCACCACCACGTCAGTATCATTCATTAGTGAACCACCCGGACTTCCCACGTCTCCATCTCCCTTCTCCGGCCGATGACGTGCTCCCGAAATGAAGACGTCTGTTTCCCCCCCCCTGCCTGCCGTCTTCAAGAACCGAAAACCGGGAGTCGAACCATTCCCGGCGCAAATCGCGCTGCTCAGGAACGTGGGATTGCCACTCACTATATCCGTAGCACTGTAGTCTGTAGCAGCCCTTCCGATCCCGGTTGTAGACGGACCGGAGGATGGACGTCTACCATGGTGGTCCGATAACGGCGGCGCGGCTATGGTGTGCTGGAGCAAATTGGTTTCCAAGGCGGGAGCGCGGAGCCCCCAAAATTTGCTGCGGCGATTCGTGCGGCTAGGAAAGAAATTCTTAGGTCCGCCTCAGCCCTCAAGAGCAAGGAAACACGGAAGTCCCCTGTCGAGCTTCGGGCTGCCTTTCCCTTTTTTCTCTTTCATACTGGCCCAAACCGACCGGGCTGACCACGACGTTGATCGGATCCGAATTGATCGACATGTCCGTACCGGGATTGACGTTCTTCTCCCGGGATCTGTTTCCCGTAATGTCGCTGTCAAGAGGTGGCCAAGTTGCAGGCCTTGATGTGATGTTTAAGGCCGATGTTGTGTTTGTTTCTAGCGATGAAGTCAAGAAGTAACCCTGGCCTAATTCAAGCTGGAAACAAAAGAACGAGGAAGGCTAAAATGAACGACTGAGTATCCGCTGAGGAAAGGCCGTGGACAGCTACGAGGTCACAAAGCTTGCATCCTTCTTCCAAAGTCTTGCTCATTCAAATGGTAAGCCCTTTGCTCGGCTCACATGGCATCACTTTCCACAAAGATAAGGTGCAGTGTACATCGAATTGAATTGTTTTGCAAAAGTGACGGCCTCAGATCGAAAGGAGGGTCACAGGTATCATCAGCAAATCGTACATCATGAGTGTCATCCATCCCAAACGCCATATTCCTCCCTTGAGCCAACCATTGTCCCTGTGAAGTAATCGCCTATTCCATCAGCTTACAGCTCTTTCTTGTCTTCGAATCCGATGCTGATACGTGGAGCAAAGGCGTCCAGGTTGGCCTCATTGACATCCCAGCCCGCCTCCTCAAGCGCCTTGAAGTCCAACACATCGGTGCTTTCGCCCATCTCAATCTCGTCCACGGAAATAGCGCCGAGAACAAGCTTCTTGTTGCCAGCCTTCGACCCCAGAGTTCTGTCGTGGGCAAGCATGGTGGCGTAGTACCACGCCCTGAGGGTATTGATATCGTTTGCCTCCATGGGGGAGCGGTCTCCCAGAAGCAGGATTCTGACGGTGGCCATGTCTCCTCTCTCGCAGAGGCAAAGGATGAAATCCGGGTGAGCTTTCTGACCTCCCTTCTCGGTTGACTGCTGATTGTGATCTTCCTTGTACATGGGCATGACAAAGCGGACGCGGGCGCTCTTGAGGTCCGCAGTCATGGCATGGGCATAGCTCTTGGCGAAGCTAATCTTGGTAATCACCTCTCCGCGATGATCCTTGACGACGGGGGTCCAGAAGACAATGCTCTCGCGCACGGCGACCTGGGCGGGGGAAAGCACGCGCTTCGTCTGCAGGTAGTGCTTGAAGAGGATCGTGGTGCGTTGCTGGTTGAGGACGTTGAGCTGGACGCAGCGGACACCAAGGTAATTCATGCCGAGATGAACAAAGACGAGCGCGACCATGAGCGCAAAGACTGCCTCCCTACTCTCGACGTAGCGCACAACGATAGAGCCTACGAGCAGACCGACAAGGCCGACAGCGGTCTCCTGTGATGCCTCCTTTGCGTTGAGCTCACTGAGGTTGTTGCGGCGGGCAAAGTGCTTGGAGAGAGCGGCCTTGCTGGCGCCGGCGGCGACACCGCACATTGCGCGGAGAGCTTCTGCGAGCACGAGGGCGAGGACTTTGGTCCAGGGGTCAAAGTAGGGGCTGAAGAGGTCAAGGAAGAAGGCGCTATCGTTGAAAATATCAGCGAGGTAGCGGTATCTCTTGCACTCTGGCTCGATGACCAGGCCGAAGCGGTAGGCGAAGACGATTGTAGCGACGCGGGAGATGCCATCCTTGAGGATCGTCAGGAGCAGGGCATAGGTGGCGGACGAGGACGCGTCGCCGACACCGAGGCCTTGGAGGATGGCGCGATTGGCGAGGAGGCCAGTGATCGTGGAGAAGAAGGCCTGGAGGGAGTCGAAGGTCTGGTAGCCAATGTAATCGGGAGTCACCGATTCCGGATAGCCGATTGGCAAGAATGCGTCGTTTAGGATTTGACGCATGTTGGCAAGCCCGGCTGTCGTTGAGGTTGTGAGGGCAGTGGTGAGAGTCGGGATGGTGTTTTGGTGAGACGGGCGCACTTGTGTTATTTTTTGCGACTCGGTGTTGTGCAGCCAGCGGTGGGTGATTCTTCCGGTTCCATCTCTTTCCTCAATGAGAATTTCTTTCTTCTCTGCCCCTTCCATTTTTGTACGTGGTTTGTTGTTCGCTTGAGAAGGCAGGCAGAGGGATGTCCAAGGAAGGAGCGATGTGGCAGGAAGGCAGGAGTGAGATTGAATGGGAAAAGTGGGCCCCACCTTGAAGGTGTTGCAAAATGAAGAACATCACGGTGTTGCCCTGAGATACATCAGTCAACAGCCTCTCCAACATGAAGGTATCGAATTTGGAGACATTTTTTCCTCAACTTCTTAGTCATGCCGCCGCTATTACTTGATTGAATTGCCTACCTTGTCCATGCTCAGTAGCTCCGGTGTGCTATATGGCTGACATGCTTAAGGCTACTAAGATGGAGTGATCATAATGCATGTTCACCCTTAGCTGTGCTTGACTGATAGATTCATTGATACTAGCAGTAAATTCGAATTGGTATTTAATTAAGTGTTTCTATACGCACAAAGATGACTTTTGAGCAACTTGAAGCTTGTTTAGATGCCGCCAAAAAATGGACTGAACATATTACGCCTGAATCGGCTCGCCGTTCTCACCAACAAGGTAAATGTCCGACTTGATAGGGCCCTCGCCAACGCCGGTCTGGATGACACGGCTGACGCCACTCTGGATGATGCCAGCGACAGTCTCGTCCAGGGTCACGGAGGACTTGAGATCCTTGGCGCCCTCCTTCCATCCACCGACGGATCCCAGGATAGGGGAGAAAGCACCGACGACAGCGGCGGCGTTCTCCTCAAGGTAGTAGATGACAGCGTTCGGGCCCGCGTCGAAGGTGTACGCGGCAACAGTCTTTCCAGCAGCAGCGTTGATCTGCTCCACGGCGCGAATGGCGGCGCGCGAGATGTCGTTCATGTAAAAGATGGGAGGGTAGGTATCCGCGCACGAGGAGTGGAACGAGTTGGAGTCGCGCATGGTGACCTCGGCAAACTTCTCAAAGTCGCGCTTGGCGATGGCCTCCTCCATCTCGCCCATGTGCTTCGGCACGACCTCAGCGACGCGCTGCTTGAACAGGCCCGACGTCGCAACCGTCTGCTGCATGCCAGAAGTTGACGAGACGCCCTTTTTGGCCGCGCTGACGACCAGGATCAGGGCGCGCATGTCGGGCCAGTGCGACGCCTCGGCAACGAGATCAGCCTTGGAATCCGTACCGTCCGCCTTATCGCCCATTCTCCACGCGACGTATCCGCCAAACAGACTGCGGCACGCGGAGCCGGAACCCTGTCTCGCGATCAGGGACAGCTCAGAGGGGGACTCGGGGAGCTCGTAGAGGTCGGCGATGGCGCGGACGAGGGCGGCGAAGCCGGCGGCCGAGGAGGCGAGTCCGGCGGCGGTGGGGAAGTTGTTCTCGGTGACGATCTTCAGGGGCAGCTTGGAGAGCTTCGGGAGGGAGGGGGTCTGCTCCTCGAGGGCGGCGCGGCGGGCGCGCAGCTCGCGGAAGCAGGCCTGTGTGCGGGCACCCGAGACATCGGAGGCTTCGCCGTTGAGGATGAGGCTATCGCCTTCGGGGTAGGAGGCGGAGCAGGATGCGGTCGTCAGGGTTCGGAGGTCGGCTTGGGAGAGGGTGACGGAGAGGGAGCTGTTGGTGGGGAGGTTGAGCTTCGGGTCGCGCTTGCCCCAGTACCTATGTTTGTTAGTATTGAGACGTCTTGTAGGTATGGTTGTAGTTCAATAGAACATACTTGACAACAGCAATGTTGACAGGCGCCGTGGTGCTGGCGCGATAGACCTTGTTGTCCGACATCTTGCAATCGAGTTTGCGGTCTGCTGGAGGCGGTCAGTGGAAATTCAAGGCGGGGCAAATTATATGAGGTGATACTGGGATGCATTGGGGATGAATGGGGTTGCTACATACCTTTGGGGAAAAAAGAATAAAGACTTGGGTATCACAAAGAAGAATCAGTACTTGGAAATGTGGTAAAATGCTGGAGGTCCGAATTTCTGCGGACAAGAACACTGGGATGGAGTTGGTGAAGCCGGACAAGGAGTGACTTGGCGGGGTTGCGAAGCTCGTCCCCCTCACAAAACAATAGGCAAACAATAGCATCAATTTGGTTTACATGCGATCTTTGCCTGAAAAGGCTTAGTGCGGGGTCCTCAGGGGAAACGGCGCTTGGACCCTGTCAAAAGTACGTACACACGTACTCTCCAGTGAATGTCTCATGGAGCTTCATCTTCACTTCACTCATTCACTTAACAACTCGGCAACACACATTCACTTTGTTCAGCTTGTTCATGGACAACTCATTGTATGCGAGGGGAAATCATTATGATTGTGCGTCTATGAACTCCAAGTTCGTAATGGCTTCAAACGCAGGACGCTATGCAACGCTCCAAAACTCCAAGCGATCCCAGTCGCTTAGTGCAAAACCCCCCCATTAATCATCCAATCGTGTCTCATTGCTCAAATCTCATGCTCGTCATGATGTCCTGAGACTACTGAGTTTCATAATCACCAAGAGTTGTAGGACTTGAGCCCCTGGCATTGTCCCTGTGTTGTTTGTCCTTCCCAGCAGGCCTTAATTATGTACTCTGCATCATCTTCCTGCATTCCATCTTAGTCCAAGAGCTCAGGGGGAATGTTCTCCTTGTTCTCCTCCTGTTCCTCTTCATCGTAATACCAGATGCTTTGAGCGACGGTATCGATGGCTTCAATAGCGCGAAGGAGAAAGGGGTAATCGAAGGTTTGGCCACCTGCAATTGCAATTTGGTCAACTTCGTAGACATTCTCCGGCAGCTCGACGTTCGGCATATTCTCGTCGACGCTGATGCCGTGATGCAAGAGCTCTTGACGGCGTATGTCCAGCAGCCGCACGATGTGGCGAAGAACTTGTCGGTCTTCGTAGATGAGGGGATCGTGGAGTTGGTCGATGGCGGCATCCATTGAGAGATTCCGAGCGTAGCGTTGGATTTGCTCAGTAGTGAGGTATCGGCCTTCAGTGGCCTGATCGGGATCGGGATGAAGAAGATGAAGGACTTCGAAGAGTCTCTCGTCGGCAAATGCATGCTCTCTGGTGACGGTGACGGATAGTCGACCGTAGTCTCTGTTGTGGTCGATTGCTCTGCCCATGATGTTGGGAGATCGCTCCTGGAGGACGCTGACTGTTCCTTGCAGTTCTGGGACTGTGACTCTCGTTCCATCTTCGAAACGGACGTCTATGTCGCCGTTGGCTGGACGGAATCTCTCTTGGGAACCATTATCAAAGATTGTGAAGTCGTCTCTACTAGTAGGTTGTTGCTCCTCAAGATTGGCGCTGTCTTGGCTGAGAACAGGGACACTGTCCAGCGACATACGACCGAGAGTGGTTGTGATTTTGTTCTGAGCCTTTGAGGCAGAGAAGAGAGTAAACCCGATAGAAGCCATTTTTGTTGCTGTAGTAGAATTCAAGGTGGGTTGTAAAGAGAAGAGAGCCTGAGCTACGACTGATCTTGGACCTTTTTGTAGAGGAGGCAGAGATATGAGACGAGGAAAGTGGAAGTAGAGGGTGAGTGAATCGCGGCAGTTGTCAACCGAGGATTGGATGAGTGAAGAGAGTGGTTGTGTTTGTGCAAGGTGAATCTGCAGACGAAAAGAGTAAGAAGTAGGGAATGGTGTGGCTTTATATGAGAGAAGGAGTGGAAATTCGAGAGGGTAGGGCGGGACTGAATAGAGTTGTGGTACTCAACCTTTTCGAGCCCTTGACACTGGAGATAGCAGTCGACGACCTAAAGACAGTGACATCGTGAGAACCGGGATGGACCGCTACTGTATATTCACATAATTTTGAACTTGTCAAGGTTCATCAAGGGTGACTACACGGTGCGAGGTATCAAGATCCAGCCATGTGGTCTACATCAGGTGCCTCTTGCTGTACCGTTTCGTCCCAGGAAGAAGAAAGTCTTCAGCCACGGCGCATTTCGACCGGGGCTTTCTTGAAGTATCGTGGGTGACTCTGAAGGCATCGCTGATAAGTAGCTGGGAAGCCACATACCAGTTCGGTGCCGCACCCTTCTGGCGAGGACGGGGCAGATAAGAAACAGTGAGGACTTTTCCAGAGGACAGTTGCTATTATTCCTCTCCACGGAGGGAGAGGGCCATAATGGGTAGTCAAAGTCGTGGTTCATCTGCGTATCTTCTTGATAAAGCACAACAATCATGTTGTAAATGAAGCTAGATCTTTCAAAACAGTGCGACCGAATAGAGTCGCTGATAGGTTGGCTATTGACCAGAATTGGAACTAGAGGATGTGGTAGACATGGTAAGATTTAGGGAAAGGGCTGGGGAAGACGAAATATAAATCTTACAGAGACTCGTCGAAGGCGACTCTGTTTAAGCTACCAGAGATAAACATCCACTACATCACAGAAAGGCCCTGGAGGCATCACCCCTTGTACAGGTAAGATCCTGATCATGGTCAATCTTTCCGTACGAAAGAACGGGAATCAGGTTCTCTTTCCTGAGCAGCTTCGACCCATGCCTCATCCACACCACCCGAAACGCGGGCCTTCTCCTGGGTCTTCTCCTCCTCCGGGATAGGTACTCGAACAGGATTCAACTGAATGCGTTTGACCTCTTCTCTCCCCTCGCCGTGCATTTTTTTTTGGCGTTTTTCAAGTAATCAGTGACAACCAGCTTCTTCTCCTTGTTGAAGGGGCTCAAAGACACATCCTTGTATGCGTACCGGCTGGCCCGAAAGCCGACTACAATGTCATCAACCTCGAATTCAAAGACTGTGCTTGTCTTTTGAACTTCCGCCTCCATTGGCCCCAAGCTTGGTACCGGTATTAGGCTCCGTGGCTGACGTCTCGAAGTTTGCACTACGGGCAGCGGCGGTGCTGGAATTGAAGCGCAGTTTCTTGGCAACTTTGAGGCCAGTAATGAGATACGCATCATGTGCGTAGTCGGAAATACTGAGGTAACTATCTACTTTCTTAACTGCAAGACTCTTTGCTACGTAGTCGTCGTCGGGGTCGAAGTAGCTGGTGATGATGCTCTCGCACGACACTGTGCTCTGGGCTTGGTCGTCAGCCGATGCGCCAGCTGAAGCCCCAAATCCTTGAGAGGCGAAGGAGGTGGCCCAGATGCTGCCGCGGCCTTCACGTAGACGGGAGCGAGTCTCGATAAAGTCTCTTTGAAAGACTGGTGTGTATTTGAGACCATCTGGGATCGGGATGATGTGCTCCCGGTTCAGTGGCCCAAGGGTTAAAAGGGTTTTAACGACGGTTCCAAGCTGATAAATTTTCTCCTAGGGCCACAATCGCGGGCATCTAAAATCTTCGGAAATCCCTAGACTTAAAAGATAGATTGAGTTTTTATTACCGTTGCCTTAGACGTAACCCAGTATATTCTTGCACGGGCATATGATAGTGGCTCATTATCTATAGTAGTGAGCCGTTCCAAGGGCGTCGACTGGCGATAACGAAGGCGTGGACACATTAGAGCAAACGACAGTCTTTAGTTAGATAATCGAAGTATAATGAGGCCATCGCGTCTACGATTAACAACTTAGGAGTGTTCGATCACTGGCTGGATGGTTAGGAACAGGAGCTAGTGACATCTTAAACAAGTGAGACAAACATGATAGCAGCTCTACCTACCAGTGAGAATTCACGCGATGCTCTTCGTTCTCACTTAGGCTCGCAGATCGAGTCCGGGAAACGACCAAGATGTATTACGAAAAGTTTCTTGCCATTTTTAACTGAAGATTGTGTCGTCATAGTTCGCAGTGGTGGAGTCGGCATTGCAGACGGTCATCGTGATACTTCACCTCAAGCAAAGTCCTAGGCAATGTTTCGCTACAGCTATTATTTTTTTCCTGTTTCAGATATCTATGGTAGAGATTTGATTCGTGCTTCTACCCCCTCTCTCTGCCAACGACGGGTCACCTGAGATCATGGTTGCTTAGTTGCACCGAATGAACCATGAGTGACTTGTCAACGATTTCTAGCCTTCTTCGGGCGTTGGTGACCCCTGAAAGGATCAGTTATATGGAATATTTGTCTGACACGGAGAAAACTCACTGACATTGGAAGATGGAAAGCCCAATAACAAAGGTACCAGCTAGACATGAACATCCCACTGCGGCCCATCCAATCGCTCCTACGTAGGCGACAAGTCCTAGCGATAGAAATAAGAAGGCCAGAACCAGAAGTAGATGAACCAGTATCGATGATGCGATACCGACTGTATCCCAGTTTCGGTGCCAGGATTGGTCATCTAAATCTTGAGCTTTTTGGCGTAGAATAGTAAGAAGACTAGAGCTGTATCCTGCAATAGCTATGGTAAGGATGAAACAAAGCCATGCCGCTGCCAAAAATCTTCTCACTTCATGTAAACTGAACGGTGGCTGCTCGGGCTTCCAAAGCTCGGTTGGATCTTCCATTTGGCCAGCGATAATCGCGAAGGTGGATGCAACAAAGATAGAGATTGTCAGCGTGATAGCGATAAACAACTGGTAATCTTTGACAGATAGATCTGCCGTCCGATCGTCCATATGCTTCAAATCCATCTTCAGAGGACGACAAACTGGTCGTGATGAGCTACTAGGCTCAGGCGAGCACCGTGGTGACGAGACTTTCCTGTGGTAGCGTTGCTGGTAACTGTGGTATCTTTTCCCATGATTGATCAGCTTGGCTGCGCCTCATTCATGTGAAGTGTGGTCTCGCAGTAACAAGATTCCCTTATGAGACTTGTGTTCTTTCTGCTGAAGGACTTTGGCCAGAATTGAAGAGACTTTGAGAGTGATGCGTAATATAGTAGGAATAGCAATAGTCCAAATTCCCAGGCAATTGCTCCCTGTTGATGACGTGGTTTCTGCCTAAATATCTTGGCAGTTTGGTGACGTACATGGTGAGGGCAGTGAATAAGGCAAACTTACGGCTGACAACTTGGTTCGCCATCTTGCATAAGCAATCTATCACACACGTTGGCAATCGGCCGACCAGCTTGCGCATTAATCAGTATCGCCCATCCTCCGGTACATATCTGACGATAAGCCCACCAGCCACTGTCTTGCTTTTATACTCTTAGAATGATGCATAGGGCATACCTTAAAGGCTCCGGTGCCCCAAACAAGCATCTTGTTGTTTGATTCTCGTCCAGCTTGCACCCACGCCCGTATGGTTGAGGAAAAATGATCGAATACGTGAGTAGACCATTGGTCCTGTTTGCAAGAACTATAAAATGGCCTGGCAGTATCTGATTTAGGCCACTCCTATAGGCAATATTATTATTTTACATCTGCTGCACCGTTGCGCTAGCCGTCGTCGATGCTTCGGATTTTGGGGGTCTAGGACTCAATCTTCTTGCTGACCCACAAGATGCCGAGTTCGAGTAGGTCAGCCCTATTGATGGGTACCCCCCTGCCTTGCCAACTGTCTAACTTTACGAACAAGTATTATTGCGATCCACGGTCTAGATGGGCACTGGAGAAATTCTTGGACTTCAGGCGACGGTGTTTTTTGGCTCCAGGATCTTCTTCCGATACGGGTTCCACAAGCACGAATTTACTCGTATAGTCATGACTCTAGGACCAGAGGAGGCGAGGTTCCCTTCACACTTGATATGTCAGACCATGGAATTGCACTGGTAAGAGATCTGACCATTGAGCGAGGGCTCACCGCGGTTAGTGTTCTATTGACTCCTAATTCGCGTTATTTGGTCACGTTACGTATGGCTTTGAGTTGTTGAGCCTGAAAACTGAGTTAAACCAACGCAGACCGAACGGCGGCCTATCATTTTTATTGCACACAGTCTCGGAGGGTTGATTGTGAAGAGTGTGAGGATACCCCATCTTTGTCTTTGTCGGATTGGAAGTCCAATTCGGCCGCGAGTAGGGGCAGAGCATGGGCCACCTCTAGGGGGTACACTTAGACCTCGACTACCCACCCAACCTCCGGTTGGAATCTCCCTTCTACTCCTTACGCAGAATCAATCAATACAGAGATATTGATACTTCGTCACCCCCAGGACCCTACGGTTCGAACCAAATTCCCTGTGAAAGGAATACCAACACTGATCAGTGGTTAAATTCCACTATCGCAGATCAGCAAGGCATCTCACGAAAGCAGAAGAGACGACCCTCTAATACCGAACGGGATAGAGGAATCGTGCTCCCTTGACCTCTCGAATCTCACGAGAGGAGGCGTCCATCACGTCAGCAACGCCTTTGACGGTCGACCGGCCAGACGTCTCGAGCGCCCGACGACCGACGAAGGACCCTTTTCTTATACCGACTTCCTCGCGGCAAGACCGCGAATTTGAGTCTGTCAAGTACACCAACCGCGGCCAGCCCGCGCGACAATTACATCTATTTTTCCGCGGCCCGCGACTTACGCCCGCGCGACAATCCAACAACTATACCTTCCAACGCGTAAAGCACGAGCCCTTCGACCAAAGCACGAGCCCTTCGACCAAAGCACGAGCCCTTCGACCAAAGCACAAAAGGGCACCACGCGGCCAAGGAAGAAGACCAAGATGGCGGCTGAGCCCGAGGAACCCACGGCAACGAGGCCAGGAGTAACGACGAGATCTAGCGCCCGTCAGCAAGGAGAGGCGGGATCGAGCCAGACCCCGTCGAATCAGGCCAGCGACGACAGTCTGCCGCTGCCACGCCCGATAAGCGGCTCGACCTCCAGTCCACCAAGATCAAACACGCCGACTGTCTCTAGTACGAGCACTAGCCAGGGTACGGTTATAAGCGAGTCAACCAGAATGGCGATGACTAGGGTGCCCATACCTCTCAAGTGGCTAGACATCAACAATTCATACTGGGGAAAGTGGACTTTCAGACCATCGGATACACCGAATAACGAGCAGGTCGACGCCGCCCTCGTTTTCTTGATGGAAATCTACGCTAAGCAAGGACTCGAGGGGCAACCCCTGTTTTACCAGATTACCGATGATATCGGCCACTGGCCAGGCGAATGGTTTGCAAGCGCAAACGACGGTATCGTCAGAGAAGTCGTCAGATTCCTTCATGGCCGAGGCGTATTACCAGATTCGTCGGCTAGGAGAGAACCTCACGAGACCCTCGCAGCCACACTTTCGGCATCAGAATTTACGCCTTGGAATCAACAGCAAGTCGACCGCGCAATATACCGGCTTAGCGAGTTCAAGCAGCGCATTACCAAGCCGGAGTTTCTCTTGATGATCACCAATGGCGCAATCGGCCCCTATATGAGACAAGCCAACAGCGTCCCACCTCCAGAAGTACGTCAAGCAACGGTTCCTCCAATTGCAATTACAAGCCCAAGGTTACCGTCGACATCGCAACCCATGGGCCAAAGCGGTGATATGCGAATAGAACCGCATTCAGCTACACAGAGCCAACGATTCAACTCGACACCACGCGAATCACGCGAGGAGCAGGATCCAATCCTCGCCAACCCACGGCAATTAAAGGACCTCACGAAGATATTCCCAAAAGAGAAGAAGTATGCAGGGGGGAAGTAAGAGGTCCTACAAGAGACCCTGACCATGTTCTACGACTACTGCGAGAAGGCAGGAATCAAGGAACACCAATACCACTCAGCTATCACGATTGTACTCACGGGTAAGGCAGAGGAATATTACTACCTCGCGGTGCGTACACTCGACAAATCAGACTTCCTCAGCGTTGTTGACGCAATCCGAAGCCGCTTCGAGACACACGATAGGAGCCTCGAGCTCCTCGCCGAGCTAAGGGCACTTTCCTATGGATCTATCGCTCGCGGAATGGAGGGCAAGCCACGCGTTGAGATTCTCGAGGAGCTTATCGACAAGATCGACAAGTTGGCCAAAACCCAGCCAACGGAGGGAACCAACAAAAGAAAAGTCTGATATCTCTGTACAGCGGTCCAGCGAGTCCCCGAGGCAAGGATGACTTTGCACGCACCGCCAACCGACTACGAGATCCTCTGCTCACGGCTGAGGTCGAGTTTCAACATCGAGGCCAGGATGCCCAGACAACAGCAATTCCGAGCCGTTGACGGTCCACACCAACAACACTGGGTCGACCGTACTTACAACGGCAAGGGAAAGGAGACCAGGTACGGAAATCGGTCAGGATCAACTACAACCGCAGGATTTAAACCACGAGATTCTCGACCTCGCGGGAAGTGCTGGATCTGCAAGAAAGACGACTGCTGGTCAACCAGACACACCAAGGAAGAGCAGAACAAATCGTACGAGAAGTACAAGCAGATGAAGGGCACTGAGGGCAAGACCAGCCCAAGGCAATACCAGCAATTACTCACTTCCTACGAGGGCATCGATCCGTCCACAACCAACGAGCACACTGGCGATTCTGACAGCGAGGAAGATATCACCACCTTCGACTACGCCAGGGCAGCACAAGCGACGGATCCAACAGATGAGGATATCGCGGCTCTCAACAAAAGGCTCAACTGGCAGGCCAATCGCCTTGATAGGGGATTAACCTACTATCCCCTGGAATTGGCATCAACCCGGCTATACGTCTTCGTCGACGGGTCATTCGCGAACAACGCGGATCTGACTTCCCAACTGGGTTATATCATCATACTGGCCAACGAGACCATGATGGAGGACAGTTTCTCCATCCACGGCAATGTGATCCATTACTCGTCGACAAGGAGCAAGCGAGTCACCAGAAGCGTCCTCGCGTCGGAAGTCTACGGTATGGTCAACGGCGTCGACCTCGCCCACGCGATATCGACGACATTAAAAAGGATCACCGATCGACTAGACTTACCCACGATACCTACGGTAGTTTGTACAGACTCATACTCGCTATACGAATGCCTCGTCAAGTTGGGCACCACCAAGGAGAAGAGGCTTATGATCGACATCATGGCCTTACGGCAATCGTACGAACGACGCGAGATAATGGAGATCCGTTGGATCAATGGCGACGACAACCTCGCCGACGCCTTCACCAAAGCGAGCCCCAACCAGGAGTTGGAACACTTCATCGACAAGGGGAAGGCCACGGTACGAATGGAGGGATGGGTCACACGAAAGGGACCTCGGAAGGAGGAGAAAGGGGCACATTAGACAGCACAACTTCCCTCTCGCCTAATTTTTCTTGGCATCAACTGCTATTGTAATAAGTGGGCTACCACTAAAATCCTTAACAGCTGAAAACCCTTCACCTCTCCTCCGGCGCCCTCCCGCGATGGCCTCGTAGCCTCCGGCGGGCTCTGGACCGTTGCCGGCCTCCTCGGCCGGCCCTGATCGAGGCTCTGGACCCTCTTCAGAGCCGTCCCCATCATCAAGGGCTAAACGCCGCCGCGAAACCGAGGCCTAGCCACTCCGGCCCAGCCTCGTAGGAAGCCAGCCCGACGCCCTAACAATAACCCCCTTAACGGCTAAAGGGCCCTCGACTATAACTAGGACAGCTACTGGAGCTGTCCTTACAGCTCTTAATGAAGAGGCTAAGCACTATAAAGCCCGAAAGGACGTCTTTATGGCTATTACTCAGTCTATAGATAACGTGATCTCTTGCTTTGAGGGGCCTAGGAAGCAGATTGCAAAAGAAGCTACAACCTATGTAATCCAAGCCTTGAAGAGGATTATGGGTAACGAGACTACGGCTCCGGCTCCGAGCCGGAAATAGACTGACGTAGTAGCCTCGGCTTCAACTACAGCCGTGGCCGTAGCCCCGACCCGTACCCAGGACTCAATTGTTGTAGCGGACGTTAGTGATGCGGCTAGCTGTAGCAGCATGGATGAAGATGAGAATGGGGCTGAAGCAGAACGGCTGCAAGCCCCTGACGACCCAGTCCTACCCCCCCTACCCAGCCAACCTACCCTAGCTACCTCAAGCAGCAGGGCTCAGCGGGTGGCGCAGAAGCCTGATTACAACGTTATTAATGCCTACACCCACCTCGACCTCGACTCAGAGCAGTAGGCTCAGGCCAGCCTCCCCACGGGTACTACGAGTCGCCCAGTGTAACGTGGGGAAGAGAAGCCCAGCTCATACAGCTCTCCTAGAGCTCTGCTGGGCGGATCAGATCGATATAGTACTGATCCAGGAGCCCTGGATAGGCTATAGAGATAAGATGCAAATCAACACACACCCAGGCTATAACTCCTATATCCCAGTTGACTTCTGGAACAACAGAGATACAAGACCTAGGGTTATGACCTATATACGCAAGAGTCTAAGACTACAAATACAGCAACAAAGGCCTACCCAAACGAGAGATATCTTATGGGTTAAGGCTGGCAACTTCACTATTATCAACGTATATAGGCCGCCAGGTGAGCCGACAAACCACACGACTACTGCTCTCCTAGGATACTATCCGCCAGAAAGAGCTCTTATAGCAGGGGACTTTAACGCCCGCCACCCTACCTGGGAACCAGGCTCCCCTAGCCGGAATCGGGGGGACGATATTGCAGAGTGGGCTGAAGGCTACGATCTTTCGTTTATTGGGGAGGTTGGGGTCCCTACCCATACTCATAGGCATACCCTCGACCTAACATTCTCAAATATCCCCTTTGCTGAGGCTTATATTAGCCCACACCTGCACCCAGGGGCTGACCACCAAGCTATCACAACAACTATCCCTATAGGCAAGGCCCAGGAACAGAAACGCCAGACTGGCCACCTCTCAGTCCCAGAGTCAGCCCTACCCCGACTTATCGACCTAGTAAGAGCTGGATCCTCAGCCTTACCTACCCTAGGGGAAGTACCTAGTCCAGCAGAGCTGGACACTCTAGCTACCCAACTAGTCAGCCTCTTCTATACAGCTATTCAAGCTGTAGGTAAGAGACGGACAAATCAGGGTAGGGGAGCCCCCTGGTGGACAGAAGAGTGTGCAGAAGCCCACCGAGCTGCTATCGAGGCTAGGCGCCAGCAGGCCCAGGAACCTGGGCTAGTTATACCTCCCCCCATCCTAGAGGAGCAAAAGACCTTCTTAACAACTGTTAGAAGGGCAAAACGCGCTTACTGGACTACTAAGATCGAAGGGGCTAAGACAGACCAAG